CTGGTCTTGAACTCTCAGAGATCTGACTACCTCTGCCTCCCTGAGTATTGGGATTACAGGCATGTGCCACCATGCCCAGCTTGGAGGAATTTTTTTTTAATTTTAACATTCTTCTAAGAAAATTTTTTCAGATTTATTTCTCTTATGAGTGTAGGTGTTTAATCTGTATGTGTGTACACCATGACATTGGATCCCCTGGAACTGAATTTACAATATGGCTGTGAGGCATTGTGTGGGTGCCGGAAACCAAACCTAGATTCTCTGTAGGGCCACAAGTTCTCTTAACTGCTGAGCCATCTCTTCAGTCCTAAATTGAAGAATCTTGAGGTGGGGATGTAGTATAGTGATAGAACACTTTCCTCCCTACCAAACACTGCATAGGAATAAAATAATTTTAAATTGGATATTTTTGTTTTAATAATACCCAAATCAAGAATAGAATGCTACCAACACTCCCAAAGCCTATTTTGACTTCTAACAACACAGATTAATTTTATTTTGAATTTATGTAAAAAAAAGCCAGGTGTGATGGTGTATGTCTATGTTCCCAACATGGAGGCAGAGGAAGAGAATCAGGAGTTTCAGGCTAGCTTAACAACATAGGACTCTTTGTCAAGAAACACATCTCAAATCCCACCACTTGGTAGGTAGAGACATGGAGAGCTCTGGGAGTTTAAAGCCAGCCTGATCTACAAAGTGAGCTCCAGGATAGCCAGGGCTACACAGTGAGATCTTGTCTCAAAACAAAAACTGAACGAACAAACAAAAAAAGAGACCTTTCCCCTAGGCCAAGTATAGTTGTACACACCTTTACTCTTCAGTAGTTGAGAAGCAGGGTCAGGAGGAGCTCTGTGAATACAAGGCTAGATGGGGATAAAAAGAGAGACCCTGTGTCCAAAAAAAAAAAGTCAAAGAAGCCTATGAAGCCTATTCCAAAATTTCTTTGTAAGACTAGATCAATACCTTATACACCCTTCTGCATGTTTTTTCCACCATGAACGTTAGGTTGTTATGTTTGCCTGTAATAGTCTTCCTTTTGTGCTGTATGGTATTCTATTATATCTACTGCTGATGGTTATTTGGGTAGTTTATGTTTTTCTGCATAGAGTGATGTTAGGAACATCTCCATGTGTCTTTGGGGGAACATACGCACTGGTATGTATATGCATAGATGTGGTAAGTCATGTGATAAACTATGCCAATGTCAGTGGCATCCCCCAAAATTTTCCTGATGTGATTTTTACCTATATACACTCTCACAGATATTGTGAGTTCCAGTTGTCCAACCTTTGCTGTGTTTGATGTTATCTATTTTTACTCCGTTCTGAAACCCAAGAGACCAGGACAAACACTCTTCATTAAGTTACCTGGTCAGGGAAGTGAGAGGGCTTGCAGGTAGAGACGTTTGTGTGCAAGCCTGAGGACCTTGGTTCAATCCCCCAGTTTCATGAGGTGGCAAGAAAGAGCTGACTCCTTAAAGTTGCTCTCTAGCCTATACACACATGCCTTGGCACATGCCAGCCCACCAGCACATGCTCATGCTCACTTCCTCACCCCCTCATAGACAAACGAAATTAAAAAAATCAACTGATTAGCTTGTAGTGGTACACAGCTCCAATCTTAGCACTTGGTGGAGGCAGGAGGATGAGGAATTGAAAGTCTGCCTAGGCTACATAAAACCTAAATTCAGTGAGTTGACTGAAAGGCCCTGAAACAGAGTGAACTTTTGTTTACACAGAATCAGACAAACAGTGAAACAAACGCCTTTCAGGAACAGGTATCCATTCTCATTGCTACTCTGCTCTGCCGTCTAGACTAAAGGAGGCTGTGGACAGCTTGTAAATGAACACCCCTTGTACTCAGTGCACACATAACACGCGCCTTCAGGTCTTTGGGGTAGACCAAGTGTTGTTCTGTTTGTTTGTTTAATAAGAGCAAACTATTTGGCCCTGGAACAAACCAGTAGAGCAACATCTACTGATACAAAAGGAAGAAAGCTGATCAAGTTTGCTTTTGTTGCATGACAAACACCATGACCAAAGGCAACCTGGGGAAGACAGGGTGTAATGTGTCCTCATCTCAGCTCATCATCCGGGAAACCAAGGTAGGAACTGAAGCAAAGGCCATGGAGGAATGCTGCCTGCTGGCTTGCTGTCCATAGCTTGTTCAGCCTGCCTGCCTTTCTTTCTTTTTCTTCCTTTCTCTCTCTCTCTTTCAGGTTGTTTTTTTTTTTTTATTTTTATGCGTACAGGTATTTGCCTACATCTATGTCCATGCCTACCATGTGCATGCAGTGCCTGCAGAAGCCAAGAAGATGGTGTCAGACACAGCCCCTCCCCCCAAGACTGGAGCTATAGACAGCTGTGAGCCATCCAGCATCTTACCCCATTTTTTTAATACACCCCAGATCACCTATCCAGGGGTGGCACCACCCACATCAATTAATCAAAATAAATAAATAAATAACTGCACAGACATATCTACAGGCCAGTCAGGTAGAAGCAGTTCCTCAATTGAGTTTCTCTTTCCAGGTGACTCTAATTTGTGTTGACAAAAACTAATCAGCACAGAGACCAGGTTGCACTTTAGTCATGTGACAGCCTGTTACTCTACATTTTTCTGTAAACTAGAAGTATATAAAACCAAGTAATGTAACCAGTATTTTTTTTTTTAATGTGCATTGGTGTTCTGCCTGCAAGTATGTCTGTGTGAAGGTATCAGATCCCCTGGAACTGGAGCTACAGGCAGTTGTGAGCTGTCCTGTGGTGCTAGGAATTGAACCCTGGCCCTCTGGAAGAACAACCAGTGCTTTTAACCACTGAGCCATCTTTCCAGCCCATAACCAGTTTCTTATCTCTCAAAAATGCAGATGTACATAAAGGATCTCCTTTTCTCCCAGGAGCTTCAGCAATTGCCTGCACAAGGGACTCAGCACTCTACAATCCTAACATGATGCACTTTGGACCAGCCACACAAAAGATACACAGAACTAACTAGAGCACTCAGAGGCTGCATAACTTGTTTGTTGTATTTGTTCTTAATCAAGATGCTCAACTAGGAAGAAAATACTTAGCTTTAAATTATTGTCATGATGCTAACCCTAATTTGCTAATGAGGAAACAAGCTTCCCTGCTGATTGTTTGTGAAAAGATGGACCATCTCTCAATTAGACAGTAAGCCAAATGATGATAATGGAAATGACTTAGAGACACTGAAGACTACAATACTGGTTTCATTCAGAAACATGATTTATCCTCCAGTTCATTTTTAGTTGGGCTTAATATTGAGAAGCACAAAAATCCCAGTTTATGGTGGTGAGGCTCAGAGGAAAAAGGAGCCTGACAACCTGAGGTCAGCCCCCAGAACCCACCTGGTGGAAGGAGCAAGCTGTTAAGTTGTCCTCTGATGCATATACAAGCACGGTGGCACATGTATACACACAAACAAATAAATGTAATACAGCCTGGCTGTCCTGGAACTCACAAAGATCCGCCTGCATCTGCCTCCCAACCACTGGGATTAAAGGCATGCACCACCATTGCCAGGCTGTAATAACAAAAATTTCTAATACCACTTTGTTCTAGAAATACTAAAATGTAATTTGGCAGTTATGACAATAATGATGTGAACATTCTTGAATATATCTTGCCATACATATGTAAAGTTTTCTGTATGCTAGCTAGGCGTGGTTGTGCACACCTGTAATCCCAGCACTGGAGGGAGGCAGAGGCAGACAGATGCCTTTTGAGTTTGAGGCCAGCCTGGTCTACAAAGCCAGTCCAGGACAGCCAAGGATATTCTGAGAACCAGTCTTAAAAAAAATCTGTATGTTTACCAAGGCATGGGAGATTGGTCACTGTTTACTAGATAGCAGTTACCCTAAGTGATGGTGAGTTTGTATGCCCACTACTCAGTGAATTCCTGTTCTCAGTCTTGTCAGTACTGTTCTTCAAATTCTATTATTTTTGTTTGTGTGTAAAAGAATACTTTTGTACATTTTTAAACCAAGGAATAATTTGCATACAGGAAAAAATATCCTTTAGCATTCACTTCAGATTTTTTTTATTTCTTTTTATTTGTGTGTGAACACGTGTATGCACATGTGTATGCTAGTATTGCAGAGGTCCATAGAGGTTACTGGAACCCCTAGAGCTGTGGCTTCAAGTAGCTGTAAGCCGCCTGATATGGGTGCTGGGATGCAAACTCTGGATCCTCTTAGAGAGCAGCAGGCGTTCCTAACTATGGAGTCATCTCTGAAGCCCCAGATTTCCCTCCTAGTTTGCTATTTAACCTTCTACTTACATTTTAGTTTAGAGGCTTTTGTATATTTGTTGTGTTCTCTTAAAAACTATGCTTCTTTCATATTTTGTACTTGCTCATATTTTTCAGGGTTTTTCTTTTGTTTGTTCTGTTTTTTTGAGGAGAATGTTAGGATTACATTCAGTGTCTGTCCATCCCAGTTTTGGAAGTCTTTCCAGAGCTCATAGTGCTGTTCCACTTTCTTTTCTTCAGGGCACTTAGTCTCCTTATAGAAAACGTGATTTTGAACAGTTTCTGGTTTCACTGGCATTGTATATGGGAACTGAGGACAGGATTAATGATCTGAAGGTTCTAAAGTTACACTGTTGAATACAGTAGCCACGAGCCACATGTGGCTCTTTAACTTTAAAGATTGCATTCCATAGCCACAGAAGCCATCCTTTAAGTGTCCTATGGTGTTGTCTCCTATGGTCACATAGGGCAGCACTAATGTAAAACATCTCAAAGGTTGTTATAGATCTTGGCTTTTCCTTCTGCTTGGTACCAGCAGCCGTTATCAGCGTTGGAAATCACTTTAAACTGTACTCTGAGCTTGAGGGTTTGTAACTATGCAGGTGTATGCAGTTGAACGCAGAAGTGAGTGAAGCCTTTCTTAAGACTACTAGCTGCCAGGGAGATTTTCTCTCAGTACTGTACATCAGAAGATACCTATGCATAATAGATCCTGTTCCTTTGCTCAGATGATGAGAGTAATGCTGAAATTACCAGACTGGATTCGGGAAGTCCCTATGTGCTGAACGAACAGCATCCTTTGGTCTTACCTCGAGTGCCGCAGTCCAAGGTGCTGTCTATCACCTCAAATCCGGTAAGCCCTAGAGCGGATTATGAGAACCTGGGACAGTTCTTGCCAGAAAAAGCTTGTTCTGATGTTTGCCTTGGTTGCACTATTTCTGGCGTGGTTCATTAGCAACATAGTTATTTTGAGAGACTGTTTCACTGTGTAGCCCAGGCTGGCCTCAAACTCACTGTATAGCTCAGCCTAGCCTTGAACTCAAAATCCCCCTGGCTCACCTTCTCAAGTGCTGGGATTATAGTTGGTTACAGCTAGTTCTTGAGAGAAAGAGGAAGGAAAGTGTTTTATGGCAAAAGAGGTGGTTAAAGGGCACTGAATGATGGCCACGTTAGAACAACTGTGATTAACCCTTACAAAGCATTGGGAATTTATTAAATAGGGCTTGAGGAAACACATGCCCTGTAGTTCCAGCTACTCACAAGGCTGGCACAGGAAGATTACTTCAAGGCCAGCCTGGGCAACACAGAGAGACACTGTCATAAAATTTTTTAAAGGAAAAAAAAAAAAACCAAGAACAATGAATGATGAAGAAGTAGTGCTCGAGGGTAGTGAATCTGCAGAATTCAGGGTTATGTGCTGATGAAAAGACCAATTACTTTGTACATATTTTTTGTATTGTTCCAAAATTTGCTTGTGACTTCACTATTTAGGTCTTCTTTTGTCTTGTAAGCAATAATAACATTCCCTTTTCCCTATGAGAGTGGCCATTAATTGCTTTCATCTGTATTGATCAGCAATCACTTAGAAATATAAAACAAAACAAAAAAAAAGAACCCTGTTCTCTTGATAGTGCACTTTGGGGGCTACTGGCCAACTGTTCTAAAAGTTAAGGGAAAGGTGGGGGGAATGTATAAATAACCTAACTGGAAACACTAACTGTGCTAACTTTAGCAAATCGAGCAGCTGTCTTCACCAACCAATGTCTGCTTTTGACACACAGATGAGTTTCTGTCAAGCAAGTGGTCATCAGCCAAACGTGAATGGCCTCTTGGTTCATGGGATGCCTCTGCAGCCAAGGAATCTCTCCCTGATGGATAAGCTCCTGTAAGAAGCCCGAGTTTTAATGCACTGTAGAGCTTAAATAGAATGCTGAGAAATAAAGGGAAAGCAGCATCAGTCACCTCCATGCCACCAAGTGGCAGACACATCCAGGGAGGAAAACACTTAAGGGGCAAGATCTCTATGCCTGGGAGCCGGTAACTGGGAAGCAACCTGGCATCTGGCCACATACATCATTTTATGGCTGAGAGTCATGTGAGTGCTACCCAGACAGAGTGCTATACGGCCCCAAAGGAGAAGGCACTTTGATGAGTCTGTGTCTAGGAATTTAGATGATTACAGGGTAGGAAAAATGATGTGTGAAAAGAGTTGGAGATAGGAACGTATTAAATACTTAAGAAGAAGCAGACCATTTTGGTATAGCGGTGTAAGCAGAACTTTAATGCTTTCTGACCAAAGAGATTTGCTTAGAGGATACAGGTGCCCACTACCAATCCTGACAACCTGAGTTTGATTCTGGGGACCTACATGATGGAAGGAGAGAACTGGCTCTCAAGAGCTGTTCTCTGACTTTCATATATGAATACGTACACACAAAGATTTTTGTTTTTGAGACTCTCTGTATAGCCTTGGCAGTCCTGTCACTTGCTATATAGACCGGGTTGGCCTCAACTCAGATCCACCTGCCTCTGCCTCCTGAGTTCTAGGATTAAAGTCATGCAACCACATCTGGCTCACAAAAAGTAATTTTTTAGAACTTCAGTGCTTCCAATCAAAGATCATTGACAAAATTATAGAATTTAAATAGGTCATGGTAAAATCAGTAGAAAAGAACTTACAAAATTAATAAATGTAATCAGGTTATGGATGACTATGAATGTCACATTGGTATTTGTCCCGTTATACATGACCAGTGTAACTGGTGTAATTATGTATGCTGTGTTCTTCAGTTTGTCACCATATGTATTTTTACATAGGTCATTTTTTTAGGACATATAGTCACATTTCTTTTGATTCAATACCTAGAATAAAAAAGATGGCAGGACAGTTGTTTAATTTTTGAGAAACTGTCAAAGTACTTATACCATCAAACAGTCTCACCAGCAAAGCTAGCTTCATCTGGAGAGCATACATTAGGGGCTCCACAGTGTGAGAAAGGAATTGTGCTGCAGCATAAGGAACATAAGAGAAAGGAGTCTATACCCAAGTTCAAGCAAGAGCTATGGGCATCTGTACTCAGCACTAGTGCAGGTCAGGGAGTAAAAAGGACCACAGTAGAGCTCTGCTGCAGATACTCATCTCTCAAGTATCTGTTCCCCACCAGTCAAAGAAGAATGACTGAGGTTAGGAGATGCTGCAGTAATGGGAGTCAAAGTCAGCGCTGAGATTTCAAGCTCAGGAGGTGTGCTTTATGGAAAATATGTGTTTCTTTTGGATTCTGTTTTGAGTGATGGGCCAACTCAAGAGAATGTGGAAGAGTACAGATTTGGAGACTTACAGGTCACCTAGCAAGAGGTAGCTATTGAACTCACAGACAGGAAAGGAGTTGACAGACTAGAATATCGATGGAGAACAGCTAAAGACCATGCCTTTTTAGTTAGAATATATTCAGAGTGAGCCGGAATGAAAAAGGTGGGGGGACCTGAGTAAGTGGTTACTTAGGAAGACCAGAAAGAGCTCCTCTAAATCTCCAGCTAGAGCAAGGGCATTCTCCTTTCCAAATCCTCCAAACACCAAGGCAGTGGGGTACAACCCAGGCCTGGAAGGCTGAGGAGTTAGGCGGCAAAGGCTGACTGCTCAGTGCTTTCACTTTCACTCCATTTTGTCTCCTAGATGTCTTTGATGTGTCAGACTTCGTGGTATCTGCTGTAAAACAAACAGCCCAAACCCACCACCACAGCTATGGAGCACCATTTAGGCGTGCTCATGTCAGAAGACTCATGGAAGAGTTTTGTTCCTTAGTTGCTTATGCTTACAGGGATCTACTAGACTTACTCCTCTGGGCAGCATGTGGCCAGGGCCCTTTGCCTCAGGACCTCCAGGACTGAACTCCACTCCTGTAGGTTCCAATTAGCTCAGCATTTGAAAGGTTTCTTTTTATTTGTGTGTATGAGTGTCTGTTTCCATATGTGTATGTGCACCACGTGTGTGCAGCGTCCAGAGCCCAGAGGAAAGTGCTTGGTCCCGTGCAACTTAGCTCACGATTTCAATATCAGAGTCGGAGCCACACTATGCCTCAATCCGTAACCCCGAGGAAATTCCCTCAGCTCAGAAAGTGCTTCGAATATTGTAGGACTCTGAGTGGGAAGCACTATGTGCCCATCAGCCTGGCTTTTCCTTTAACTGAGCAAGTGACTGTGTGGCAAAGGGATCAAGGGCACTTTCCCAAGTCTCCATTCTAGTAAGTCAGGTACACACCTATAATCCAGGCACTTGTGAGGCCAAACAGAAGGACCTCAAATTCCAGCCTGGCCTACTATCTAACAAGTCCCTATCTTAGAAAACAGCCTCTCATGCCTGAGTCCCAGATAACCTTCTGGAAACCACTTTGCTCTTTTCTTCCCTGAATATCTTAGGCTTTTTAACCTGAACATCGTCTTTCACGTAGTGATTTTCATTGTGGGTTTCTGATTTGGCCATTAGAGATCTTGATGACAAGCTACTTATGAGGCCTGGGTCCAGTTCCATCCTTTCAAACCGAAATTGGCCAAACCGAGCCCTGGAGCTTAGTACGTCATCTTTGTCATATACAACGCAGTCTGCCAGGAGGCGCAACCCCCCACCACGAACCCTTCATCCAATTGGCACAAGCCACTCACGAGCTGGGACACCATGGCCTGCAGAAGAAATCCTCAGAGGATCCTGGGTGTACGTTTCAAATGCAGAATCTCTGAAACTAGTAAAACTAGTAATAATTATGAGAATCGTTATAAAATGAGTTTGAATATAAGATTAAAGCTATGTCTAAAAACAGCAGTCATACAATAGATTGTCTATAGGTTTATATCCAATTTTGTTTTGTTATGTTTTGTTTTTCCAAGACAGAATTTCTGTGGGTAGCCTTTGCTGACTTGGACTCATTTTTTAGACCAGCCTGGCCTCGAATTTAGAGAGATCTGCATGCCTCTACCTCCTGGAGTGTTGGGATTACAGTCATGTGTCACCACACCTGGCTTCAATTCTAATTTTTTATTTATTTACATTTTGGTGAAGCTGGACAGTGGTGGTACACATCTTTAATCCTAGCACTTGGGAGGCAGAGGCAGGGGGATCTTAAGGCCAGCCTGTCTACAGACTGAGTTCCAGAACAGCCACAGCTACAGAGAAACCCTGTCTGGGGGGAAAAAAAAGTTTTAGTGAAATACAAATGCTGGATGAGATCATTCTGTTGATTCAGCTCAATATTTATATTTGTGAAATTTAAGGGAGGGGGGAAAAAAACTCTTTCCAAAATTGCTACTCCTTTTCTGAAAATCCAGGTGGCTTAAAGCTTCCTGAGCACATTAAACTTGGCGGCTTGGTTCACTGAATTTCTCATCACTTTGCCTGTATTGTAACAACTTTGCTTTCCCATCTCGGTCTTGCTGCTGGGATCTGCAGTCCAATGACAGCAGACACACTCTCTAATCCCTCACCAATGACCCTGGGTCGGAACAATCTGCTGCCACCTATTGGAACAGCTGAAGTTGAACACCTGAGCACCGTGGGGCCGCGGGCCACAGTAAGTCTTGGGTCCTGCCTGCCCTTGCTTATTCGAAGCCCTCACCAGCAGTAGTTCTGTAGGACTTACATTGACCTCAAATCACACTGTCCTCTGCCAAAAATAAACCAGGTTCTAGGCCATGGCAGTGGGTACCACAGCTGCTGATGTGGGACAGACGCAGCTTCCAAGGCACTGTTAGCTGTTTCTGTGACTTCATCTCCTCTGCAGAAACCTCACGGTGACCCCAGCCGAGCTCGAAGTGCAGTGGTGGACGAGCCTAACCAGCAGCCCCAAGAGAGGCTCCTTTTACCTGTCTTCTCTAGACCCAACACAACTCAGTCGTTCTTGGTAACGTGCTTCCTATTTATCTGTTTTGGAGGGGTTAGCAGTATCTCAGACAGCCCATGCTATCTTGAACTCTTTCTGCCTCCAGCTCCCAAGTGCTGGAATTACAGGTGATAGCTACCAACTCAGCTCCTATTTGTCTATGATAGTTGAGGAAAGAAGGGGGTTATAGGAGAGGAGTTGGCAAATTTAGGTCTTTTTATCTAGTGGCTTGATTAACTCTAAGAAAAAGTTGGAGATTATAATGATAAAATACAACTCTAGGTATGTCTTCTTGAAATTCTAAGTGGTCCCCAGCCTATTGTTAGTAAAATGCCCTATTCATAAATTAAAATTCCTCAGCAATTTACTCTGAGCATAAGCTAACAAGATAAACTCCACTGCATACCTGGTCAGCCTGACTTTACTGTCTTCTCTGCTCTTGTGGAGTTTACACTTTAAAGTGGTGTCAGACAGAGGACCTGGGATATGAGCTGAGTTGACCCTCTCTCCCATAAGTGTTTTAAATGCTGATACTTGTCTCAGTTACTGTGCACTTACTAGCCCTTTTACTTTTAAGAAAGAATCTGAAAAATTCCTGAGGACTGGGGCCTTGTGACCTTGTACACCTATATGTCAATGCATGGCCCCTACCTCATCTGCTTTGTGGCAGAAGGACTTGTAAAGCATACAAGTCATACATACTAAGCTTACACTTAGTGCTTAACTAGAGATTCCATGTCCTGTTCCAGTTTTCAGAATGGTAGCATTTGTAGTTCATATATCCTAACTTGACCCTGGAACCGTCTTCTACTAAGCAGTGGTGGGAGTTTGCATTTGTTTGTTTCACAGGGCTCCCATAACAAATGACCACAACATAGCCAAAATAACAGAAACTTAATACTGCCAGTTAGAGAAACTGGAAGTTCTCTGCAAGCTCTAAGAGAACTTTCTCGCCTCTCTGTAGCTTCTATGGTTGCCTGCAATGCTTCTGCTGGATGGGCATGTAGTAGGCTAATGCCCTAATAGGTAAGCCCCAGATCCCAGGGAGAGACCCTGTTGGCAAAAAAAGGTAGGAGCTCCTGAAAACCACACCAAAGGGTGGGAATCTGCCGTGTGCACATGTGTGGGTACACACTCACACTGACCATAGACACAAAGAAAAAAAAAGTTGGGGTTAGAGAGATAGTTCAGTGGTTAAGAGCACTACTTTGCTTCCAGAGGCCTCAGGCTTGATTCCCAGCACCTACATGGCAGGTTACAAGTGTCTTTAACTTCCCAGTGAACACAATACATGTACTCAAAATACCTATTACAAATAAAATTAAAAAAAAGATAACAGCCATAGAAGTTTTGGTCCATCTAAAACAATATGATTTCACTTTAACTTACTTACACAAAGAAATGTTTTTTACAAAAACAGTCACATTCACAAGTTCCAAGCTGATGTGACTTTTAAAGGGTACTATTCAACTTAAAACTTCATGAGGTTTGAGTTAGAATAAAGTCACAGAAAAGGCCAAAAGGGAAATGTAGTTGATTCCTAGGATTCAGTGTGAACCTGGGAAAACCTAAGAACATGTTCTGAATTAGTCCCATTAGATTCAGAACATTTCGTAAGCAAAGTTTATGTTTTATGACTATGTTCTTTCCATTCACAATTTAATTTTAGTTGCCTTAGGGGAAAAAATGAACATATGAAAGCACTTCAGTCTCTTTAAAAATTAAATGTACTTTATACAATAAAAACTGCCTGCCTTAACAGTATTTTCCCTATTTGCAATCATTAAAAAAAAAAAAAAAAAAAAAAAAAAAAAGATTAAGTAGCAGTTCAATATAACTAAGAGTGTGAGCTCTGAGCGTTGGGCCTGGTGCTGCTGACTAGAACTTTGTTCCTTGGTGCTTTCATCTAGTCTAGGAGTCAACAAACCTCAGTCCATGAGCTGTACAAGACTACTGCCTGTTTTGTAAGTAAAGCTTTATTGAAGCAGAGGCACCAAGCTCATTTGTCTGTGGTTACTTCTACTTTTTGAACAGCCATGTTACATCATGTGGTCCATAAAGCAATCTGCTAAAGCCTAATCCCCACAGTGTGGTACCTTCATCGGGAAGAAGTTCTAACTCTTAATTCTAGCCTCTCACAGAGACTGTTTTACTTAGGTAGCCCCAGCATGATGCCTCTTTTTAGTATTTACATTTAAAATCCCTTGACATAACTTTGGTATTTTGTTTTGAGACAGTAGGTAGGTCTGGGTGGCCTTGAACTTACGAGCTCTGCCTGCCTCTGCCTCTCTCTCTGTCTCTGCTTGGATTAAAAACATGCATCACCAAAGTCAACTGAATTAACTTTGAAATGTTTGAGTTTCATAAAGCTTAAACGTAAATTGAAAGCTAAAGTTCATCACATGGTGAAATTATAGGTACGCTTCCCTCTCACCAACAGTGTTAGTTCTATTAAAACGGAATGCTATAACATCAGATGGAATTGTCTTGGCCAGCTATGGTGTTGCAAAACTGCAACACAATGATGGTAAAATAAAACATCCTTTTGTATCTAATTGCAGTATTACACCATATGGATTATTTGAAAATGCTAAGATTTTCTTAAATATATATTAAGTTAGCAAATTGCTTTGTGGACATCTAGCTTGCAGTTTTCTACTGGAATTTAACACAGTACCCTCAGGTTGGCAGATGACAGTTTGTCATTGTTAACGGTAAGTTTTCCTCTGTGTCAGTTTGAGTGAGATGTTCCCCACAGTCTATGGCATTTGAACACTTGGTCCCTAGCCAGTGGTGTTGTTTGGGCAGCTTAGGAGATATGGCCTGCCTGGAAGAAGTATGTCACTTCAGGTGTGTGTGAGTTTAAAGATTCCCACCATTGCTAGCTAGATAGCTCTGCTTCCTACTTGCAATTCAAGATGTAGATTCTCAACTGTTCCTGCCGCCATGTTTTTTGTTTTCTTGCTTTGATGGATTAAATAAGCCATTCCTTCTGTAAGTTGCCTTGGTCATGGTGTTTTATCAAAGCAGTAGAAAAGTAACTAATACACTCTGTAAGCCTCAAACAAGACTCTTTTGGGAGAAGCTACATCCTAAGATGCCTTTCCCTTTCTTTTAGCCAGACACTCAGTACCGAAATTCATGTGCATCTGAGTATCCTCATCAGGCCCGACCTGGCAGGGGGTCTGCAGGTACAGGTGGGGCTGTAGTTGTTGCTTTTATTTTCTTTGTTCGTACACATCTTCCTTTCCTGCAGACTTGTCTATATTTAGTTGTCCCTCCCTCATCTATGTAAATCATCTTAGCATCATTTTGGAAGATGGGTGTAAAAAGGCTTGCTGCCCAAAGCCAAAAAGTTCCTGATTTTTGGTTTGTTTTTTTATTAACAAGCAGATTAATCTTTAAGATAAATTATTATGTTTTGGTGTGGGGGGACGGTTATGGCTCAGTGGTTAAGAGTACTTGCTGTTCTTCCAGAGAACCTAAGGTTCCGAATATCCATGTCAGGCAACTCACAGCCACCAGTTTCAAGAGATCAGACTCCCTCTTCTGGCCCCACAGGTACCTGCATACATATGACATAAAACTCACAGGCACACATACATATACATTTTTTTGTTTTTGTTTTTCAAAACAGTTTCACTGTGTAGCCTTGGCTGTCCTGGAACTCACACTATAAACCAGGCCTCAGACTTATAGAGATCACCTGTCTCTGCCTCCTGAGTGCTAGAATTAAAGATGTGTGCCACCACTACCTGGCACATCTTAGTTTTTAATGAGTGGGTTTTCAAGCAAAACTAGGCTACAGTTTTGGTTCTCTTTGACTTTTGTTTTAAGACAAGAGTCTCAGCTGTTCAGCCCTGAAAGCCCTGGAACTCACTATGAAGACCAGGCTGGCCTTGAACTCACAAGATATTCTCCTATCTCTGCCTCCAAAGTGGTGAGATTAGAAGTATATGCCACAACACCCAGCTTGCTTTCACTACTTAGACGATAATAGTTTTCCAGTAGGGTAAACTATTTAAACATGCCTTGGTGAATATATACTTAAGACAGTGTCCAAATTTAAAGCACATGTAGTAATTTATACAAAAGTCTCTAAGACATGAACTGTGATGTTTCTTACCAAATACAGACTGTTTACTAATGTCATTCTGTGCAATTCTGTGTCTGGCAGGTCCTCAGTCACATGGGTCTACAAAACCTCAGAGCAAAGGTGGACCCATCTCTAGAGCCAGGCAGTGACCAACCACAGGGCAAGTAAGAAACTGCAAGGCCGCAGCACATTATAAATGCATGAAGGCTTCATGCACCAGCACTCGGGCACTGAATGATGCAAAGCTCTGACAAACAGCAGCTTGGACCATCAAGAGTTATCTAAGAAACACTACAGATGCCAAAGGCTGCATGGGCAACTGTTCTGTGTCCAGTTACTATCTTCTTCCAGCTTTAGTTACCCTATTCCATGGGGCAGTAAAGATTGTACCCAAAGACGCAACAATGAAAAACCACCCCAAATCACTGCTCATGTTGTCTGTAAACAATCACCAGTTTAATTCTTATACAACTCAGTGAGATTACATACACACAGATGATTCAGATCACTGGCTTCAGAATATTTCTGCTTTTATTAATTTCTGGAGAACTGTACTTAGTTTTAACCTATTTTTAGAAGAAAGTGCTGCCAACAATCTGAGATATTCATCAAATAAATGTCATTCCTAAACTTTTAAGTTCTTTATTTTGTATGCTCATACGCATGTGGTCAGAGGACATCGGTCTCAGGGTAGGCACCTTTACCTGCCAAGCAATCTTGCCAGCCAAGCTCTCTCTTTCAAAAGCAGAATGAAAGAAGAGCTAACTACAGGTATCATTATGGGTACAAAATAAGGTAAACTAATCCGTTTCTTTTTCCTAAGACAGCCTTACATGCCTACTTGACATCAGGGCCTTTTGTGTGTTCATGCTTGTGCAATTGTGTGCATGCATGTGCAAGCCAGGTCACTGGGTATCCTTCCTGTTTCTCCACCTCATTTTTTGAGACAGTCTCTCACTGAACTTGGGTTCACTCATGCATGTAGCACCAATAACAGAGATTTGTCAGTAGTGGGGATCCAAACTCAGTTTTTATGCTTTACCACTGAGCCAGTTCTCCACTCAAAGAGGAATGAAGTTGGGGAACATCATGTTCCTCTAGTTCCATGACCAGCTTCTCAAGGGCACTAGGAACACAGTAATTGTGTTAATTCTGGCTTGAGTCTGTCTTATGAAATCACCACTTGACTATTGCCTTAGTTCTCACACCACTTTGACATTACTAATTCTCAAGGTGGCTAAATTCAAATGGTTGTCTATTGAAGGTGACGTAAATTATTATAAGTTTGTATGCTATCAAATAGATGCTTCAAGTAACCCACACTGAATTATATTTTAATTAAATACTTCTAATATGCTTGTGATCACAAACTAAATATGTAATGTGTAAATATGTAATGTAACCTTAAACTATAATGCTCAGTAGGAAGAGGCTCATTTCATACACGATGCATTTGACTATATTAGTCTACAAATCAATCACTACAAATATGTCACGTATTGCAGTGACTATCTACCAACTCAAGGTATAAATGAAAATGTGTTCCCACAAAGCCTTACAATCAGATCTACATGGGTGGCCTTTCTAAACGCCCCAGGTCACTTAGCCTAGTTCCTCACCCTTTTACGTGTATCCCCTCAAAGCTAATTAGTATTCATCTTCAAAAACCTGAGCATAGCTGGGCGGTAGTGTCGCTCACTTAATCCCAATACTTGGGAGGCAGAGGCAGGCAGAGCTCTTTGAGTTCAAGGCCAGCCTGGTCTACAGAGCAAGTTCCAGGACAGCCAGGGCCACACAGAGAAACCTTGTTTTGAGAAAATTAAAAACCCACATGAGTATAGTAGGTCTACATAGCAAATCCCAAGCTAACCAGAGCTACACAATAAGACTCATCTGAAATAAACCAAACCAAACAGATCCAAGATATTAAAAAAACAAAACAAAACCCTGCTGTACTTAATACATCAGTTTAATGAGTTCGGATCTCATTCTTACAGATGACAAGCTCAATGAAATGACTAACCCTGTGCCCTGCAAAGACAACTACAACAGCCGTCTGTGTTGAAGCCAGCCTATCTGTTGCAATACAAGTAGATTATGTCCTTTAAAACACTGATAATGCACTAGACCTTTTCATTTTTTTCTTTATCCATATACAGTCTTACAAAAGAGTTTGCAGTAACATAAACACCCACATCTCTAACTTCAAGGACCGAATACAAAAGCTAACAGTCAAACAAGAAAAGAGGATCTGTGTAAGATTAAGACCAAAGCACACTAGCATTTATTTAAAAGATAGCTGTTCAGCAAGTGTTCTGAGGGTGTTCTCCATAGGTAGAGTATCTCTTTAGTGCATGTACATCAGCAAAAGCAGTCCACAGAAACCAATATTCTAGATAGAGCTCCCTGAGCAGAAGGTCCATGGAAGCAAATATCAAATCCACCCTCCCAACCATCACTGCTACAAACCCTTCATGTGAAGCCCTGATACAATGTCAGGTGAATTCTAGGAAATACTAAGAACAGGGTGATGACACCTGCTTGGCTTAGGTGATCCATGTTTTAATGCAGGACAACTTCTCTCAAAGGTTAGGCTAACAGGTGCCTTCCACCTTGTCTACCACAGCACCACTGACACAGAAGGACCCATGAAGAAAAAAACTCCTTTATTTCTTTTCCTTTTTGAGAGCCGTTCTTTTACCTCCTTTGGAAGGTTTGCAGTATTTTGCTTCCATCTCAGCCAGAAAATTGTCCATTTCCTTTTGCCGATCTTTTTGTCTGCTCTGTTTGAGAAGTTAAAACACAGCTTTCAAAATGTGACACTGTCCACTGAGACAATTTCACAGCTAGGAGGGTTGGGGGTAAAGAAGGGTCACCAATGACTAACAATGGATACGGACGCTCTCTGGAGTGGAACACTAGTGACAACTCCACAACTTGGAGGAGGGGAAATTACTGAATTCTCAAAAACAAAAAATATGGTATATGTTATGTGTAATTGTACCCTAAAAGAAAAAAACAAAAACCAAAAAACCACCAGAACATATTCTAAGCAGTACACATAGTAAAAGGGGCCTAAGGAAGCCTGTGGGAGGAGACTGCCTCCTTTACCTGGATTAGTGCTTTCAGGTTATCCACTCCTTCCTCCAGGCCCAGCTCCTTTCTGCTCAACTCTGCTTCTTTAGCCTCTTCCTGGGCCTAAACAGAAACTTTGATCAGCCAAGAAATAACAGAACTACTCCCTTTTTTCCCCATAAAGAAAATGTTAAGACCCCCTTCTAGAACTGGAGTTATATGAATAAAATTATACATGGTTTCATTAGAAGGCAACACACACTACTCAGGGGAAGCACCCTAACTCCAATAAACCCTTCTGTTTTGTTTCCAACTCTACTTCCTAGAGAGCACAAGTACTTTGGCATCACAAACCATATGGTTACACAAAGGAAAAAACCTACTAGGTGAACTGGAAGGGTCACACAGGCAGGGATAGCTTCCAAAGGGATGCCAGGTACCAGGCACCTCAGAATCTTCATCTAAAACTCCATTTTATACACAGCACTGGCAACAGCTTTGTGAGCTGCTGTGATTTAAAGGCTTTCTCTGGAGCTGGTTAGCTGGCTCAGCGGTTAGCAGCGCTTCTCGCTCTTCCAGGGGACATGCCGAGCGCCCACATCAGGTTGCTTATCACTCTAGCTCCTGGGAATCAACAGCCTCTTCTGGCGTCCGTGGGGCCCACACTCATGCACACACAAACACACTTGCGTACACAAATAAATGTAAAATGTGTTCTATGAGTAGCACATTTTAAAATAGCAAATTCAGTTTTAGCCTTTACCTGATTTCAAAGCTGCCTTCATTTAACAAAATTTGCCAAAATACTACAAGAACACCCAAAGGCAGCAACAGTAATAATATGAAGCTCTACTCCTTGCAAAATTTCTATGTAGCAAAAAATTACATTAATACTGTGAATAATAATAGGGATCTTGTTATTCCAGAAGAAAAACAATTTGTTTTATTCTCAAAATTCAGCATCCCTTAATCCCCTTACACTGGTTATACATCTTTCAAGCTGTCATTTCCCCTCAAACTATAAGATTCTCAAACTAAAATCCTGATAGACTACAGCTGTTCAGTTTTACCTGAAATGACTAACAAGTGGGTATGGCTCTAAGCAGATGTAGCCAATAAACAAAAGAACTTTGGTATCTTCTCCCTTCTTCCCTCAATGCAACCGACATGGCAGTCTTTAATTGGTAAAGCAGATCCTTCAACTCACCCCAAACATAAAGGTCAGTTTTTCTCTCTGCATGTTCTTGTATCTAAACACTCCAGGTCTTTGCCCATCCATTTGAGACACACAAAAGACAACTCAAGTATCCACCAAACACCTAAAACCTGCTCTCCTGGGGAGCGCTAATTGTGAAAGTCATGATGAAGCAACTGTTGCTTTAACAACAATCCAAGGTAACGTTTCCAAAGGGCATATGAAGAGAGGCTTCCTACCTTGAATACTTTGGCCATCATCTCCACCAAACCTGGTTTAACAGGGGTATGAAAAATTACAAAATCCCAATTCTCAGCAAACACATGTTCCTCAGAGCACGGCACAAAGACTCACCTCAAGTATGCTTTAAGAAATCAGACGGGGGCTGGAAAGACCATCCAGCAGTTACACAGAAACCAGAGTTGTCAGATCCCTGGGAGCTGGAGCCACAGACAGTTGTGAGCCACCTAGCCTTGGTCCTGGAAATTGAACCTGGGTCTCTGTAGGTGCAGTAGTACACGCCCACTGAGCCATCTCTTTAGCCCCTTACTTTATTTTTTTTTCCAAATAATTATATATGTTTACAGGATTAAAAGAAAAAAATCTATTTTTTCTCCTCTTCTGGGCAGTTTTGGAGATTTAGGGACCTACCACACAGACAACCTAGACAACCAATGCAGCACTGATCCACATACCACAGCTTGACTTCAAAAGTAGCAATTCTCCCAAGTTAGCCTCCTCAATGCTCAGTACTAGTAGCACCACCACAACTCGCTGGCCATTCAACACTTTTAACAAGACAGTCACTGCTGCTCACCAACCACACCTGGACCACAGCTGTACCTAGGATCCCTACAGAAAAGCTACAAGGACTCCCAAACAATCCATAAAGTGAAATCATTTTCAGCACAACATAGCAAAACAAACAGGGTTTGCTTCCTGATCATCTAGTCAGATCAGCGCTGCTGGTCAAGCAGCTCCTATTTCAGCAGTTTGTTCCCTTCGTTGTAAATACGCCAAGACCCCTTTTTGAAGCAGCTCAGATATGTTACAAACAGCATGCAAACTTACCCTCCTTTTCCTTGCAGTCATCTTTTGTTTAGACTCTTTAACGAAGGCTTTGTAGGATGGAACCTCTTTGGCATCGATAGCTTGTTGAATGATGTTTCTTATCCTGGGCTCATCTGTGTATTGCACACAAAGCACAGACTCCATGATCTGATCCATGTCACCCTTGAAGTCCAGGTACGCCTGCTTAATATCGTTTAGCTCTTCTTCCGAGCCTTTGTATGTCTTTTCAAAGGCTTGAATGTCCTCTAGCGTTATCTAATGACAAGGAAGATTGTTTTAACTTCGCCATTGTACTTGTGAACCGAACGATGGGAATTAGAGCCAATTTGACTTTTAGAGCCCTTTACCTTTTTAAAGAGTAACCGCCAATACGCATTCCAGTCTCGATCTTGATTGAGGCCAGCAGAGTCCTCGTCCACTGTCCCCTGTTCATCATACACTGCTCTCTGCTCCTTGTCACTCAGAACCGTGTAGACTCTCCCCAAGATCTGCAGGTAGAGAGCATCCAAAAGTCACCCTGAACCTCTCACTGAAGCCGTGCGGCTAGAGAAGCTTTAAAATACCAGGCCGAGGATCAGCAGTGCGCTGTCCCAAAGGTGGGGGGGCCCCAAGAGGGCGGGGGAAGTCCGGGTGGCCGTCCGAACGCGGGCCCACAGCTACCTGGAAGCGGCGGGTGGCGTCCTCTTTCTGGTTCTCGTCCACACGGTCCGGGTGCACTTGCAGGGACACTTTGTGGTAGCCGCGCCGGACCTCGCCGTCGGAAGCCTCGCGCCGCACGCCCAGCACCCGGTAGAGGTCTGCGGTGCCGAACACCTGCTCGCACAGCTCCAGCAGCCCCATGCCGGGGGAGAGGCTGCCCCGCCAAAGTCGCGAATCCGTACACACAGCGGCTCCGTCAGCCCGCCGCCTTTTCCCGCCCAAAAAGCCCTGGGCGCCTGCGTCACAGGAGGCGCACCGGGGGCGGGGCCAGTCACGCTTTACGGCAGCCGCAAACGGCACCCGTTCTCACCAGACAAATAAAATACGGCCCTCAGCGGGTGGATGGCGGCGTTTTGCGGAGCGGAAGCACGCCCTTCTGACCTGCACTTCCTTCATGTGCTCTGCGCAGAAGCTCAATGACACGTGAAAGTATGTAACAGACCGAAAGTTTTCCCAATAGAAGGCGGTTCCTTGGGCAGGCGAGGATACGCAACAGGTTGGAGCACTTGCAGCCATACCTGACGAGCTCCGGGACAAGTAGGGTTGAACCAACACACACTCACTGTCATACAAAGTAAGTTAAATATAATACAAGTGTTCATGTAGCAGCGTTGGGAAATTTAACATGCTCAACCTAAAGGTTAATGTGTGTGTGTTCAAAGATCTTCAAAGCAGTACAGGCTTAAATGACTTCTGGGAAGAATCCCTCAGTCTCTGCAGGAAAAAAAGCCTATATCCAACAAAATGCAGAAAACTTTTAAGAATACTTTTTATCTCATAGGATGTAGATCTTTGACAGCACAAAATTAATCCCACTCATCTGCTCCAGTCACTTTACACTCAGCCTCTCATTTTAAACAAAGCTAAAGTCAGTCCCTGTCCATCTGTCAGAATCCCCTCATAACTGAAAGAAAACCAGCAGCCACAACCTCAGAATGTGCATTAGCTAGTAACTATTCTCAGAATCCAGATAATAAGACAGGCCAGAGCACTAGCAGGCCTTAGAGGCTTCTCTATAAACTCCCAGTACCTTAGGCTTACTGTAGAAATTAAAACATGTGACATGTGAGCCATGCCTACAGTTGTAGAATCCTGTTGTGGTGGGACAGGTGTTAGATTTTTTTTTCATACAGCCTATCATTTACATACCAAACTCATTTACATACCTAAACACAACTCTATCACTGACTTTCTTCTGTGTATGATATATGTATGTGTGCTGAGTTAAAGCGGGCATGTTCACACATGTGGAGACCAGAGAACAGTCTTAGCTGTCAGTCTTTACTTTCTACCTCATCTGAGACAGGGTGTCTTGGGTTGTTTTTCCACTGTGCACACCCACTAGCCTGTGAGTGTCTGAGGACTCCTTTGTCTTTCCCTCCCATGTCCCTGTAGGATGCTATTGCAGATTCTTTGCTTCCTGTCCAGCTGTTTTACATGTGTTCTAAGGACTCAGCATCTCAGAACTGCATGGTAAAGCACTTTTAACCCTGAGCCATCTCCTGGACCTCTATCACTGACATTTAAAGTAGACCTTGGAGTCAGTGCTGATGGTGTACACCCTTAATCCCAGCATTCAGGAGGCAGAGGCTGGTGGATCTCTCTGTAAGTTGGAGACCAGCCTGATCTACAAATCGAATCCAGGACAGCCAAGGCTCTGTTATATTGAGAAACCCTGTCTCAAAAAAAAAAAAAAAAAAACAAACTAGGTAGAGACAGGTGAATCTCTCTGGTTCAAGGCCAGCCTGGTATAGAAAGGCATTTTCTTCTTTTTCTTTACAACTAAAAACATTTTCAAACCGTACTTGATAAAAACCTGAAGAAAGACATTGACACAAGACAGCCTGGGCTATTACACAGAGAAACCCATCTCAGAAAAACAAAAACAAAAGTAGGTGCATGCCTGTGATCCCAGCACTCTGGGAGGCAGAGGCAAGCGGATCTCTGTGAGTTCAAGGCCAGCCTAGTCTACAAAGTTAGTCCAGGTTAGCCAAGGCTACATAAAGACTGTAAAAAAAAAACAAACTGTCTCTAAAAAAAAAACAAACAAAATCCAAAAAGCTCCAAAGCAACTTTTATAACCATCTTTGTAAACCTGAGATCATGAGTCAAGAGAACAATATAAATCCCACTAACACAAAGAATAAACAAGGCAACTGTCTTCTTGAGCTGGTTAATCACTTGGGATGGTCCCAAGTGATTAACGAAATATTTGGACCAGGTATAGTATATATACTTGTAAATCCCAGCACTCAGAAGACAGTCAAGAGGACAGCTGAAAGTTCAAGGTCAGTCTGATCTATATATCACATATAACAAGCTCCACAACAGCCAAGGTTGCAGAGCAAGAACCTGTCTTAAAATATTTGAATGGGCCAAGCACATTTCTGGTTGAGGGCTTTGAAGCAGGAAAGTACTGGATGACTGCAGATTGTAAAGTTGCCCATGTGAACAGGGTTTAACCCAAAGCCCAACCCTCCCTGTACCCATTGACTGTCACAAGATAAGGCAGGAAAGCCTAGCAGGTATCTACACCCAGTTCTAAACATCAGACATAAACAAATTTCTGCCTGACACCTGCTCAGGCTATGCTGGAAGATTGTGGCTAGGAAAACTCCATTTATTGATCCTCAAACCCAACACAAAACTCTACTGGAGAGTTCTGCAGGCCCTTCAGCTGTGTTCACTCAAGTCAGCTCTATTCTGTTTCTCTGGACTCTGATTCTGCTTTCTGAGACGCTAAGAGGACTTCCCGTGCTCTCTTCCGCCGAAGTCTCTCAGCATTGGTGATTATCATCGGATGCAGGGGGTAAAAGCCAGAAAGACCTAAAAAGCAACAGGATTTTCGTTAAAATATTGCTTTGCAGAAGTCTGCTTTCCAGAACTAAAATCCAATACAGTATACACTGTATCCAATACAGTATACACAAGAAATAGGCTCCTGGCTTGCCAATTTTTTGCACAAAATCCCAGTCACCTGGAGCCTTTTAAAGGAGTACATAAATGTGTATTGGGGCAAAGGGTGGGGGGGGGGGAATATCCAGATTTAAAAATGGCAATTACATCACTTCAACCTTCCACTCCTGTCCAGAGCAGCCGCGAGGGAATGAAAATCATTCTTCTCCATTATCCTAGAGTTGGCCCCTGTATGAAATCCCTTAAATTATCTAGGCTCAGAGATAGTTTACCCAGAAGTTTCTCCATAGGCTTAGAGAGCTGAGCTCCACAGCCAATCCAATGGCGAATCCGGTCCAGGTTGAGGGCAACCAGTTTTTCTCCGTTAGTGTTGGGCAGTGGATCGTAGGAGCCCAGCTGCTCCACAAAGCGGCCATCCCTGGCACACTTGTTGTAAGCAGCCACAATGCGATAAAAAGGCCGGTTGGTGCAGCCACCCAAAGCAAGGCGTATGGTTACGTGGCCTCCATGGTAGGCTTTGCAGAAAAAGGTTGCTGTAGAGAAATAACTGGTTAGGACGCAAAAACAGAGGACTCAAAATAGGTCCTATAAAGTAAAGGCACAATTCCTCCTTCTACTGCAGTGTTCTCACTTCCAATCTATTCCATCCGGCTTAGGTACCATCTTGTCTGTGAAACTCCCTTTAACCACTCCAGACAGGACATATTTTTTTCCTAAATCCGCGTAACACAGACCTGCCATTTGCTAAGCTGTGACCCTGTCATACCTTTAGGTGCTTCGTCTGCAAAACGGTTTCTACGATTTTGTGGTAAAAACTAAGAAGAGAGGCTGAGCATGGTGACGCACACCTTTGACCACAGCATATCTGGGAGGCAGAGGCAAATGGATGTCTAAGTTCGAAGCCAGCCTGTCTTTACCAGTTCCAGACCAGCCAAGGCTACACGATGAGACCCTGCCTAAAAGCAAAACAGACGGAGAAGAGGCTCGGTTGTAAGGCAGTACGGCCGCGCCTAGCCCAGGCCGCCTCAGCCTGCACCCGCCCTGAAGCCCCGTGCACTCACTGAGGTGAACCATGGTGCAGCGGCGGCGTGCGGCTCTCCGGCTGTCCCCCCGCACAAACAAACCCCTCCGAGCCTGAAGCCTGAAAGAGCGCCCTCAAAGGGCCGCGCAGACACACACCGGAGAGCCCTTGCGGAAGCGGCCGGCCGCTCGCCCCGCCCCTTCCGATTTCTCTTCCTCTGCGTGCCGGAAAGCTACAAGGCTCCGGGGTCTGTCGACTGCTGCGGAAGAGGTGTGTCTGTGTGCTTGGGGTAACTGGATGTGTTTAGCTTGAGCTACTGTGGCTGCGGAGTGTGTTGCGAGACTGCCAGGCCCTGTCTACAGGGGTGCTAAGTGGTCTGCAAACACGTCGGTTCTGCAGCGGTCCCCACGCCGATTAGGGTGGAAGAGCACTGACCTTGGCGCCCTTGACTTGATGGGCAGGCGGAGATGAAGCTGCCCCTTCCTGGAAAGACTTCATAAAGCACTGAGCGAAAATTAAAAATAACTAGTTTATCCTCAGTTTATTAATAACTCTAACTTTTCTCTAACGATTCTCCCAAGAATCGCTCCGTTAAAAAATGAGAGTGGGGGAGTCGCTTTTATTTTCGCGTTTACTATATAACATGCTCCGAAAAGTTAGGGGTATGATTTCTTTGTCTTCTTTAAGACCTGAATTAACGACTTCACTGAGTTTTACGTCGCTGATTACATAGCTTTGTGTAAAAGCCGCCCTCCTGACTTAAATCCATGTAGATACCGCTGGTTGAGTTAAAGAAATCAGTACCTCCATCCTGAGCAAAGGCCTCTCTTTTAGCTATTCCAAAAGGCTTAGCTCCCAGAATATCCTCTGCCCCCTTATCGAGTGACACAACATAGCGGTATTTGAAGATGGTGCCCTAATTCCCAAGCCCCAGAAACTAAAGCTGGTCAAGAACTTTGGCAGTTGACCACCTCCAGGGATCACCTGCAGGATGATCGGATAAGCTTTCATCAGAAATTCTAATAGTCACACCATTATGCCATACATCTACCAACAAATAGTCTTATTAATTGCATAATTATATAAGCACACATAAAATATAATTTGCTACATAAGACTTCAGAAACACTGGATAAATTTTCAGTTGTTTTTTTTTTGTTTGTTTGTTTTTTTTAATTTTTTATTATGATCTGATTTACCATCAACAGCTAGTGGGGGGGGCGGAATGGGCAGGTTTCATCTGGTGACAATTTTGGGGAAAAAAAGATGCTTGGGGTCCCATATTAAATATCCAGTTGTATGGATGTCAGAATGATGGATCTCCAAAACCAACCATTTCCTGTACGCTGTGGATTTCTGCAAGCAGAGCCTCATTTTTCAGTTTCAGCTGCAGAAACAAGGCAGAGAAAGAAGTCAAGTCCAACATACCATATGTATCTTTGAGGACCCCTAATTTATGAGGCTCCAAATTTGTGGGGGTGGAATGGGCCTTTCCTATATTCTGGACATCCTGGAAGCTCTCTTAAAGACTTAGAACATATTGGTTCCAAGGGTGTGTGGTCCCTTGGTGAAAATTCATCAGGCACTGAGAGCTGTCACATCTGTACCGTCTTGGAAGACAGTGTCTGCCTCACACCTTTACTGTATACTTGTAGGCTTGCTCAGCTTCCAGTTGTCGTCCAACCTGAAAAAAAGCACAGCACATCTTTCATAGAAAATGTAAATAAATAACTAAGCACATTCCTTTCAAGGAGGGACTGCCCAAGATTGACATTTTCTTTGTCATCAGTACAATCACAAATCCAGGTATTATTTGTTAATGGCCAGCTTACATTTCCTTCTTACTTGGGCCTTCACCTGTTCCTTGAAAGAGCTTTGTGAAGGGACAAAAGAAACACTTACTTTCAGGCAGACCAGAGCCAGATAGGCCCACACCTCAGCATTGTAGTTATTCAATGCGTTGGCTTCAGAGAGAGCATCCTCAGCCTCGGTGAGCTCCTCCAGCTTGAGAGAGAAAGATGGGAGACATAGTCCAAAGTGGTTTTCACTTAAGCCAACTAGAGTCAGCTTAGGTGTCTCTCCTAGCTAACCAACAGATGTTCACGACCTATAACGGTGCTTTTCAAATAAAACCTAAAAATTCATCATTGTTTCTGGAATCATATGTAGAAGAATTTTAATTGAGAACATGGGGATTCTGGCAGGAGATCCCATCCAAAGGCCTCCTGTGTCTGTGTGATGCAGGAGACAGAGGCAAGCAGATCAGAGTTCAAGGCCAGCCTGGTATAGAGCAAGTTTCAGGAAAAGAAAAGCTTAGGTCTAGGACTGGTGGTACATGCCTTTAATCCCAAACAATGAAGGTAAAGTTAGTTTGTAGATTCAAAGTGATGCCTAGTTGAGTGGCAGAAAAGGTGACGAATCAGAGAAGGAGTTGACAGAATAGGATATGCCCAACTCTCTAGAGGAGAGAAGAAAGTGAAGCTATTTAAGGGGCAATGCAGAGAGAGGAAGGAGTTTTCCTGGGAGAGTTTTACAGAGAGGTTGAATGAGAGAACAAGCCAGACACAGATGAAGACAGCACAAACTAGAGAATGAGGAAGAGCCAGAAGATTTCTAGAGTTAGTTTAAGATGAACAGAGTAATTCGGGAGCCAAGAGAAACATCAGATTGATTAAGTCAGCTGGGAGAGGAGTTTGAGCCAGAACAGCTGAGTTGAACCAGCCAGAGCTATTTAAGAACAAGAAAGAGTGAACTTACTAAGCAAGTCTCAGAGGCTGAAAACATTTTAGGCCTAGGTTACACTGTACAGAGACTAGAAGCTTCCAGGACTAGGCCTAGGTTAGCAGACAGAGGCAGTAATCTGAGACAACAATTTCCTCAGGAAAATAAAAGTTCCTGTTACAGTCATATGTAGCATATATTTTATATGTTCTATATGATTATGCAACTATTAATAGACATTTTTGTGGTTGGAAATATGGTAGGTATATATCCTCCACATGATAAAGTAACTCTTCTTTTTTGTTTGACTTATTTTTGTTTTTAAATTATTTAGAGACTGGGTCTGCTTGTTAGTGAAACTCACAGGCTTGGCTTGAAACTCATTATGTATCCCAGGCTGTCCTTGAACTTGAAACTATTCCTCTGCCTCAGCCATCCAGGCATTGGGATTTTAGGCATGAGCCACCAGGCCTAGATTTTTTTTTTTTTTTCAGTTTTAAACGGATAGCGAGGTTCTAAGCACATGAAAAGATAAAGCATAGCCTTTCAACCATGCCCATGTTTTGACTCACACTTTAGATCTTTCAGAAATTGTATTCAGCCAACCTACATTTGCTGTAGATGTGTTCTGTGCTCAGCAATATACTTGATGCTGAGAATATAAATATGTATGTACATATACAGCTCTTGCCCTCAGAGACATCAGTGGTGGATATGTAAAAAATATGAGAAACAACATAAACAGTTCCATTACAAAATAAGTATTTCTTGAGTAAAAGCACACTTATAATCTAGAGGTGAGTCAAAGAGAAATAGTAAGACTGAAGGATAGCCTCAGAGAAGAAACATCACAAAAATGGATTATGAAAGATGACTAGAAGTTTGATAGATGTACAAGGTCAAGCGAGATAAAGGGACTAGCTACAAAGGTACAGGGTGTGATGGAGTACATCATGCACAGAAAACTATCTGTGTGTGTGTCCTTAGCTGGCCTGGAACTTGCTATGTAGACGAGGCTGGCCTTAGCTTCATAGAGAACCACTTGCCTCTGCCTCCTGAATGATGGGAACAAAGGCATGTTTACAGCTCTGAAAGTGCTGTCCCCAGCCTCAGGCAGGGACTCTGTAGACCTCATGACTTTAGTAGAAAATGTCTGTAATCCCAGCATTGGTAGGTAAGGGAGAAAGGTCAAAAGTTCAATGTTACCTTTGGCTATATATTGAGTTTGAAACCACCTTGGGTATATGAGAACCCCATCTTTGGCACTAGCAAGACAGTAATTTGATTCAAGTCTGAGCATGTTAACATATTTGCAGATGAGGTGTGCATGTCTAACATTTGCTTTAAAAGACTCCAGAGGGAAATGTTGAGGCAAAGATGAAGACAAAGATGAGGACGTAAAGTTAATGGCTGCCAAATCAGGGTAAAGTGGAAGGCATGTTGTGCTCTTTACAACTAAGGACATCAAACTGTCCTTGATAATAACAAACAAAAACTACAAGATAAACATTGACACTATGGCTGGTTGTGTGGCCTGGGAGTTCACTTCTGTCTCTTTACATCTCAGATTTCTCATGCTAGTTTTTTGCTCAAGGATATTTTATTTTTATAGTTCAGGCTCCAGTTAATGAATAACTTTGAAGAACAGTTTTTCTGTTAGGGCAGACTGCCATCCCACCATCATCTCAAGACCCACAAAATACTTGGAGGATCATGGGTAGCAAGCCCTCTGCTTTCTTACCCGGTAACAAGCAATTCCTAGTCCTAGCCAGGTAAGGCATGAAGGCGCTCTCTTACAGGCTTGCATATAGGTACTCTTTGCCTTTTCATACTGTCAAAAGAAAGTACCGTTAAGCTTCAAACAGTGTGTTGCTAAGGTAACCACAAGCTTCTTGACAGTTTCACTCCAGAATAATCTGAAATTGAATCCTTGGATGATATTTTCATGGATACTTTAAAGGAGCTGTTTTAAGAGGCCTGGGGAGAGACTAGGAAGCCAAATGAAAAGGCAAGTTTCACCTGGGAGCAGATCAAGGCTGTGGGAGGGACTTAAAACTGGACATTCTGGGCAAGCACGGTGGTTATTTGAATTCTGTCTGGACTTAATGGAACATCCTTTCACTTAGAAGTGGAAGGAATGGCAGACACTGATCCTCTGGTCCCTCTGAGAACCTGTTCCACTATCAGAAGAGTCTTAAAGGTGCCATAGAGACACTTAGAGAAACACAAAAATCAAACTTTCTTCCAGATGCAATGCCTATATTCCCAGCTACTCAGCAGTTCTAAGAGCTGAGGCAAGAGGATTATTTGAGCCCAGAAGTTCAAGGACAGTCTTGTAACATAATAAGATAACCATTTCTTTTCTTTTGGTGGGGGTGAAGATGAGAGAGGGTCTTTTATAGCCCAGACTGGCCTTGAACTTGCTGTGTAGCCCAGGATGGCCTTCAACAGCTTATTTTCCAACCTCTACCTCCTGAAAGCTGGCATTACAGGGATGAACTATCACACCCAGTTTCATGTGGTGCTGGGGATTAAGCCCAGGGCCACATTCCTGACAGGCATGCCCTCAGACAACTGCACTATGCCCCTACTCCATCATCTGTTTTGTTGTTGTTTGTTTGTTTGTTTGTTTGGAGACAAGACCTCAGGATTTTCTCCAGGTTGGCTTAAAAGTTCTGGGCCAAGCCAGTCCTGAAACCTGAGCCTCCTGTGTGCTGGCACAATTGCCACACACTGGCGCATTCAGAAAACCCTCTCTCTGTCCAAAATGAAACTTCCAAAAGAAGTAGGACTCAGTGGCTTCTTTCTTGTATCTAGAGCTGACCATGAGCATTCAGCCTAGGAACTGGTTGCCAAGTAACCATGAGGTCACTAGCTGCGTGAGGATGGCAGCTTGCAATGACATTAGAAAGAATCTTTCTCCTTGTTTGCTTCACTGCAACAGGGCTGCAATTTCTCTCTGGCCTGGATTAGCCTTTTCATGTTCATTGTCATGCATTGTAACTTTATGTTCCTTTTGGTTAATGTGCTAAATAAAAACCTGACATTTAATAGTGAAGAAGGGAAAAGGAATGAAGACAAGTAAAACAGTCAAAATGCCTGTGGCAGAAGGTGACAATTAGGTGGTCCAGATGGTTTGTTTTCCCATTGTTTACTTTGCATGTATTTGAAGTTTTCTAAAATAGCAAGCCTACTCCCCATCTCCTATTGTAAAATCCCTTGAGGCAATTTCTAAAAGACAGCAGAGGGACTTCTCATGTCAGCTTAGAGTGCCCTATACGATGGAGCTAGCCTAAGTTAGGTTACACCTAATAATGCTCTGTGTTGACAAAGAGGTTTAGATGTATACTGCTCTTAAGTCAGTTTTTCTCCCTCTCCTCCCCAACTCACATTTAACTAAAGGGTGTGCTATTCTCTGTTTCTACTTAATAAACTTCCTGAATTTGCTTCATTCTGACTCATCCTGAATTCTTTTGTGCAGTGTAGTAATGGAAGTGGCTTTACTTAAAATGAAGGTCCCTAATGAGGTAGGGGTGGAGGCAGTGTGGGTGGCAGTGCGGAGCTACGTTTCTCTGGACCATGGACCACTCCCTTCGCTCTCCCTTACCTCTTTCTCTTCCAGGTAGATGTGGCCCAGCCGTAGGAAGATGAAGTGCATCTCAGCAGCATCAACTACAAAACTAACAGTTCGCTCATAGCACGCCTTGGCCTCAGCATGATTTCCACTTAGAAAATAGAGATGGCCCTTCACACCCCAAACATTAGGGTTCTGAGGAAGCAGACAAAACACATGCAGGATGGTTTGGTATTTAAGTCCCTAATGAATTTTGTTGAACATTTACATTCAGATCAGCACATTTCTTTCCTTTTATTTATTTATTTATTTTTTTTTTTTAAGAGCACATACACAGAAAGAACTTTTCTAGTCACACTAGGGATTATTTTTCTGGAATGCCCTCATTCTTGTATTCCTCAAAGCCATTTTATCTTCAGGATGAATATTAAGACGAACACTCAGCTATAATCAGAATGATACTATTAAGAGCAAAGGGAAGTCTAAAAACTTGAAACAAGGAGCAACTCCTGCTAAATGACTGCCTTATCTATTCTTTACCTTTTATAGAACTCATGATTACTTAAGAAAACCAAACACATGCCAGAAATCTCTCTGTGATATGGCACCATTACTTTATTTCTTTTGAGGTGGAGTATCATCATGCTGCCTATTCTAACTTCAAACTCGTGGGCTCAAGCCCTCAAGCAGCTGAGACACACACTATTGTGTCCTGCTTTCATCTCCATCTTAACAAAGACTGTACAGCCCTTCTCCCATCTAAAAGGCTTTATCTAGAAAAATCAGTACCAGATAGTCCATCTGGGCTGCTTGTTGGAGATACTCCTCTGTCTTGGCAAAGTCCTTCTTGAGAAGGTGTGTCTGGGCCAGAACCAAATAATATTCACAACTGGGTCCACCTTGAGGGCAGAGCAGCTCATGTGCCAGCACTCTGTGCACAAACTGCAAGGAAACCCAATGATAGAAAACATAAAAATGAGTGCCTTGTAATAGTCAAATAGCTTTCAGGAGGGAGGGAGTCTGGCTCCAGTTGTCAACAGTGAAGGATGTCTTATAGAATAAAATTATCATCTTCAGTGGCAAAGGGACGAGAGGAAATCACAGACAGTACTTCATGTCCTAGTACAAGCTGCTCAGTCAGCGGACATCAGCATTTCCAAGTGAACACAGTGCAGTACTGTGCAGTGCAGGCCTGGTGGCCATTAGACTGGGATCTAGACTGTGTGTTGGGTGCAGGCAAAGGCACTTCATCATCCTTCCTGCTTACATGTGAAACAACAAGCCAAATGACCTGAGTTTGACCCCCTGAGCACACATAGTGGGAGGAGAAGGCTGACTTATGCAAGTCATCCTCTGACCTTACATGTATATGACCCCTCATAAATAGGTAAATGTAAAAATGTTCTAAAAAGAAAGTGGTCAGGCTACAGTAGGAGTCTGACTTCGTTCTGAGGGTAGCAGACTTCTCATGAGGGCTGCTGTGCAGAGAGTGGTTGGTGTTTGGATATTCCTTATTTGGTAAGAAATGCCCTTAAAGTACATCTGAGGAAACAGTGATAGAGCTCAGTGGTGGAATGTGTGTTTAGCATGTGGGAGTCTCCAGGCTCAATCCCCAGCACCAAAAAAGTATGTTTGGTTTCTGCTTCATACACATTTAAGCTTGCAAGACACTGCTCTGGGTAGAATACATACTTCACTGAAATCCTCCATCTGTGTGCCAGTTCCCAAACATTCTGACCTGTACAGCGTTGACCTTCATCAAGAAGCGAATGGTCTCCATGAAGATTGTGGCAGGAGGTTGGGTGATAATATGAGGGGTATATTGATAAAAGGGTGATGAATCTTGACATTTTGATGTTTCTGGAAATAGATTAACAGGATAGAAGACCAGATGCAAATAAGATATGCCAGAAGCTCAGACATATTAATAAGGTAGGGAGAATATTCTGATCTCAAATGAGATAAGCCAGAGATGAGACCAGAATCTGGAGAGCAGATTATTTCAAGTTATGCAGAAATCAAACTTAAAGGCTATCAAGGTAAATGTACTAGTGGTTCTAAGGCAAGTCACAACCAAATGAAAGGGCCTGGAGAGATGAATCAGCAAAGGCCCTGAGTTCTGACTACCATCACCCACTTAAAAAAAAAAAAGGCCACATGCAGGTGGCTGGAACCACTGGCAACATAAAACCAAGCAGATGCCTGTGCTCACTAGCCAGTCAGGGCAGCTGAGACAATGAGGCATCTGGCCTCCACACATATGCACACTCATGACACACACACAGAAAAACATACACACAATTAAGCAATTAATTTAAAGAAGTATTCAGACCTCCTTGGGTTTGAAACAACTTATATTCTGAAAATAATGACTCACTGGAAAATTATAATCCTGTTAGCTACTTCTGTGGACAAAATTTAAATCCATACTTATCAAAGAAGACTCAGCGTGGAATTTAGAATTCAGATCCTAGACTAATACGAACTGTGCTCAGTGTAACTTCAAACACATCAGGATCTTAACAATCATAATCCTAGGAGTCTTCGTGCTCATCTGGTTGGTTTGCACCCCTCTTTCAGGAGGAATTCTGACTCCTACTTACCTTTTTTTGCTACTAGCTCCTTTAATAGCACATTGGATGGTTTCTGGGCAAGAGAAGACTCCTGAGGTTGTAAAGTCACTATTGGATCTTGTAATTCAGATTGTGCCTTCGAAGATTCTTCAGTAAGCTCCTCTAGACTGGACAGCACAGTGCTTGGCCCTAAACAGATTAGATTTGATGAAAAGGAGCTTCCTCTTTCTGGCATTGAAAGGTAATAGGACAGAAGATGTATAAACAATAAGACAGACATCCCCTAAGCACTGCCTGAAGGAGCAGGCTATAGTGTGGACATCGTGAATAAAGAGTAGCGTCCTCAGTCCCAGGTATCTAGATGGCACACAGCACACACACACAAGTACTCTGCTAGATCCACAGCAGCAAGAGCCCACAGGAGAAGAAAGGTGCATCACACATTACAGGAAAGCCCTCACAGACAGGGTCTCATCTTCCTTCGGTGCTCAGCAGGAAATGAGGACAGAAAAATAGTTGACAGAAGCAGACAAGGAACCAAACAAGTAAGATCTGGGAAGACAGGAACCCAGAGAGGAAAGGTGAGAGAAACAAACACGTCCCCCATAAAATACTTCCAACTTTGAAGAGAGGAAAAAAAAAAAAAAAAAAGAGACCACATCAGATACAAACAATCAAACGTAAAACAAACAAAAAAACCTTGGGGTGGGGGGTGCAGCTCGATATTGGGGTGAGCATTCATCAACTGGGAGCTCCTGGGTCTGATCCCTAAAATAACAACAACAAAGAAAAATCTCTTGGTAACTTCTATGAAGAAAATAACAACAACAACAGCAAAAAACAAACAAACAAACAAACAAAAAAAAAAAACAGTAACTTCAGACACATAAGAGATAAAAGGGATTACACCAGAAACTGCAACATGACAAAGCTGAAAGTTTTAAGAGAAAAGGAGAAATTGTGACAATATTGGAAGAAATAAAGAGATAATGTAGCCGGAGAAGCGGCTCAGGATGTGGAGCACGAGCTCTAGGAGTCCCTGAGCTTGGCTCCCAGCACCCACATGGCTCCCAGCTGCCTAGAACCTGCTCCGGGGCATCGCTGCCTCCATACGCTCTTGCAGTAATGTGTAGGAGTCCCTGACCCAGGCACAGGCACACACACAATTAAAAATAAAGCAAATAATTAAAAAAAAGATATTGTAACATAAATACTGAGAGGGAAGAAGATAAAACTATATTTATGGATGATATCAGTCATATAGATGTTTGGTTGGTTGGTTGGTTGGTTGGTTGGTTGGTTGGTTGGTTGGTTGGTTTGGTTTTTATTTTTTGAGACAGGGTTTCTCTGTGTAGCTCTGGCTGCCCTCGAACTCACTCTGTGGACCAGCTGGCCTCAAACTCAGAAATCCACCTACCTCTGCCTTTCAAGTGCTGTGATTAAAAGTGTGGGACACCACATGCAATTCATAGTCAAATTTTTAAGAAACAACAAAAATCATTAATTCATTAGTGAATAAAAAAGGAAAAAGGCTTCCACATTCAAGTTCAATAAAAGAGCTGGAGAGAAGGCTCACTGGTTAAGAGCACAAGCTGCTCTTCCAGAGGTCCTAGGGTTCAATTCCAAGCACCCACATGACAGCTCATAACTGTCTATAACTCCTGTTCCAAGGGATCAGAAATTCTCACACATATACACATGCAGGTAAAACACCGATGTATATATATAAAAAAAAGTTCAATAAAAATTATCTGGAATCAAGAAATAACTAAAAGTTTTGTTTACTAAAAAGGGCCTCATTAGATAAAATGTTAAAATTTTAGTTAAAAACAAAGAAAAGAAATTACTAAATGGACATGTCATTGCCACACAGGACAGAATAGACTAATATAAAAGTCTTAATTATCTCTCAGCTGATCTCTAATTTTTATATAGTTCAAATAAAAATTATAGTCACATTTTTAAAATGCAGTTACTAAATTCACTGTAAAATCCATGCAGACAAGTAAAGGTCCACACATGGCTAAGTGAGACAGTTACATGTGAGAACCTGATATGCCGGCTTTCAAGGCATACCCCAAAACCACAGCCATAAAAGACATGTGCAAGGCTTTCATATCTGTATGTTTATACATGACAGATGGGATGGAGTGAGAAGTTCAAAGTTTAGGAATGTATACTTTACCTCAGAGGGGGAAATAATGAGGTTAGTAGAGATTGCTGAGAAAAATATATCCCTATCCAGACAAAAAAAATAAAATGGAATGCCCACAAAGCAGAATATTCTAAAATGGAATCTTTAAAGATATACATGTGAGACACTTATAAAGTTAATTGAAGAAAATATTACACAAAGAAGAAAAAGAGTCTAAAACTACAGCCAGGTATGGTGCTACTATGTTAAACCTTGTTGTGGTTTGAATAAAAATGGCCACCATAAGCCCATAGGGAGTGATACTCCTAGAAGGTGTGGCCCTGTTGGAAGAAGTGTGTCACTGGCTCTGGGGTCTCAGATGCTCAAGCCAGGTCCAGTGTCGCAGTCTCTTCCCACTGTCTGCTGATCTAGATGTAGAACTCTGAACTCCTCCATGTTTCCCACCACAACAATAATGGGCTAAACCTTTGAACTATAAGCCAACCCTAATTAAATGTTTTTCTTTATAAGAGTGGCCATTGTCATGGTGTCTCTTCACAGCAATAGAACCCCTGACTAAGATACCTGTCCTTAAAAATATTCTTAAACTTCAAAGACAAAGAACTATAAAGGAGATAGAACTGAAGCACACTGGGCTACCATACCCCATCTACAGCTGCAGAGCATTGTATTCATCAAGGATATTTACCAGGACAGACTTATCTGTTGACTTGTGAAACAAATTTCAATTTTTTTTAAGTGTTCAACTTAGAGAAGCTTCATTTTCCAGCCAGAATGAGATTACATTATAAATAAAAAGCAAGGATATATTAGAAAACCTCCAAATATTTAGAAAATAAAAACCATATTGCTAAATAATCCGTGGTCTCAGCTGGTGAATTTAGGTGCTTACAGGAGAAAGTGGAAGTCTATCTATGCAAAAATGTAGACCTAATGTCCTTAGTAGCTTTAGTTCAACAGCCCCAACATGAAAAGAACCAAACACGAAGCAACAGGTGAACAGGGATGAGCATGGGTCCTCTTTCCACTAGGATGCAGTGTAGCAGAAAAACGGGCAGCTGATACAATCAGTGCACCATGGTTAAATCTCAAAATAAGTATGTGTAGTTAAAACAAGTCAGACCAAAAAGCACACACTATTTAACTCTAGAAGTTTTAAAGACATTTAGTACATTTCTAGAATTCTAAAACGTAAAAACCAACAAATGTGGGCTGGTTATATGGCTCAGCACATAAAGGTGCCTGCACCAAGCCTGAGGGCCTGAGTTCCATACCAGGAACCCAAGGACGAGTAGAAGGACGAGTACCTACCAACCCAATAGATGAAACTTTAATTTTTTTAAATGCGAATTCCTCTATAATGAGAGCTGGTCAGTGGTTATCTAGAAATGAAGGCAGGTGAAAGGCATCAAACTGAGCATGAACACAATCAGCACTTACTAAATGAACCTTGAAGGTGTGTGGTTTACGAAATTTCAACTGAAATTTTCTTAGGCAACTTTAAAATTTAAATGTACACAGAATAACAGTGCACGTATATGCAAGAAATACACAAGCAAAGACATGTATAAGGAGACATATCAGAGTGATTAGGACCACTTCCTGCTCTTGCAGAGGACCCAGGGTTAGTTCTTGGCACCTACAACTGTCAGCAACCAATGGTCTGTAACTCCAGTTCCATCCAGCGCATCTGAAATCTGTGGATACCTGCTGAATGACGCAGATACTGATAAGCAGGCACACATATATTTATAAAATAAATCAATCAAAAAAAATCTTTAAAATGTACAGGAATAGAGAATGGGGAAGGGAAATGGATTGGGTGAATAAATGCATTTAAAAATTACATGGTAAGGAGCAAAGGACAGAAGAAAAACATTTCAATGTATTCAGAATGATATCTGTGTTTAAGGAATACGTAAAAGGAGTACTGATATAAAAACCAATAGCAGCAGGTGCTTCAGTACAGACCCCAGGTGATGATTTATTACTAAGCAAGGTATTTTTCCTGATACTGCTGAAATAGCTAAAACTTTCATTAATTTGTTGAGCAAATACTGACTTGGTGCCTACATCATACCAGCTCCTATTTCTTAGGTCAGTAAGTTTCTCATAGACACTTCCCACCTGGTATGCCTTCTGCTTTCATGGCTGTGATAGACTCATGGATGGCTGCCCAGGAGCCAAAATGGGGCTCTAGTTTCAATTCTTCATCGATATTCTCTATAGTAGCAGTTTTCTTTAGCTTTGTTTGGACATGTCGTGCCTGAAGCTGTTTGAAGGCCTCATGAAATGCCATTTCCATTCGAATATCATTATTTTGAATTTCATAGAACAACCCTGAGGAAATAAAGGAGCCAAGATATAGGGCTGATCTCCCACCATCGTAGATAAGAACACATACACTTTACTTCTCTCTGCCATGTTCGTTTTACTAGAGTTTAAAAACCACATGCTCAGTGAACATGGGGGAAAAGTGAACAGGGGAAAAGTCCACAGCCACATCACAGGGAAACACTGTACCGAGTAAAGTCCAGGCAATAACATTGGTAGGTTCCAAGCATGTAGCATCCTCAAAGAAAATTTCTGCTTGCTCATAGTTCTCCATCATGACAGCCATGACGCCACACAGCAACAAGCTGGGAAGAGACTCAGGAGCATGGTTAGCAGTCTGGCCCTCTGTCACTTTAATGGGACAAAGACAATCTTGTGTTCAGCTAGTAGTACATAGCAGATTGACTATTTCTCTTTCTCCTCTACCTGTGAATATGATTCTCATTCAGGGAAAGGGCTTTCCGGAAACACTCCTGTGCTTTGATGTTGTCTTCAATAAGGAGGCAGAAGGCACCGTAATCCAGCCAGTGATCCAGGTTCTGGGGCTCTCGGACCAACCTCTAGGTATACAAAGTATTGGGAGGGACAGGGTTATTGCAACGCCACGTCCTACTTTTTGTGCTTATAACACAGTAAGGGCCCCATAATAACATACATTCTATGAAAACCAAAAACATTACTTTTCTTTTGCTTATACAGGACCCAGATGACTAAAGTACTGTTCTAGCTTTCAGTATATAGTCAAAAAAAAGTGTTAACATGACTTTAAAAAAAACTGAATCCTTGTTGGGGGTTGGTCTGGTATTCCGTGTATTCAGATGCTAAATTCTAGCCCCAAGATCTGGTTATAGTCTAGACTAGTGCATTCTTACATATATCAAATAATGTTGTGTAAACTTTGCTCCAATTATCTCTGATTGGCTAATAAAGACTGGACAGCCTGTAGCTGGACAGAAGAGAGATAGGGACCTCAGGTAGGGACCACAAGGCAAGGAGAGGAGGAAAGAGAAAGGAAGAAGATGGAGAGATAGGATGTGGCCTGATCCAACCCAGACAGGATGAGCATTAGCAAGTAACTTGGCTGGGAGGTAGCTAAACTAGCTTAAAAATTAGTATAAATTGTACCTGCTCAGTTATTATGCTAAATAATAAATAAATTAATAGGTCTCTGTCTAAATTATTTGGGAGCTAGCCAAGTAATAGAAAAGCCCTCTAGAACTAAATAAATATTCTATAACAAATCCTTAAGAGATTTATTCCTAAACTCAACCAATATTTTAGGAACTAAGGACTCTATTGCATCAGCCATAGGCAATAATTACCGCCATAATCTTGAGATGGCAAACATACAAAATCATCTGTAAATCCAAGAAAAAGGATGCTTCGTGTAAATGAAAACTACAAACATGGTTTAAAGAAAATAGCCAAGCATATTAGCTCACACCTTTAATCCCAGCATTTGGGAGGCAGAGGCAGGCAGATCTCTGTGAGTTCCAGGACATCCAAGGCTACATGGTGAAACACTGTCTCCAAAAACCAAACCAAACCAACAAACAACAACAACAAACAAAACAAAACAAAAAAGAAAAATAAAATAAAAAAAAAAACCATGAATTAATGCAAAGATACCCTAAATTCAGGTTAGGATGGGAAAGATTTAGTGTTGTTAAGATGTCAGTGCTTTTGATTTGCATTTCCCTAATGGCTAATGAGGTTGAGCATTTCTTTAAGTGCTTCTCTGCCATTCGATATTCCTCTACAGAGAATTCTCTCTTTAGCTCTGTTCCCCATTTTTTAAGTGGATTGCTTGGTTTGCTGCTTTTCAGCTTCATTAGTTCTTTATATATACTGGATATTAGCCCTCTGTCAGATAAAGGGTTGGTGAAGATTCTTTCCCAATCTGTAGGCAGTCGCTTTGTTTTGATGACGGTGTCCTTTGCTTTACAGAAGCTTTTCAGTTTCATGAGGTCCCATTTATTGATTGTTGCTCTTAGAGCCTGTGCTGTTGGTGTTCTGTTCAGGAAGTTTTCTCCTGTACCAATGAGTTCACTTTACACCCATCAGAATGGCCAAGATCAAAAACTCAAGTGACAACACATGCTGGAGAGGTTGTGGAGAAAGGGGCACCCTTCTCCACTGCTGGTGGGAATGTAAACTTGTACAACCACTTTGGAAATCAATCTGGCGCTTTCTAAGACAGCGCTTCCTCAAGATCCAGCCATACCAGTCCTAGGCATATACCCAAAAGAGGCTCAAGTACACAAAAAGGACATTTGCTCAACCATGTTTGTAGCAGCTTTATTTGTAATAGCCAGAAGCTGGAAACAGCCCAGATGCTCCTCAACTGAAGAATGGATGCAGAAACTGTGGTACATCTATACAATGGAGTATTACTCAGCAATGAAAAATAAGGAAATCATGAAATTTGCAGGTAAATGGTGGGACCTCGAAAGGATCATCCTGAGTGAGTTGTCCCAGACACACATGGTATATACTCACTCATATAAATATACAACATAGAATAAACCCACTAAAATTTGAACATCTAAACAAACTAAGCAAAAGAGAGGACCCTAACTAAAAATGCTCAATCCCCATCCTGAAAGGCAAAGAGGATGGACATCAGAAGAAAAAGAAAACAGAAAACAACCTAGGAACCTGCCACAGAGGGCCTCTGAAAGCCTCTGCCATGCAGACTGTCAAAGCAGATGCTGAGCCTGATGGCCAACTGTCGGGCAGAGTGAATGGAATTTTATGTAAGAAGTGGGAAATAGTAAGAGCTGAAGAGGACAGGAACTCCACAAGGAGAGCAACAGAACAAGAAAATTTGAACACAGGGAACTTCCCAGAGACTCATACTCCAACCAAGGACTATCCGTGGAGATAACCTAGAACCCTGACAATGCAGCCACTTCTGATGAGAACTGATAGACTAAGATCAGAAAGAAGGAGAGGAGGACCTCCCCTATCAGTGGACTTGGGGAGGGGCATGCATGCAGAAAGGGAGGAGGGTAGGACTGGAAGGGTAGGAGGGAGGGGCTTATGGGGGATACAAAATGAATAAAGTGTAATTAATAAAAGTTTAAAAAAAAAAGATGTCAGTGCTGCCAAGAGTAACCTATATATAAGGTCAATCCTTATCAAAATCCTTAAAAAGTTAAATGTAGGATAACTATATAACCAGCAATTCCACTCTTAGGCATACACAAAATAATTAAAACAGATACTAAATACTTTTACAGAAATGTATTTTGAATCTTTTGTTCTGATTTGGTCTTTTTCTCTTTATTTCTTTCTTCCTTTCTTTCCTTCTTTTTTTTTCTTTTTTTCTTTTTGTTTTTTTGAGACAGGGTTTCTCTGTGTACCCTTGGCTCTCCTGGACTCACTTTGTAGACCATGCTACAAACTCACAGGGATCCTCCTGCCTCTGCCTCTCTGAGCGCTGGGATTAAAGCTGTGCGCTACCTTACAGGGCTTGTTTTTGTTTTTTTTTTTTTTTTCAAGACAGAGTCTCACAATATAGTTCTGGCTCTCTGGAACTCACTGTAGATCAGGCTGGCCTCTAACTCACAGAGATCAACCTGCCTCTACCTCACGAGTAGTGGGATTAAAGGAGTACACCACTACACCCAGCTTCATTTTGAGTCTTACATACTGGATACAAGTTGCTTTTAAAAAATATATGTTCTACATATAATTTCTCCTACTCTGTACTTTCATAGCCCTGGCTAGCCTGGAACTTGTTATATAGCCCAAGCTGGCTTCCAATTTATGGCAATCTTCCTGCCTCTGCCTTCCAGTGCTGGGATGGCAGACATCACTTTTCCCTGTGACCTTCTGTCCTTTGGTTTTCTGCAAAGAAACTCTCTACACGCCACTTGGTCAAAGAGATTCTTCTCCAATGTCTCCTATGAACTTTCTTCTCTTTCTGTCCTACTTATCTGTGTCTATACTTTGAGTAATCAATTTTAATGTTAATTTTAAAAAATCCCTACAATTTGGTGGGTGGTGGCAATAGCAGCTGGGGCAGTGCAGGCCTTTAATCCCAACACTCAGGAGGCAGAGGCAGGCAGATCTCTGAGTGAGTTCCAGGACAGCCAGGGCCACACAGAAAAACCCTTTTGTTTTGAAAAAGGAAAACAAACCAACCAAACAAGTAACCCTATAAACAGACAAACAAAAAACTACAATTTTACACAGAATCATAAATAATAACAACAATCCCTGAGATGTTCAATTACCTCTTCATAATATACTGCTGCCATTTCAAAGTTCTCATTGACTTCTGCCTCAAATGCGAAGAGTCGAAGCTGTTCCGTGCTTATTTCAATTGTTGGGATAGGGCCTTGGATGTCATCTGGCATGGACTTATCATTGAGATTGTAAACAAACAAAATCAACAATTATATGTGGAGATGCTTATGAGAATGAACTGGACATGAGATCAGTCATAACATAAATGAGACTACCCTGTGTGCGGGTGTGCGTGCACACACATTCATGTATGAGGGAAAAAGAGTGTGCTTGTTTTGAATTTACTCTATGGACCATGCAGGCCTTTAACTTTAAATTTCCATGCCTCAGCTTTCTGAGTAACTGGTATTTTGTATCTTAGCTACAGGGCTAGGTCCCAACATTTCAATAAGGACTTATTTCATAGAAAGGCTAAGCAAACAATAGCAGGTACTTGGGAGGTAGAGGCAGAAGGCCATCTATGGCCAGGTAGGAAGTTTAGGACTAGCCTAGATTATGTGAAAAGTTATCAAAAGGAAGGAAGAGAAGTCATTTAGGCAAGCAACCTTAATTATTTAAATGTATTGGAAACTGAACCTAGGACCTTGCATATGCCAGGCAAATGCTCTAAGTGAGCTATAGTCCCAGTCTAACTATAGTCCCAGTCTAAACCCACAACTTTTTAACAAACATTTTAAAATAATTTATTTTTTAGTGTTTTGCCTGCATATTTGTCTGTGTAAGGGTTAGGGACAATTGTGAGCTGCCATGTGGGTATGGGAATTTAACTTGGGTCCTTTGAAAAAGCAGCCAGTGCTCTTAACTGCTGATCCATCTCTCCAACTCCTAAACCCTCAACTTTTAACTCTCCATCTAAAATTGTTTGTATCTGTGGCTCTGTCCTTTTGATCTCAGATGAAGTTTTTTGTTTTGTTTTGTTTTGTTTTGTTTTTGTTTTGGGGTTTTTTTTTTTGTTTTTGGTTTTGTTTTGTTTTGTTTTCCTTTTCAAGGCTAATCTTCCATTCAAACCTTGGTTCTTTCACAGTTGTCTACATGGGGCTTCCTAACAATAGTTCCCTCCCTTTACTTAATCAACTTGTTTATTTTCATTGAAACAGGCTCTCACACTATGAAAATCTGAAAATCTCACACCATGAAAATCTGAAATGCACAATATAGCCCAGGCAAGCCTAGAACTCACTATGAAGCCCAAGCTGGCCTCCACATCCTGGCCATTCTCCTGCTTCAATCAGCTTCTTGAGTGCTGGTCTTCTAAGCGTGAGTCACCACACCCACTCCTTTGCTTGGTTTTAACTTTTCCACTTTGCTCACTTCATTTACCAAATCTGTATTCCTGCTCTCCTTACAGAGAACAGCCCTGTAGTTTCTAGATGCTATTCTACCTTGTCCAGCTTCTTGAATGTATATTGTTTCCTAGCAACATATTTACTCTCAATTAATTTGTTTGAAATTATATTTAAAATTTAAACTTAAAATTCCCATTTAAAGTTCAACAATAACCTCCTTATTTGTCAAAATCCTACAAAAATTGTCAAATCCAACAGAACCCTCCAGATTTGTTTTTCCTGAATCCCAAGCATTGGGCAATGTAGGTCTGCCTTTTTAACTCTTTCTTCTTGCTCTGGGAGCCTCACACTCTCTTGCTTCCTCAACAGTTCCACTTGCCCCCATTGTCATCTCTTTCACTTATCCATCCCTTTACTGATATTTCCTAGGAGTCTATTGCCAGAGCCCCTTGTCTTTCCTCATAATTTTTTTTCAGACAGCTGTGTCTCCGGCCACATGGTCTCTAGTTCAGACTGCTCTCTCTCAAGCAAAGACCCACCAGTGCTGATGTTCAAGACCCAACCCAGTCCCACTTGCACCCCCAAATCTACTCATGCTCTTTTCTTGGCCACCAGTAGCTCAGTCTCTGAGCCTTAAGCTTAAGAACACTTGACTCAGGGCTGGAGAAATGGCTTAGCTATTCTTGCAGAGGGACCAGGGTTCAGTTCCCAGCACACACATGGTTGTAGCTCACAACTGCCTCTCCCTCAGCTCCTGATGCCCTCTTATAGCCTCCCTGGGCACTGAATGTACACAGTGCATATACATACATGCAGGCAAGACATTTACACATATAAAATGAAAATAAACAAATCATTAAGAATCCTTGACTCTTCTCCCCTTAGTATGTAATAACCAGACAGTATCAACAAAGTCACCTTGAATCCAACTCCTGTAACTGCTATGAGAGTGCTTTTCTGTAAAATATTAATCTAATCAAACTATAGCCCAGTATGAGTTATTCAACTCATTGTTCCTATTAACAGGAAAAAAGGAACACTTAAAATTAAAAAAATATATACATATAGTATGTGTATGGGTGTTTTGCCTCCTAATGTCTGTGTGTATTGTGCATTCCTGGTGCCCATGGACTCCAGAAGAGGGTGTCAGACCTCCATAGAACTGAAATTACAGGTGGCTGTTAGCCACCATATAGGTGCTAGAAATTAAACCGAAGTCCTCCGGAGGAGCATCTAAGCCAACAGTTGCTGAGCCATTCCTTTGACCTTGCAATTTTTCTTTGTGTAGCACTCAAGGTCTTCCCTCCACACTCCTGAAACCCTTATCAGGAATGGATCCCCACCTTCAAGTTCTGTTCTTCAATGTCTATGCCATATTCTTGAGTCCCTCAGCCTTGTGGTGTCCCTGGTGACTCAATGCTCGAGACACCCACCTGGAGATGTCTGCAGCCTCGAGGGCCCAGCTCAAGGCACAGCTCCTTCACGAAGCCTTCCTGGAAGGTCCCAGCATCATACAGAGCTCTGATCTGCCTCTGTCACAGCACTTACCTCATTTGTGTTTCAAGCCTGTCTCCTTTACCAGACAGAAGTTCTTTGGGGACAGAAGGTGGCAGCAATTCCCATCTCATGTCAATAGTCAAGAGCTTTCCAAACCAATTATATACATTACCATGTCTATGTACAAGCAGGACTGATCTTTAATCCTATACTACTTGCCTGTTTTACTATTCCAAGAAGACTGAATCATATGAAAGGAAAGAAAAACAGCGGTGAAGAAAGAGAAAACAGGCCAGACAGAGGCTATGAGGTGGCATGGCTGGTCAGGCCCTCTCCAGTGCACAATAAGATTTGATTTTGTCCCTGTTCACACCAAGTAACAACCAACTACAAGCAGGAATATATAAAAGCAGGCAAGATGCAAACTTTACAAATATAGGCACAAGCAGATGAGTGGGTAGAAAGCCTCCTCAGTGTTAAAAATGCATGTTTTGAGCTGGCAAGGCAGCTGGGTGTGTAAAAGAGGCTGCTGCCAACCCTAATGACCTAATGACCACCAATTCTAATGGTGGGAGGGGGCAGTGACATGTGCACCGTGGCACAAACACACACAAAATAAATACAAATGTAATTTAAAACGTTAAAGGCAGGCTGGAGAGATGGTGCAGAGGTTAAGAGCACTGCCTGCTCTTCCAGAGATCCTGAGTTCAACTCCCAGCAACCATATGGTGGCTCACAACCATCTATGATAATATCTGGTGCCCTCTCCTGGCATGCAGCTGTACATGCAGACAGAACATTAAATAGAAAATAAATAAATCTAAAAAAAAAAATCTTTAAAGACGTATTTTAATTGCTACTGTCATCTTTACAGAAGCAGTTCAAACACACCTTTTCAAATACCCAAAACCATGAATGGTTTTCCCTTATTTTTATTATCCTGAAGAAAAATCGGGACTTGTGTACGTTCACAAAATAATATTTTGTTTCATGATTTCCATAGCTTTTATTTAATAATTAAAATATTTTATTCTATTTATGTGTGTGTGTATTTTTTGGTGCATGTATGTCTACACCTGAGGCCAGATGAAGGTTCAGATGCCCTAGAATTAGAATTACAGACAGTCATGAGATACCATGTGGATGCTGGGAATCAAACTTGTGTTCTCTGGAAGAGCAACCAGTACTCTTAACTGCCAAGCCATCTCTCCAGCTACAGAACTAATTTTTCTTGGAAACTGAAAGAGTAGTCCCTTCTCCTCCAAATGTATTGTCAGTACCTGTACAGCACAGATGATTCCATCTGTATTTGTTGAATAAAGGAGGAAAGATAAGCAAAGAGGGAAGGTGTGTTTGGAAAGAAGCTCTGTAGCTCTCTGAGGGGCTGGGCTCTCTGCGGTAAACACCTACCTGGTTCAGAGCCACATGCATTTGATCTATCAAGAACACATAAAGCTCACTGATAAATGTCTGCAGCTCCTCCTGGCTTTCAAATGCTGTTGTCTTCAAGTATTTTTCTCTCACAATCTTTACCACAGCATGCTGCAAGACACAAACGCACATTCACTTTTGGCGATGTGGTTCAGCAGTGTACCAACACCTAGGTTCCTTTTTTGGCTGCTGATATTGGGCTCCTCAGAGCCTCAAGGGATGGTCAGTTCCTCTCCTGCTAAACTGTGAGGCTATCAGCTCACTACCAGCTCCCCAGTCAACATATTGTGAATGGATTGATCTCTTTAAAGACAGAGTCTCACTATGTAACCTAGGCTGGCCTAGAATGAATCATGTAGCCCACAGTGCTCTTGAACTCACATCTCCTTCCTCTGTCTCCTACATGCTAGTTTTGAGGACATGCGCCTCAAGCCTGGGCTAGTCAGATTCTTTTCTCAATCTTGCAGCACGTCTAACAGGGTAAAGGCGGTGCTCATACCATGTGAAGAGGGTCATGGAGTTAAAAAAAAAAAAAAAAACCCTTTAGAGTAGGTTTGTGAATTGAATCTTTCCCAGAAGTCATGTGGGGTAAGGGAAAAAGGAAGAAGTAAGGTCTGAGGCTAGAGAATAAAATTCTGGTTTAAAGATTGTCACTGTACAACCTCATGTATTCTGTTTGTTTGTTTGTTATTGTTTTATTTCTCAAGACAGGGTCTCACTATGTAGCCCTGGCTGTCCTGGACTCACGCTGTAGACCAGGCTGGCCTTGAACTCACAGAGATCCTCCTGCCTCTGCCTTCCAAGTGCTGGAATTAAAGGCATGCACCACTACCACCTGCCATCATATATTCTATTTTGATACCTCAGTTTCCTCATTTGTTAAGTAAATACATAGTTCCAGTATTGCCATAATACTTTAGATGGCGATTGAGAACATGAACCAAGAAAAGAGAAGAAGCTTGAAATCTTACATAAAACTGCATGTGGTGGCACATGCCTATAAAACCAACAAATACTAAGATGACAAAGCCTAGAGAGAGCGCCATATTTCAAGACACCCATAGTTGTACAGACAGACTTTACCTAAAAACAAACTTAGGAAAATAGAGTAGTCTTTCTGTAGCCACAGTTTGAGTTACCTATGGTCCAGTTTGAAAACAAGTGGAAATTTTCAGAGAGAAACAATTCATAAGCTTTAGGTTGAGCTCTGTTCTGGGTAGGTACAGAATTCTCACACTGTGTCCAGTGCGTGGCTCTGAAAGCCCTCTGGTTAGCATTTCATACTGTGTAGGATACCAAGCACTAAGTACTCAGACATGTTATCAGATTGACAGCCAAGGTACCATGACACGTATGTTCAACAGTCCCTACTGAATGTAATAAAGGCATCAAAGCACCAGCAATGAGTGATGCTAGCAGCTTGGCTATACCAAAGAGAAGCCATCAAGTGCTTCCTTAGGGTGAAAAAAAAATCACAAGCAAAAACGTAGGAAAACAAACAAGGTTCAGTATTACCCACAGTTTTAAACTATTTACTTGTTTATTATATTTTGTGTATGGGTGTTTTGCCTGTATATATGTCTGTGCACCACATGTGTGCCTGATGCCCACAGAGGTCAGAAGAGAGTATCAGGTTCCCTGGGATTGGAGTTATAGATGGTTGTGAGCCTCCATGTGGGTACTGGAAACAAAACCTAGGTTCCTGGAAGAGGAACCAGTGTTCTTAACTGCTAGGCTATCTCTGCAGCAACTTACCCACAGTTCTGAGCTCCTACTGGGGATCTTAGAACACATATAGCACAGATGTAGAGAGACTTATATAAATGCATTACATGTTGGTACAGCCTAGAAGCTGCTGTTTTTTTTTTCTAAAGCCTTCATCATATTAATACTCAAAATAGCACCATGTGATAAGATTATTATCTCTTGTTGCTCAAAAATAACTCACCCCCAAACAATGCTCTGAAAATAGAGGCTAGCTATTATTATTTTTAAAGACTAGGTTTTTGTTTTTTGTTTTTTGTTATTTTTTTGTTTGTTTGTTTTTGTTTTTTTGCTTTCTTTTTCTTCTTTCTTTTTTTTTGGGGGTGGGGTGGGAGGGAAATGAGACAAGTTCTTATCATAGCCCAGAGCCGGCCTCATAGCCAAGGCTGGCCTTGAACTCCTGATCCTTTACCTCCTAAGAGCTAGGATTACAGGTGTGTGGCACAACTATCAGCTCTTGTTCTGCAGACAAGGAGACTTAAGTGAGAGATATAGAGAATTAGTTATAGTGTCATGAACATAATTTCTGCTAGTGGAGGGGGTGAAGTCTGCTTTTCAGCCCTGCCCAGCCTCAAGGGAAGACTGGGTCTTATGGGCTCTCGCATTTGGAATAAATCCACACTACCCTGAGACTGCAGAAGTAGATTGTTTTCTGACATTCTCTCCCAGAAAATGTAGCCAAGCAGAATCAGAGCAGAAACATTTAAACATGTATGTATGGAAGGGGCTCCACTGGCTGATAGACTAACTAAAGAAATGCATTCTTTACCTTGAGCTGTTCTTTGAAAGCGAAGTACTTTCCAGAGCAATTGAGCTCGTAATTGAGCTGGCACTTCTGCTCCTCCAAGGACTCGCTGTCTATGTCACTCCCCTCTTTAGCCACCTGCTTTCCAAACATTTGGTGATACTCATCCAGGATGGCTCTGGAGATGCTCTTTATCTGTGTGTGGTAGTCACTCAGCGCCTGGGAAACAACCAATGCCAGGTAGTGAACAGGCCTGAAGGATACCCAGATGATGGATTACAAGTCCCAAACCACATTAGCTTTAAGCGGAGCTTTTCCACTGAGCCAGGTTACACACTGCACGCAATTTACTGATCACAAGCAGAACTGAATGAAAGCCTGTGAAGCACCAAAGACCCGTGTACAACCCCCCCCCAACCCTTCATCCACCCCTCCGTCCCCAACTCCCTTGCACCTTAGGAAGCCACATTGAAGAGCTCATGTTGCCTTCAAATGCCTCATTATCCTCACAGTCCCCACCCACCGGCTCCTAGCCCATTAACACTTGCCTTCTGAGCTCCTCCTGTCCTGCGGGTGAGAGGTGGCCTTGGGGGTATCATTTCCTTGACCCTGTATGAGGAAAAAGAAACAAAACAAGAAAAGTTGTATTGTCTACAGGCCTGTGTTCTTTCATATCTGTCTCTCTACTGCACTTGAGCACAGTCTTCTCTCACTTAAAACACTAGATCTGAACAGTATGTAAGAAGGTACTGATTTGAGCCCTGCCTTTATCCTCACACTTTTTTTTTTTTAAGTATTGCTAAATGGCCTCTGGACTAAGGGTTGGAAAACAATGAGTATCCATATCTGTCTTGTTTCTGGAGGGACATAGATTTGGAAATTTGTTTTCTTTCCACCTAGGATGAAAAGTATGTTCATAATCATAATTTATACAATTGTATTATTAAATTACAAAAATACTATCAGGCGCTGAGAACACTTTTTTTTTTCTTTAAGATTTACTTGTTTGAGCAGGGTGGTGGTAGCTCATGCCTTTGATCTCAGCACTCATGACGCAACAGAGATGGACCTATTGAGTTCCAGTGCAGCCTGGTGTATGGAGTGATGTCCAGGACAGCCAAGGCTACACAGGGAAACCCTGTCTCAAAAACCCTAAACAAACGAACACACAAACAAACAAATATTTACATGTTTTTATTCTATGTGTATGAATGTTTTGTCTGCAATTACAAATGTGTACTACATGCTTGTGAGACACAAAAGAGGCCAGAAGAGGGCACCACACCCCCTAGAACTGGAGTTAAGAGCAGCTGTTAGTTACCATATGAATGCTGAGAACCAAACTCAGGTCCTCCAAAAGAGCAGCCAAGAGCTGTCAGTCACTTAGCCATCTCTCTAGTCCCATCTCTATAACTTTTCACTACAAAACAATACATACCAAAACACCTGTCTTCTCTTTCTACAAGGAGGACTGGGCATAGTGACGCACACCTATGATCCTAGCACTTGGAAGATGGAAACAAGAGGACCAGGAACTTAAGGATGGCCTCAGTTGCAGGACAAGTTTGAGGCCAATCTGGGCTTCGGAGGCCCTGTCTCAAAACAAACAAACAAACAACAAAAACAAAACACAACCAAACAAAAACAAAGGATAAATCGGCTAGCTCTGATTCCTTATAGTTTCAGATTCCTGTCAATATACTGTACTGCCTTCAGATCATCAATTGTACAAGTTCAACTTTTCTTTAATAGGACTTAAATAATTGTATAGGACTGTTAATGGTTTCTAATTTTAATCTATTTATCTTTTTGTTGTTGTTCTTTTTTTTTTTTTTTTTGAGACAGGGTTTCTCTGTGTATCAAGCCCTGGCTGTCCTGGACTCACTTTGTAGACCAAGCTGGCCTGGAACTCACAGAGATCTGCCTACTGCTGCCTCCCAAGTGCTGGCATTAAAGGTGTGTGCCGTTATACCTGGCTTAATCCATTTATCTTAATAAAGAATATATCTAAACAATAAAAAACACTTGGGATAATGTGTTGCAAAGTATCTCCTTTCAGCTTTGTTGTCAGTCTTCTAGTTTCCTCTCCAGAGATGAGGTACCAATTCATTCAAAATATATGGCGAGTTCCTACTGTCCATTAGGAGCTTTTCTAGGCCTGGGGATGGAGCTAAACAACACAAGATTCTTGCCTTCATGGAGCTTACTTTCTGGTAGGGAAAAAAAAACATTGAGATAACTACAGTAGAAGCACATGCCATGGAGGAAATGATGCATGAAGGCAGAGCTATGTCGGGGTCCAGGCTGGGGGAGCCGGGGAGCGCACATCACCAGGGAAGCTCTCACTAATACTATCCAGGCAAAGACCAAGGGAAGAGAAAGCTGCATGAGGATAGGGATATTTCAGGCAAAGCAGCAGCCAGTGTAAAAGGCTTGCTGCACACATGGCAAATGCCTTTAATCCTAGTACTCAGGAGGAAGAGGCATGTGGATCTCTGTGAGTTCAAGGCCAGCCTGCGTTACATAGTGAGTTCATGACAGCCAGGGCTACACAGTGAGATCCTGTCTCAAGAACAAAACAAACAACAATAACAAAAAATGAGCCTCACATGTGAGGAACAGAAAAACTTTGGTTTAGTATGACTGAAGATACGAAGGCAAAGCAGATGCAGAATATGTAGGCCATTGTGGGTCTTTGTAAGGATTCACACAGGATAGTTTCTGAGTAGAAGGATCACATGGGTTAACCTTCATTCTAATATAACAGTTTATAATGCTCTGTGAATGAGCCTGGGAGATGTTTCGATGGATGAAAGTGCTTGTAGTGCAAGTAGGATGATGACCTGAGTTTGAATCCCATCATTCATGTAAAAGCACCACCATAAAAAAAGCAAGAGACAGGGGTGTATTCCACCTCTGGGGCTAGGGGTGCAGATGAGTGGGTAGGGAACAGGAAGTAGCAGGGTCCAGCAGTTTAGTTGAAATGTTAAGTTCCATGTTGAGTGAAAAGACCCCATTTCAAAAAGTGAGGTGAGGCCATGGAGATTGCTCAGTAGGTAAAGGCACTTGCTGTGTAAACTTGAAAGCTGAGTTTCTTTCTTTTTTTATAATTTTTAATTTTTTTTATTATTAGTTAAATTTTATTAACTCTGGATCCCAGCTGTATCCCACTCCCTCACTCCTTCCCAAACCCTCCCTCCCTCCCTCATCTCCTCCCTGCCCCTTTCCAAGTCCACTGATTGGGGAGGACCTCCTCCCCTTTCCTCTGACCCTGTTTTATCAGGTCTCTTCAGGACTGGCTGCAAAGTCCTCCTCTGTGGCCTAGCAGGACTGCGCCTCCCTTGGGGGGTGGAGAGGTCAAAGAGCCAGCCATTGAGTTCCTGTTAGAGATAGTCCCTGTTCCCCTTACTATGGGAAACCAATTGGTTACTGAGCTACCATGGGCTTCATCCGAGCAGAGGTTCTAGGTTATATCCATACATGGTCCTTAGTGGAGTGTCAGTCTCAGAAAAGACCCCTGTGCCCAGATATCTTTGGTCCTTGTGGAGCTCCTATCCTTTCCACGTCATACTAATTCCCCCTTCTTTCATATGATTCCCTGCACTCTGCCGAAGGTTTGGTTATGAGTCTTAGTATCTGCTTTGATACACTGCTAGGTAGAGTCTTTCAAGCGGCCCTCTGCAGTAGGCTCCTGTCCTGTTACTTGTTTTCTCCTATATCCAATGCACATCCCATTTGTCTTTCTAAGTGAGGATTGATCATCTTACCCCGGGTCCTCTTTCTTGTTTATGTTCTTTAGGTGTATAGATTTCATTATGTTTATCCTATCTTATAGGTCTATATGAGTGGGTATATACCATGTGTGTCTTTCTCCTTCTGAGATACCTCACTCAGAAAGATCTTTTCTAGACCCCACCATTTGCCTGCAAATTTCATGATTTCCTTGTTTTTAATTGCTGAGTAGTATTCCATTGTGTAAAAATACCACAATTTCTGTATCCATTCCTCCAATGAGGGGCATCTGGGTTGTTTCCAGGTTCTGGCTATTACAAATAAAGCTGCTACAAACATGGTTGAGCAAATGGAAAGCTGAGTTTCATCTCTGGAACCTATATAAAGGTGAGATGAGGACACCAGCTCTACAAAGCTAGAGTCAGATCACAAACGCAACATGGAGTGTATGTACACACAATAATAATAATAATAAAGTCTAAATACCAAATACATAAGGTGAAAGTGATTAAGAAAGACTGCCTTCTGGCCTTCTCACATGCACATGGGTGCACATATACACAGCTTTGCATACAGGGGTATACAGCACAAACACACACACATACAATCCACACACGGATGAGTATAACTACATATGAAACATGAGTATACTATAGTGCAAACACACACACATACAATCCACACACGGATGAGTATAACTATACACATGAGAACGTGAGTATCCTATAGTGCAAACACACACACTCACCTAGCGCGCAGGGGTGGGCGCACCCACCCCACATGTGAGCATACAGGAGTATGCTCACAAACACACCGGCACACACCTGCAAATTAAGTGAAAACAAAGCACAACATTCCACGATTTATGAAATGTGGTGACTGCAGTCCCCAAAGGGAATTCTCTAAACAGCTGCATTAAAGAGGAAGAGAGGCGCTGAGGGCGCAGCAGTTGCTGGAATATCGGCCTCGTATGCAACAGTCCCTGGTTTGGTGGCTACCTGTCTAAAACCAGGTTTGGTGGTGCTTGCCTACAACTGAGGGAGTGGAGACAAGAGCGTCACAAGTCCCAGGCTGCCCTTCATTACACAGTCCAGGATGCATGAAACTCAGTCTTAAAACAAGACAAAACAAAAGCAGAAGAAAGCCAAGTCAGAAACTTAATTATATACTTTAATCACAGAGGAAAAAAAAAAAAAAAGAGAGCAAATTTTGTCCAGGGTGTGCAGAAGGAAGGTTTAAAAAGATTAGTAGAAGCTGGGCAGTGGTGGTGAATGCCTTTAATCCCTGCACTGGAGAGGGAGAGGCAGCAGATCTCTGTGAGTTCAAGGCCAGCATGGTCTACAAAGTGAGTCCAGGACAGCCAGAGCTACACAGAGAAACTCTGTACTGAAAATCCAAAACAACAACAAAAGATTAGTAGAATGGATTAAAAAAATAGGAAAGAGAAAAACAATACAGGGAAACCCACCAAGATTTTTAAAAGATGTTTCAGTTTAAAGAGCAAGAAATTGGGGCTGGAGAGAGGGCTCCATGGCCCTTGCAGAGGTCCTGAATTCAGTTCCCAGCACCATGTCAGGCATAGCGCAATCACTTGTAACCATAGCTTTAAGAGATCCAACACCAAAAAAAAAAAAAAAGAGATCCAACACCTTCTGGGCTCTGCAGTCACTTAAATTTATGTGTGAGGGTGTGTGTATGCACACAGACACACACACACACAGACACACAGACACACACACACACAGACACACAATTAAAACAAACCCTAAAAATAAAGCCAAGAGTACCTGCACATAAATGTATGTAGGCAAAATACTGGTACATATAAAATGAAATTGCTGGACTGTGGTGGCAACGCCTGTAATCCCAGCACTTGGAAGTCAGAGACAGGCAGATCTTTGTGAGTTCAAGGCCAGTTTGGTCTACAGAGTGAGTTCAAGGACAGCCAGGCCTACACAGAGAAACTTTATCTTGAAAAACCAACCAAACAAATAAATAAAATTAAGTTGAAATAGAAAAAATTGACAAACCTTTAGCAAGACCTACTTTTAAAAAAGATAAACATAAAGATTTTAAAAATACAAAAATACTTTGGGCCATTTTATACCAACAATTTAGATTGCTGATAAGATAGTAACACATAAACAAAGCATGATGGTACAGTAAAAATAGTTTTCAAGGGCTGGAGAGATGGCTCAGAGGTTAAGAACACTGGTTGTTCTTCTAAAGGTCCTGAGTTCAATTCCTTGCAACCACATGGTGGCTCACAACCATCTATAGTGAGATCTGGTACTCTCTTCTGGCACACAGAAATACGTGCAGACAGAACACTGTATACATAATAAATCAATCTTTAAAAAATAGCTTTCAAGAGTTACATATATGTACATGTGCATGAGTGTGTAATATATAGTTTTAAAGCAACTCCTAGACAGATACCAGGTGTGAAAATACTGTTACAACATAGTAGGAATTTGAGTGCTTTATATTTTCTTGCTAGAGTGAACTTTAAAAATTTAATGATGTCTGCAACGAGGAAACAATAATAATAGAATAAACCCTATTTGTAACAAAGATAAGAACATTGTTTCTTAGGACAGGGGGAATTACATTTTGGGAACAAACTGAGAGCCTCTTCTTCATTCCTAAACTGTGTCAAATAGGAGAATAAACGCTCCATACCTTCTGGCCAGTTCCTCTGGCATCCGCTTTGGAACCAAGGCTTTGTCCAGCTGGATCTCCAAGACAATGTATGTCCCCGCTTCTAAATATTGCTGCAAAGACAATGTTATTTGTTAATCTCATTTTAAAAATGACAATAATGGGAGCTGGAGAGATGGTTCAGCAGTTAAGACCACTGGCTGCTCTTCCAGGGGACCCGTGTTCAATTCCCAGCACCCACAAGGCAGCTCACAGCCATTGTAACTGCAGTCCTAGGGGATCAGACATCCTCAAACCGACATACATGCAGGCAAAACACCCAATACACATAAAATGCATAAGTCATTTTTAAAAAGACAGTACTGAAACATTTTTAGTAACATCAGTAACATCAGGTACTACTTATAACACACTGAGAAAAATATGTGCAGAAACTGCATATGTAGTGTGATCTCTGTGGTTCAAGTATTTTACATAGAATGTAAGCAATAGTGGCTGGCTCATGGAAGAAACTGTTTTCATGTCTGTTCTTGGAAATTTCTGCTCCAGTGGATTCTGTTGAACATATTTTTTTCTTTAATTACTTATTTCCTTTTTTGAGGCAAGGTTTCACTATGGGGCCCTAGTTGGCCTGGCACTAAGTGGACCAGGGCCTGAAACTCACAGACATCTTCCTGACTCCCCAGTGTTGGGATTAAAGGCGTGCACCACCATGCCTGGTGAACTCCCTCACACTTCTCTTGGAACTACTTTAAATGCATGTCACTCTCTCCTCCAGCAGCCCTCTCATGTAGAAGTGCTATCTTCAAGTCCTTTTTATTATTATTATAAAATTTATTTTTAATTAAATTTTTATTTTTTTATATTAGTTACAGTTTATTTACTTTGTATCCCAGCTGTAGCCCCCTCCCTCATTCCCTCCCAATCCCACCCTCCCTCCCTCATCTCCTCCCTGCCCCTCTCTAAGTCCACTGATAGGGGAGGTCCTCCTCCCCTTCCATCTGACCCTAGCTTATCAGGTCTCTTCAGGACTGGCTACAAAGTTCTCCTCTGTGGCCTAGCAAGGCTGCTTCTCCCTGGGGGGAGGGGGGGAGAGGACAAAGAGCCAGCCATTGAATTCATGTCAAAAACAGTTCCTGTTCCCCTTACTAGAGAACCCACTTGGATTCTGAGCTGCCATGGGCTACATCAGAGCAGGGGTTCTAGGTTATATCCATGCATGGTCCTTGGTTGGAGAAACATTCTCAGAAAAGACCCTTGGGACCAGATATATTTGGTCCTTGTGGAGCTCCTGTCCTCTCTAGGTCATACTAACTCCCCTTCTTTCATATGATTCCCTGCACTCTGCCCAAGGTTTGGTTATGAGTCTCAGCATCTGCCATCTCCACGTCCTTATATGAAAGTCTTCTCAGCATTCATCAACTTGGCTGAACACATTGACCAAGACTTACTTTTATCAACATCTTAAATACAGCTCTCTCTCCTGTATCCATGTCTCCTCTTGAGATTTCTCTTAATGATGTCAACTTTCCACAAAGCAATACCTGAAATCTGAACTGTCTTATAACTTTTTTTCATCAATCTCCTTGTCCCCACAAACGCCCCAAACCCAAAACCTGGTCTCTGCAGGTCGCAGGTTTCCTTTCCTGTAGCCTTTCCTCAAGTCAAACTGTCCTCAGTGCGCAAGCGCGCTATACGAAAGCCCGAGGTCCCTCCCACCTTCGGTCTGAAACCCGAACAAGCCGAACAGGAGTTCTGGCTTGCAACACAACTCCTCATCCAATATGATCATGATTTCTATGGGTTGAAAACCTTTGGCACAGGGGATGTAGCCGTGTAGTAGAGTGCTTACCCAGAATTCATTAGATGCTGTATCCGATGCCCAGCCTGGGAAGAGGCAAGATGTTGCTCCAGAGGCTCTGCAGAGTGAAGCTTCTGCAGAGCAGCTAGCTTCTTAGGTTCTCCAGACTCCTTTTCCTACCTGCCCCTTCTTTCTAGAACCTCTCTTTGCATCCTTCCTACATTATACCCTCCATTGATCCACAGCTTTTTCTCTGTGCCTTGACTCAAGTTGTTCTCTGGCCATGGAATGCCTCTGTCTCCATCTTCACTGGGCAAAGGTTGTCTTTTCACTGTATTTGGGTTCATTCCATCCTAATAGATAGTCAGGTTTGTCTCCTCTGGGCCTGCTGAGAACTTACACTCGTGTTTCTGTTAGAGCAACTACCAAAGTTCCGGGCATAGTTGGAAATGCTGCAATCGAGCTGGGCTGGGTGGCGCACGCTTTTAATCCCAGCACTTAGGGAGGCAGAGGCAGACAGATCTCCTTGAGTTTGAGGCCAGCCTGGTCTACAAAGCACATTCCAGGACAGCAAAGGCTACACAGAGAAACACTGTCTCAAAAAAAAAAGGGGGGGGGGGTGAGAAGCCGCAGTCCGGACAGAAAGCAGGCAGACAGACAAACATTGCCAGTGATGCATTTTTTTCTCCATCCCTCATGGTGCATCATACAGAATTAGAAAAAGATAAAAGTTTAATTCTGAGTCAGGCGTGGTGTTGCATGTCTTTAATCTCAGCAATCAGGGAAGCAGAAGTAGGTGGATCTCTGAGTTCACTCTGGTCTACAGAGCGAGTTCCAGGATAGCCAGGGCTACACAGTGAAACCCTGCCTGGAAAAATAAAACAAAATGTTGAGCATAGTTACCTGTCCTTCTAGATTGTGGCTCAGGGTGGTTTCACCTTCCAAAGGGGTATCTGAGCTCTGGGATTTTATACTAGGCGCTTGCTGAAACACAAAAGAAAATCAAAACATCTTTCATGGCCTTCATAGTAGTAAGGACATTAAAATGCAAAATGCATCAATACAACTCATCAGGCAGTAAATGAGTATAAACATCTGTTAATAAGGTTTCAGGAGCCTACCAAATCTGCAGGCCGAATCCGTCCATCTATATCCTTGTCCTTCATTGGTTTCTCTTCTTTCAGGTTCTTGGAAAAAGGCTTAGACAATGGAGAGTTAAGTCCTCCTGCTTTATTATTGTGAACTATATGGTGCCCAGTGTCCCTGAATAAGCTGAACAAGCATTTGGTCTGAAAGGAAGCAAGTGAAGAACAATGGGTAATGGGGCCTCTCCAGGGAAGCGTTTTATCTAGATCATTTCAGCACCCAGAATAGACACCTGAAGAACCTTGCTGCATTCCTCACTTATAGAACACATATGCTCACCATGAAAAATTAGTGGCCTCCTTGCTGCCTAAAGAGGTAGGAGGGATCTTGCAGCCGCACTTGGTTTTGGGGTCACACATAATTCCAGTCATCAGGGAGACTGCATCTTTGACACATATTTTTATAATTGAATAATTATACAATTCATTTATATAAAAGAGACAGTATTTGTCTAATTACTATTTACTTATCAAATTAGCTGAAAGAACAAGGCAAGTTTAAAGTTTAAATAAAACTTTGGTGTGGTTCAAACCACAGTCAATTTTGTCACGTTGTTTTCTAGGGGAAAGTAACACCCTGTAAAATTTAACAATAAAAATTCATTAGATACTCATTGTAAAGACAGTTATTATAATAAAGTTATGGAAGATCCATCATCCATTTGCACACCTGGTGAGTAGCAGACTCTTCTTTTTAAACAGAAATCAGCCAGGCAGTGGTAGCACACACCTTGCCAGAGGCAGGCAAATCTCTGAGTTTGAGACCAGCCTGGTCTACAGAGTGAGTTCAAAACCTTTGATCTACAATGGTATAATGCTTGCAAGATATCCCAGGGCAACGGTGGCAGGAAGCTTGTGGGGGCAACCCACTAATAACTGACTGGACTTAAGTGCCATTCCCCAAGATGAAACCTATTTCTGACGCTACTTGGGTGACCAAGAACTAGAGAGTAGATAGCCCAGGACCTAAGGTAAAAACAAATAAGACTGATCTAAACATAAAAAGAAAAAAGAATAGTAATAAAATGACTCCTAATGACATCCTGCTATACTCAGAGATCAGTGCCTTAATCAGCCATCATCTGAGAAGCTTCCCCCTACAGCATATAAGAACAAATACAGAGACCCACAGACAGGGATTACACAGAGAGTGAGGACCTTGGTACACTCAGTCCTAAATGAGATGTCTCCATTCAAATCCCTTCCCAGAGAGCTCAGGGAACCCTGCAGATGAGGGGGCAGAAAGAATATAAGAGCCAGAGGCAACGGAGGACACCAAGAAAACAAGGCCGTCTAAATAAACTAAACAAAACTTACATGAACTCACAGAGAGTAAAACAGCAAGTCCAGGACCTGCACAGGTCTGCACCATATATATCCAGTTTAGTGTTTTTATGGGATTCCTAAATGTGTGAACTAGTGGGTCTCTGACTCTTGTGCCTTCTCTTGGGCTCCTTTCCTTCTGTTGGTTAGCTTTGTGCAACTTTGATGTGATAGCTTTTGTTTTATTTTATTATAGATATATATTTTATATTTTTAAAAATGAATGAATTAATGAAAACCTGACCACTAGGGTAAAGGTTAACAACTGAACTGTCACTTATACCTGCTGGGAGGGGGAAAATGAGTTTTCGCCAAAGGAGTGACACTGGGTACATCAGCCACTCCAGGGCAGACCGCATGCTCAGGAGTAGTTTGATTGACCAATTAATTACTCCACAGCTTTTTTTGTGTGCTTTTTATTTAGTTATAGTTTGGTGGTTTTGTTTTGTTTTCCTGTTTTATTTTATTTTATTGGCTTTGTTGTTGTATAGGGTTGGTTTTTTTTTTGTTTGTTTTTTTTTTTGTTTTTTTTTTTTTGGTGTGTTTTGCTTTATTTATTTGTTTTGGTTTTTAGAAAGAACCTAAAGTTTGGCAGGTAGGGACAGGGAGACAATCTGAAAGGACTTAGGGGAGGAGAGTATAATAAAATATATTTAAATTTAAAGATTTTTTTATATAATAAAGAAACAAATAATTTTAATTTTATTACTTTTATTTGTGTGTGTGCATGGGGGGGGCTATAGAGGTAAACAGACAGCTGTTTGGAGAAGGTGCCTCCCTGCCATCTTGTGGGTTCTGGAGATCAACCTCAGCTTGTCAAGCGTGCCTGAAAGTGCCTCTACCCTTGAGCCATCTTCCTAACACAAGTAAAAATAAGATCAGAGCTGTTGAGATGTGGCTCAGTGGTTAAGATCAATGGTTGCTCTTCCAGAGTCCTGAGTTCAATGCTCAGCATCCATATGGTGGCTCACAACTGTCTATAAAGGGATATGATGTCTTCTTCTGGCATGCAGGTGTACATGCAGACAGAGCACTCATACACTAAATAATAGTAATAATAATAATAGCAACAACAACAATAACAATAATACCAAAAGACCATGCTCAGGCCTGCCATGGTGATGCACACCTTTAATCCCAGCACTTAGAAGGCAGAGACAGATGAATATCTGTGAGTTTGAGGCCAATTTTATCTATATATCAAATTCCGGGCCAGCCAGGGCTGCACAGTGAGACTCTGTCTCAAAATAAAAAATCCATACTCATGGAAAGTTGGGGGGATCTAAAACTGCAAAAATAAAAAAAATAAGATCAACTGTCTGATTTGGGCATCGTGGTGTACCCTATAATCCCATCACTTGGAAGGCAGAGGCAAGAAGGTTGGAAGTTCAAGAACAGCCTGAGCTGCATACAAACACAGTTAGCAACTGGTACCTAGAGAGGTCATAGACCCACCCGGAGAAACTAAATTAACAAAGCACCAAAATGACTTCTAGACATGCATGTTTATACTCAAAGACAAATGCTTCTCTCAGCCTAAATCAAAGAAACCTTTTTATAGTACACAGCAGTGAATGCCATACACTAACTGGCTCTAGATGTCACTGCAAAGACATGAGCGCTGAAGACATAACCAAATACATATATGGGGGATAAATTAAGATGACACATCTTATGGATTTCTTACCTTTTCAAAGACTGTCCCATCCAGGTAGGGAAACACATGGAAAGCTCCTCTTATCCTCTTCACTCCTGGATATAGGAGTGGGACCATGTTGACATAAGCCACACCATGAAAGGAAAGCTGGTTCTCATCATCAGTCTAAGGAAATACAAGCACAGTTGTCACAACTACAGCAGAGGGGCAGATGGTGTGAAGCTCAGACTCGGGGTTCAGAGGCTGTTCTAGGAACAAGTTCTGCTAAGCAACCAGCTGTGTTTCTTTGCTACACAGACACTTTAGGACCTGGCTTCATTTCCAGTAAGATTAATAAGGTAAAAGGCCATAGCTGAGTCAACATATATTCAACTGAATTAATATTACAAATACCCCACCACAAAGCCAATTTCAGCAAGCTGCTTCTTTGGAGAACAGTCAAATTTTGGAAAAAATAGTTATAGAACGTAAGAGCAACTAGATTGCCTGCTCAAACTGTGAGCAGAACCTTCTAGAGCTTCAGTATGGCTTCTGACCAGCATGTTTTAGCTTATCCCCTCAGTGATAGGGCATGCTTTACTAAGAAAAAGTCTCTTCAGGTTCTGAAGAGCATTTTCCTAAATCAGCAACACCTGCCACAGGTTAAGGACCACAACCAGGCCTTCCATGTATTTATAAGATCTGATTCCATCCAGACTCACTCCAAAGATAAATCAGCTGTTAAACAACGTATTCTAATGTCATTTTTAATACATTCCTTTTTTCAATTTTTTAGATTTATTTATGTATTATGCATACAGTGTTCTGCCTGCAGGCCAGGAGAGGGCACCAGATCTCATTATAGATGGTTGTGAGCCACCATGTGGGTGTTGGGAATTGAACTCAGGACCTCTGAAAGAGCAGTCAGTGCCCTTAACCTTTGAGCCATCTGTCCAGCCCCTTTAATGATTGTATAGCTGCCATAAGATATGCTAAAGAAAAACCAAAATTTTAGAGAAACCATTAATTCCAAGTTTAAAAGTAATCTCTTTAATTTTGCCTACTATAACAATATATTCAAGATTAAAAAGCCCTTTGTTTTTACCATAACATTTTATAGCTTTGAAACCCAAAGGATATTAACCAATATATATTATAATAAAAGAGGAAAATAGTTACATGGTGATGTAACTCTTTTTTTTTTTTTAAGATAAAGTAGGATTTCCTTATTTGAAAACTTTTTGGAAGATGGCTCAGTGGGTATAGTGCAGGCCCCACAAGTACAATGAGAGAAATTTGGATCCCAGTGCACCCAGAAATGTTGATCATGGGCTCCCCCACTGGAATCCCAGAGTAGGCAGCTAGCTGGACTACCCCAGTGCAGAGCTCTGGGTTCAAGGTGAGACACTTGACTGCAACATGCAAGTCAGGGCGCCATCAAGGAGAGCACCCATCGCTAGTCTCTGGCTCCCACGCACATGTGTGCCCACACACACAGACACTCATGTGTGCGTGTACATCACACACATAAGCAACATTTAAAATTATTTTCAGAGGCAGGTATGGTGGCACATGCCCTTAATCCCAGTACTAGGGAGGGTAAGAAACAGGCAGATCTCTAGGAATTCAAGTTTGCCTGGTCTACATAGTGAGTCAAGGACAGCCAGAACTATGTAGAGAGACTCTGTCTCAAAAAAACAAGAAGCTGCAGAGATGGCTCAGTGGTTAAGAGTATTTGTACCTCTTCCAGAGGACATGGGTTCAATTCCTGGTACCCACAGGGCAGCTCACAACTGTCAGTAACTGCAGTTCCAGGGGATCTGACAGCCTCACATAGGCAAAACACCAAAGCCCACAAAATAAAAATAAATAAAATAATTTTCTTTAAAAAAAATTATTTATTTATTATTTATACTGTGTTCTACCTTCATGTATGCATGCCAGAAGACGGCACCAGATCTCATTATAGATGGTTATGAGCCACCATGTGGTTGCTGGGACTTGAACTCAGGACCTTAGGAAGAGCAGCCAGTGCTCTTAACCTCTGAGCCATCTCTCCAACATAACAAAACAATTTTCATTTTAACATTCATCGTATGCAGTACTGTGTTACATAAGGACATGTTCAGTAGGGTATAACACACACTGAGCCCACTCCTCCACACAACCCTCCTCCCTCCCTCCCTTTCTTCCCTTTTGTTCCTTTTGTTCCCCTAACTGGTGTTGCTTCTATTTTCATGTCACATGTACAGATGTAACTGTATGTATCTGTATTAAACCCAGGAACTCTAGATGACAGAAAATGTGGATTTGTCTTTCTGAGACTGGCTTAATTGTTATAAAATGACTGCATCTATTTTCCTGCAAATGACATTATTTTATACTTTATGGCTGTAAAAAAATTTCATTATGTGTTTAAACCACATCTTTAAAGCCATTCCTCAGTGGCTGAATGCCTGGTTTTGTTCTGTGACTTTGCTACCGTGAGCAGTGCGGTAATAAACACTGATGTGCCAGAATCTCTGTAATGTGTTGACTCGGGGTCATTTGAGCAAACACTCAGAAGTGGTACAGCTGTGACATATGCTAGCTCTATTTTTAGTTTTGGAGGAGCCTCCATACTGCTTTGCAGAGTGAATAGACAAGTTTCCACCCCACCCATGCCTCATAAGTCTCACTTTTGTTCATTGTGGTAGCAACATTTTTGTTTCACAAAAGAGCCTTTTCAACACCAAATCAAGTAACTTAGATGCTTGCTAGGTGCCCACTATGAGCTGTGTGTCATGCTAAGTTCTGTGCAGGCTATAAAGCAGTGTATTCGTGGCCCCCACACTTTTTATACACAGGGGTAAAGATGAGCCATATACAGGAAAAATGAGAGAGAACATGCTCCAAGCTTACAGAACTGTGTCTTCCCAGGGTCCTGGCTTATCTACGAATCCTATCACATTAGCAAGCAGTATAACACGTTTTGTAGGTAAGTCTAAATTTACTAGATCGAACCGTATTACTCATTTTGACCTAACTAAAAATGACTATTTCTTATGGTAACCATGGTAAGAACATAATAAAGGGTCAAGGAGAAATAAGTATCTGAAAATAAGGCCTGAACAAGTATTTGTGAGGAACAGGGAACTTCAGTGACCAGTCATCCTGGTTTTCCTGGGAAATGAGACTGATGGTACATACACCAAGAAAGTCCAAGGAAAACTAGGGGAAACAGGCACATCAAGTCATATTAGACACAGAGTAACAGATTTGATTTGATAGGTCACTTCTAATTTTAAAAACATGAGATGAAGGCTCTCTCTGCTGTCTAGGCTGCTCTCCAACTCTGGGTCTAAAATGATCCTTGTCTCAGTCTCCCAGTTTCTGAGAACCATGGGCAGAACCCACTACACCAGGTTTATTTTGGGGATACATACGCTTACCTTCTCAAGTTTGCCTGCTTTTCCTTTCTGTACAGCAACCAAAGGTACTCTTGTGATCTCCACGGGCCAGAGCCGGCAATCAGCAATTCGCTTCTGGAAACTGCAAATTAAAAAACAGCCCATAAGTACTACATGCAAACATGGACCAGTATAACTTAAAAAGAAATATTCTTATTTTTTAAAAAAATTGTGAATAAAATGAGCTACTATGAGTTCAGTAGTAAAGAAAGTACTTGCCTAGTCCTGGCTTCACTTCAAAGTACTAAAAATAAAATCTATTACCTAGAAAGTAATGGAACACATGTGTGTGTGAGTGTGTGTGTGTGTGTGAGAGACAGAGGAAAGACAGAGCCAGACAGTGTCTGCTTCATTAGGCAGGTGAATTTCTCTTTGTTTTTGAGACAGCCCCTGAGTACCAGGATTACAGATGTGCGCCACCATGTGTTGGTATACACCTTACCCTTGTTCATTCAAATGCTGACTTCTGTCCCCCAACTCTTTGGTTTCAATACAGACACTGCATTGTGATATTTAGTCTAAGCATCACCTGTCTCAACTTTGTGTAAACATGCCAAAATAAAGCAACTAGCCACAATGTTGAGCAAGGGAAAGGAAGAGGAAGAGAGGGAGGAGCCAGAGGACAGGAAAGAGTGGGAGAAAAAGGGCAGATGAGAGCTAGGAGAGTAGATCTGGAGGACAGACCTTGGAACGACATGGAGAATGAACCAGATCTAAGATTTCATAAAAAGCAAGTATAATGAGTAAAATCTAAATGCTAGGAAACTATGATGGCTTGGAGGTTTAAGAGGGAGTAATTATTGCCCAGCATCATGTTCTAGGTAACTAAATAAACCCAGTCTCTGTGTGGTGATTTGGTTATACAGCTGTTTAGGATTAACAGCAAGCTTTACTAAAAGAATATCAATAGTAAATATTAATCGCTACTTACAACAACCATGCCTGGCTAGATTGATTGTTTTTAAAGGTTTGTTTGGGGCAGAAGAGATGGCTCAGAGGTTAAAGCACTGGTTGCTCTTCCAGAAGTCCTGAGTTCAATTCCTAGCAACCACATGGTGGCTCACAACCATCTATGACAATATCTGGTGCCCTCTTCCGGTGTGCAGGCAGAACACTGTGTACATAATACATAAATAAATGTACATTTGTTTTTATTTTGTTAATTATGTGTTTGTATGTGACTCTGTATGAGTTATGCATATCAGTGCAGTATTTGCTGGTGACACTGATCCCCCAGAGCTGGAGTTCCTCACAAGTGAACTGCTTGATGTGGTGCTGGGAAGTGAACCAGTGTCCCCTAGAAACATAGCCAGTACTCATAACAGCTGAGCCACCTCTCTAGCCCAGGTGGTTGATTCTTTAAAACATTCCTAGGTTTATATAGATTTATAAAAATAATTTTACTTAAGTGCTAACAATTTCAAGTAACACATCTTTTAGTGCCATATGGCAACATAAGCCTGGTAGGAGGTTAAGACAAGAGGATTATAAATTTGAGGGCTGCACAGTAAGTTCCAGGCCAGTCTGGGTTACATAGCAAGACCCTCTCACAAAAGCAAACAAACCACTGAGGAGGTTTGGGATGGTGGTGCATGTCTTTAATCTTAGCACTGGAGGACAGAAGCCAGAGGACTGTGAATTTCAGGTCAGCCTCATCTACATGGGGAGACCCTATCTATACAACAGCTACAAACAAAAGCATCGAAACTGTAATGGCTAATCTTATCAAGTTGGCAGGACTTACGTCTACTATAGAGAGATACATCCCTGGGTATACTCCTGAGGGTGTTTCTAGACAGGGAAAGGCCTGAGCAGGGGAGACCTATACTCAGACTGGATGTGGTGGCAACACCCAGTGAGCTGGGTCAGTAAAGGGGAAGAGTGGACAGCAGCGTTCCTCTGTTTCTGTCCCCTCGTCCAATTGAAAGCTAGGATTTTTTTTTAATTTTTATTTCATTTTATTATGTATGCAATGCTCTGCCTGAATGCCGGAAGAGGGCACCAGATCTTATTATAGATGGTTGTGAGCCACCATATGGTTGCTGGGAATTGAACTCAGGACCTCTGGAAGAGCAGCCAGTGCTCTTAACATCTGAGCCATCTCTCCAGCCTGATTTTTTTTTTTTAAAAAAGCTCCATCAGAGAGTTGAGGTAAAGGGAAAACTATAATCTGAAATTTGGAGACAGGAAAAAAGAGGATCAAAGCTGAGATCCACTTTACAAATAGCCAAGGTACAGTAGACAGAAAATGGGGAAAAAAAAAAAAAAAGAGCTTAATTGTAACTTTGGCAAATTATTAGAGACCAAGAGTTAAAAAAATTCCAGGAACCTAGTTTAAAAAGTTGCCTGTTCTTGTGGATATTAAATGCAGGAGAAACCTTATGCTTCAAGAAGTGGTGGGAAGCAAATGTTTTGAAATACCCTCAAATGTTCTTTTGTTTTGTTTTTGAGACAGGGTCTCACTATATAGCCCTGGCTGACCTGGCACTTGCTATGCAGACCAGGCTGGTCTCAAACTGACAGAGTTCTACCTCTGTCTCCCCAGTGCTGGGTTTAAAGGTGTGCCCAACTTGTTGTGTTCTTTGTAAGAAAGGTCTGATCTTTCAGGAAAACTACCAGAACCTTGTGTTCTAAAAGACAGTCAGCTGGACAACTCCACCTCTGCCCAATCTTCCCTCAACAAAAGGTTGGGAGGAAGAAAAAAAAAGACTATGAAACCTTTCTGTGAACAATGACCCAAGGACTCAAACCTACTAACCCCCCACCCCAAAATCACCCAGCAGATTTCAGCTGAGGAAGCAGCAGAACAGAGTCCCATCCTGACAGGAACTCACAGATTAGCCCAAAGAAGACAGGGCAAGAGAAATTAATCGGAGGCCTGTGGTACAGCCACAAAAATATTCCCTGTGTCCAGCTCCTAAGCAGATCAAGACCAAACCCCACACTAAAATCCTTAGACTTTGAATTCCTATTTCCCCAAATGTATTCTGTGCGACACAGCTGTTAAGGTCGAAGTCTGGCATTTCCAGATAACCTCTGAGCCTCGTCTATGAAGATGGACTCCCTTTCTCAGCAGGGTTCTCTCTTTGCCTCCTGATCTGGGGAACCCCAGGTCCCCTAAGGAGCATTACATAGTCCTCAGGGAAATTTACAGGCCTTACCCTTTCCTGATAAGAAACCTGTTCAGCAAGCACATGGGGATTCCTGGAGACACCTATCCTATACTAATAAGATGTCTTGACTTTCAACCAATGACCTTTAACTGTGTGGAGATTTTCCACCACCCATAGGATAATTAAGTACTGCTTTCCCTTCTTATGATAAGGCTGTTTTATTACATGTAGATTAAGTATCCCTGATGTCCCTAGCTCCAGCAAATTAAACACATTCACCTTCAAAACCCCTCTACTGCCTAAGGTTTATAAGTCCCTGATTCATGAAATAAAGTCCATCCCTCCATCATGACCACCTGATCATTTATTCTGGGGAAGGAAGGGCTCCCTGAAGAATCTCTGCGGAAAACCCCAAGTTTGGCTGGGCCACCTGGGACATGCTCGTGACTTCTGTGAGCTTCTGCTGTTAGCTGGACTGCCAGAACTGCCCTCTGGGTGGTTTCTGGCTTTCGCCCACACCCCTGCTGTTAATATAGTGGCCTAACCAAGAGGCTGTAACACTGCATTATTACCACAGGCTTTTGGATCATCTGAGTACCAGCAATCTCATTTTAAAAGGGCTAACAGTAACGCCCAGTGGGAAACTCATTTCCACCTCCCCTGGTGAGCCTGGGAGCCTCACCTAGTACATGAGTGCTCTAATCATTCCTGAAACAGAAATGAGACCTTTGATCTTGGGAGTTTTTCTGTTCCTGTCCAGAAAAAAACAGTGCCTGGACCAGCCTGATTTGTGGAACCCACCCAGTAGCCGAGATAGGAAACAGTACAACAGCTGAGCCCTGAGACCGCCCAGGCTACCGTCTGACAAGGAACCACAAACGTCCAGATACCAATACAAATTAAAGAGGACCAGTGGCACAATGGGACCCTCATGATGGAAGAAAATAGACCCTGACAAGTTGTCCTCTGAGCCCAGACAAGATGAAGTGGTGCTCCACAAAATTTGAGGCAGATTAATTTAAAGACATGGTAGCTCAGAAGTGAGTCATCCATGATGTCTGTGGGGTCAAATTATCCCCAATCATGGACTACTGGAAAAGCGGCAGGCCCTGCACCCCCAAAAATCCCACTTACTGAGTGTCATAGCTCACCAATCAGATTCACTAACAACTCGCATATCCAGTCAAAAGCCATTCTGTACTCACTACAATTATCCTGCAAAGCCAGGTATGGTGGCACACACCTGTAATCCCAGCACTTGGGAGGCAGAGGAAAGTGGATTTCTGTGAGTTTGAGGCCAGCCTAGTCTACAAAGCAAGTCCAGGACAGCCAAGGCTACACAGAGAAACTCTATCTCAAAAAAAAAAACAAAACAAAAACCCAAACAAACAAATTATCCTTCAAAAGGAGATAAAGGTTTTCTCCAACAAAAAGTCAGCCAGCAGTAGCTGCCTTGTGAGGAAAATTGTCCATGTATATTGATGAGCAGATGAGAAGTGCTACGGGTCACAGAGAAAAACACTGAGTCACAAATTCAAATACACAGAACATGAGGAAATCACTAACCATTTTATAAGTTAAAGTAAAATAATTAAAGGTATGCCTTATTCTTATATTGATCTAATAAATGACTATTTGCTCAAAATAATATGAGCAACAGTTTATCCTCAGTAAAACATTAGTCAATCAAATCCATCAACATAGAAAAAGGGTTACATGTGACCAGGTAGGGGACCAGAAGTATACCTCTGAAATACCTGCTCAATTTTTCTTTTCTTTTCTTTTTGTTTTGTTTGTTTTTGAGACAGAATTTCACTGTGTAGTTCTGGCTGTCCTGAACTCACTATGTAGACCAGGCTGGCCTTGAACTCACAGCGAGCTGCCTGCCTCTACCTCCTGTGTGCCTGGGATTAAAGGAGTACACTACACGGCCTGGGTCCTGCCCAATTTTCCAATAAATGAAAAACTATTTTGAAAAACAAACAAACAAAAAAAATTTTTTTTAAACCAGAGCTAAGGACTGTGACTACAGGCACATTGGCAATCCTGTGTTTCTCATTTGTAACCAGCTTTCTATGTCAGAGACAGTACTGTAGAGTATTAAGCCTCCTATCTTTCCTTAGTAATGATGCCCTGACTCTGGCTGGTGACAAGTGTCCAACTAAAACAATGTATTTTCTAGCATCTGTTTCATCTAGAAAAGACCCATGAGACATAAATAGGGGTTATTAGGTCCCTGCAAGGTTCTGAGGGCAAAAACCCTGAGGACATCCACCACCAGCACGTACCCTTTCAAGTCCACACGGGTTCTCTTCCACCATGTTCAGTTGTTGCAAGCCAGAATCCCACCAATCAGTCAATCAACCCACTTTTCTTTCTCTTTCTTCAGTTTCATGTGTGTGAGTGTTTGTTCACATGTACATGAGTCTAACACATATATGCCTGGTACCCACACAGGCCAGAAGATGGCATTGGATTCCCTGGAGTTACAGATGGTTGGGAGCTATCATGTGGATACTGAGAATCAAACCCCTGGTCCTTGGCAAGAGCAACAACAGCTCTAAACTGCTGAGCCAGCTCTCCAGTCAAGCTTGTAGGGGCGTAGAGGTCTTTGTACTGACAGGCATGCACTAAGGGAAGCTGGAATGTTAAACACACACAGTTGTTCAGGAAAAAAATGCAAAACCTGCTTTCTGCCAGAAGACTGAAGCAGATATATTTTCTAGCCTGGTGACTTCTGTGCAATCTATGTGGCCAGACCCTCCTCATAAGCTTGTTTTCTTCAGTCAATCTATAGAACATATCTTTACAGAAGGTGTCACATGCACTTGACAGAGTTTCAATGTAATGATGCCTGATCTGTATTTAGCTTATTTTGTTCCACACCGAGACTTAGGGATGCTTTATTTTGCACATGAGATTGAGTTAATCATCACAAGAATAGCACCAGATTATGCTGTGCTTAAATAAGCCAAAAATAAACAACTCTTGATGTCTGAACCAGTACCAGTTGTATTGCTCTAGGCCGCCTTTTAGCCTCCTTTCTTGGCTGCCTGTGAAGGTCTCACAGACACCTCACCCTAACACACACACACACACACACACACACACACACACACACACACACACACACGAGCTCTAGCAATCTTGAGCCATGAGGTAAGCTAAAGCGAAGGCTGTTCCTGGGTTTCTGAGGATACTGCAGAGCCACTATGCATGTCAGTTCTAGAATTATTTTATGTAAGTCAAAAAGAAATGCTCACCTAGGAAAAAGTCCCTAGGGAATCTGTTATCAGCAGATAAACAAAATGTCAAACTGATGCAAAGTGGAAGAGAAAGTTTCACACTTTAACTCAAATGTGAATACAGTGAATGGAGGGAAGAATAACATTATTTCCACCCCCACCCCAGTCCTTTTCTGTTCTCACCTTGCAACTGCAGAAGGATCGAGGTAGCAGCGGCTTTCCAAGTCCCAGACAATCCTTTTCTTTATGCATTCTGCTTGGTTCCTAAACTCCCTGTCCTGTGGAATAATAAGATAGCAATTCCTGGTCTTTGTGTGTGCTGGCTTCACTCTGTCAGTCTGTGGGCACTCTTGCATGTGGCAGCTATTTCAACTGCTTGGAGTACATGAGATAACCTTCAGATATAATGCTCTGCTTACATCAACCCATTCCTAAGTGCCAAATCTTTATGCATATAACCTCAGTCCGTGATTCTCATTCAGGATGTACATTAAAATCATTGAGGAGCTTAAAAAAATGAAAGTGTCCTAGAGAGCAGCAGTGCGTTACTCATTCATCCATTTTTAGTGGAGCTCTGGAAGGGGCTGGGCAGGAGCCTGTATGTGTGAACCCCTGCTCTCGGTTCTTGACTGTGGATGGGATGTGACAGCTCTCTCAGGCTCCTGTGTCTGTGACTTCTCTGACATGACAGACTGTAATCTGGACCTGTGAGCTGAACACTCCCTTCTTTTCCTGAATTGCCTGCATCAGAATATTTTACCACAGCAATAGGAAAGAAAATTAACACACTACTGTCATTGTCTTAAAAATATTTCCAGGGGCTGTATGTAGTGGCATGTCTCTGCAATCCTAGTTCTGAGGAGGTTGAGGCAGAAAGATGAGTTCAAGGTCAACCTAGGCATATGTTGAAACTCAGTATTATTTAAAAAAAAAAAAAAACAAACAACAACAACAACAAAAAAAAAACACTAGGGGACTGGAGAGGTAGCTCAGAGTTTAAGAGCACTGGCTGCTCTTCCAGAGGTCCTGAGTTCAATTCCCAGCAATCACATGGTGGCTCACAACCATCTGGAATGATATCTGTATACATTATAAAATAAATCTTTAAAAAAAAATGTAGTCCTGGTTGGCCTGGATCTCACTATGTAGACAAGGATGGCCTCAAACTCATGAGATCTTCTAAGTACCAGGATTGAAGGCATGAGGCACCACACCTGCCACCTTTACATGTAATTTTAAAGTGCAGCCAAGGCTGAGAAACAATTATGTAAACTAAAATATAGCATAATATCTAAATATATAAAATATAATATAAATATAAAATATAAAATATAAGGTAATTATAGTTACTAAACAAATGATGAGAAAATCATGTCAGCAATTTTTAAATGTTGCTAGCCTTATTACTAGTTTAGATATTTAGAGTCAATGAAAAGAATTCAACATCCTCATTTCACTAGTTATTTTTCTGAATGTTTCTACTGATGTTTGTTGACTAGTACAAGAATTATTTGCAACCACTTTTTTATTATTTTCCATGACCTTGATAATTGATTCCCACTAGTAAAGAAGTGAATAAGTAAATTAAAATATGTCCACTCAATGTCATATCATATAGAAACAGTAAAAAAAAAAAAAAAGAAAAAAATAATGAAAAAAATGTAGTGATACGAAAATACTCACTACTTTATGAAGTAAAACAAAGCAAGTTAACTTATATAATAGCCTCTAAAAATGATGGGGACAGTATCAATATGCATGTACTTGTTATGCCCAAGTCTCTTGAAACCCAAAGACCACTAAGGAGCTGATTCCTCTGCAAATGCAATAGGGTCTTTTATTACAAGCTTGAGCTCAGGCCCACATTGTCACCGATGCAGTGATATGGAGTGTAGAGACCCGAGCTCAGGGGGAGGAGGGTTTTTATTTTGGGTTACAGCAAGGTTGGGAAATTTCAGCTAGGCAGTTTTATGATTGATTGACATTTAGCAAATTATGGGTGTCCAGAGGAAATTGTTTTCCCGGAGGGCCAAGCCAAATCGTAATTGTCATCCTCTTGTAAAGAACACCTGGGTAAATTCCAGGTATTCTCTGATTAACGATTGCTAGGGGTGATGGTTAAGTATTACTGGCTAATACTTAACCTTGGGCAAGGGACTCTATTGTCTTCTTCCTGGAATTGGTGACCTATAGCCTAGTTCCTGGGACTGGTGACTTTTGGCTTGTTGTGGGGGTGTCAGGCCTGGTTCTCTCATACTAGTATCTATTGATGTGTGAGGAAAAACTGACATATTTCCCTGCTTCTGATGTGAGTAAGCACAATCTACACCTAATCCAGGAGAAAAAAAAATACTGTGGAATAAATAGAGAAGTAGGAGTGGCTTCTTGCTGTGTTCTAGATCTGAAAATAATGTGACTGAATGCTTCCCCGAAGTCTGGATCCCCTAAGGAAAGACAATTAAAAAAATCTATGGTGTTTTTGTCTGCGTGACGTGCGTGCCGGCTGGCCAGACGAAGGTGTCAGGGCTGCTGGAACTGGAATTACACACCGCTGTGATCCCCATGTTTGTGCTGGGAAGTACATCCAGGCCCTCCAGAAGAGCAGCCAGTGCTCTCAATGACCAAATCATCTCTCCAGCACCAAGAAAAACAATTTTATCTGTAAATTTTGCTATAACGCTGGCTGAACATTATTTAACCACCATTGGAATCATCATCAAATGGAAAGGCATTTTCCCATCACAGATAGCCTAATATAACTGTAGCTACCTGGGAACTTTTTGTTTTCTTTTAAACACTTGTTTTTGTTTGTTAAGCCAGACCTTCTAGAATCTGACTCTCCTTCCCTTAGGAAAGAGAGACAGGTTCTGTCCCTTAGTTTTCATGTCACTGCACTTATTTCTTTTGTATGTACAAGAGGCATCTGGGAGAAACAATAACAAAGTAACTACTAGGGTAACAAGATGGAAAATAATCTGGAAGAAGACACAGACATGAAAGACTCTTACTGTATACTCCTTTTTTCTTCCTCTTTTTCTTTTTTGTTCTTACTTGAGACAGGGTTTCTCTGTGTAGCCTTGGCTGTCCTAGACTTACTTTGTAGACCCAGCTAGACTGGAACTCCCAGAGATTCACCTGCCTCTGCCTCCCCAAGTGCTGGGATTACAGGCATGCACCACTGCACCCAGATTACTGTATACTGAGTGACCAAAGAATTGAAATTTGTTTTGAGGGGGTATTAGTTTGGGGTTTGGAGCACAGGTCTGATTGAAGGCCAGCCAGGTGGAGACATGTCCAGCCATGTGGGGAAAGGAACTAGCTTTACTGCATTCTTTTCCTGCCCACTAGAGTTACAGTTGCTAGGAAACCAGCCCAGATAGCCAGGCCAGAACTGTTTATGGTCTTTGTACTAAAGTAAACCAATCATTTCAAAAGTCAATTTCCTTTACCCAATCATGTAATGCCAAGGCATGTAGCTCTCTGCTTGAGTTTTTTGTTTTTTTTTTCCCCCATTAAAAACCTTGTTCCCCTAGACTGCAGGGCTGCATTCCTCTCCTGCCTTCACAGGAAGTTTTGCAACCCAGGCTCGAGCACGTATCCAATAAACCCTCATCTATTTGCAGCAGAGAATCCTGGTGGTCTTTGGGGGGTCTCATGAACTGGGCATAACAACACTTCTTAATTTTAAATTTCAAGCTGTGTTTGGAAGCTGAATGTTTCCCAAAGATCTCTGTGTTAACGGCTCCGAGAATGGTACTGAGAGGCTATGGGGTCTTTAGGAAATTAAGCCTACTAGGGGGCTCCTAAGGCACAAAACAGAGGGGTCAACCCATCATGGAGCTGAACCTCCAAATGTGAACCAAAATAAAGCTTTTTTCTTTATAAGTTGATTCTCTTGGGTGTTTCATTATAGCAACAACTGAATAATCTACTTATCTACTCAAAAAGAAACAAATATAAAATAAAGAGTAAGCTGAATGTAAATTATTCTGTTTGCAGAATTAGATATATGATTTTGACACGCTATCAGTATTGCCAAAGACAGGTGTGTATGTACAAACTTTGGGTCCATAAAAAGTTTATAGTCTGTTCATGCACTGTGTTTTTCATGAAACCTGTTCTCTCTCACCTCAGGGTGGTTGAGCTCTCCTTCTTCTTCCTCATAGGGACCACCCACAATGAATGCATCAGGGATGTTGTTAGCTCCTGGAGCAAGAATGTTAGCAATAGGCCATTTTTTAGGCCGGGGAACAGGCTCTCTTTCCCCTCCAAGCTTCATATTTCCATTCTTGAAAACCATAGGGTAGTCCTTCTAAAACAATAAATACCAGATGTGAGGATACTTGTAAAGGCTTTGGAATGTATAAAAAGTCTCCTTAGTACTTTTTCCAGTAGAATTCTGAATATTATGTCTATACTATATGGTTCTATATAGGAGCCTGTACCCTTCATTCTATTTGTGCTAATGTATAACTGTGAATGATAGAAAACATGATAAAATGCAAATTACTATTTTTTTTCTTTTTTGGTGTTTTTGAGACAGGGCTTCTCTGAGTAGCCTTAGCTGTCCTGGACTCAGGCTGGCAAATTACTCTTTTTAAAAGTATTTTATTTATTTATGTACATGTGTATGCACACTTTTACACCAATATGTGTGGAGGTTAGATGAAAAACTTTTGGGAGTTGGTGCTCTCTATCCTTATGTAGGTCCAAAGAATCAAACTCAAGCCATCAGGCTCAGCAATAAGTGGCTTTGCTCTTTAAGCCATCCCACCAGCCCAAAGAGGAAAAATCAGTAGAAACCTGAAGATGGGAGCAGAACATGCACAGATGTGCCATTTGCAGTCATGGGTTGTCTCTGTATAGGAAAGCAACCCTCCAGACTTGCCTTAGGTTATTCCAGTTTTGGAAATGAGTCAGGTGTCTCTGGAACCCACCTAAGCCCCAGAAGTTTTATGCAAATTCACATTTAGGCTGTGGAAGTAGCACAGGTGAAGGCTTTAACTTATTGCACCTTGGGAATCTCCAGCAGAAAACTTAAGTATTCCTGTATCTAAAAATTTGATCTAAACAATACCTGGAATTAAGAGAAAGCATTCCACAATGATATACTTATGCAAAACCTATAAAAAATAATCTATGTATATGCATCTAAAAACTGGCAACTTTTAAATGTTGTACTTATTTTGGACCATAAGTATATGTTGATTTAATATAAACTACATGTAATGTGTAGATTGTGTAACCGCATAGGGTTATGAAAACATACATGTAAAACAAAAGTGAATGTTAGTTTTTAAGCCTAAAATGCATCTTAGCCATTGGTAGAGTGAGTTTGAGTGCAGTGTTGGCAGGGAGGAACATGGCCTGTGTAAATATTTTGAAGTAGGGCTTTACCTCTCCAACTGATGGAACTTGTAGACCAACAACGTAGTTATACTGAGGCCCCACAGGAATGAAAGACTCAGGCACAGAATAGGCGGCTTCTAGTGTGACCTTCAGTAGATTGCTTGCTGAGACCTGTGCTGGGGTCAGTAAGGGCTCTGCCACAAATACCTTCACATCGAGACTGCACTGCTATCAAATGAAATTATGCAACATTTATGAACATTGCCATAGGCATTCATTCTCTTTATTTACATTATCTCCTACCACTGTTCCAGTTAAACTCAATTATTTCCAGACAGAGGACTTAAATGTCTTTTCCCAACTACCAGGAGTTGAAGAAAGAGACAAAAGGAGAACTGGAGAATCTTATGATGAACTAGAGTCTTCTTCATTCTACAGCAGTGACGTAAAGTGCAAATACAAATAAGTATGGGAAAGGAATCGGATGATTCCACAGTGAATGTAACTAGCAGGCATGACATGGGAGTTCTTTTATTTTGCTGGCATGTATTCTATGATTATGTGGGGTGTATGCATGTATGCTGTATGTGTATGTGTGTTTAGGCATATATGTGCCACTGTATGTGAAGATTAAAAGATAACCATGGATATTGGTTTTCACTTTCCACTGGGATGTGAAGCCCTTTACATGGATGCTGGGAATTTGAACCTAGGTCCTCACACGTGTATGGCAAGTGCTTTACACTTAAACCATCTATATCACCACCACCTACATCATCATCGTCATCGTCATTGCTATTGCTGTTATTATACAGGGGTTCACGGTGTAGCCCTGGCTGGCATGGAACTCACTGAGTGCAGCCCCGCCAAGTGCTGGGATTAAAGGTGTCTATCACCTCATCCAGCTTTATAAAATACTCTTGTTGAGAAGCACCAAAGAGGAAGAGGATAATTAATTACTGGGCTGGAAAAGAACAGGAAACAATGATATTTGAGACTACTTTTATAGGATATCAGGAGTTTGTGACTTGGATCATCAAAGGAAATAAAGAAAAAATAATTCTGGGTCCAAAGAAAATCTACTGTAAAAGGGATTGAAACAGTGTGCTACTTTCAGCCCAAAGGTAAGAAAGTAGTTTGGGACACTGGAACAGAATGCATAAGGACAGGAGCAGTTCAAATTCAGTCGATGGAATGAAGCTACCATGTGCACTGCTTGCAAAGAAATTGGGACTTTGACACAGGTGCAGTGGATAAATCTATGAGCCACACTAAGCAGGGAAAAGATGTGATCAGACTTGCTTTTAAGTCACTATGGAAGCAACAGGAAGGCTGAAGTCGGGGAGGAGATGAGGTCATGTGCCAAGATTACTCATAATGATCCAATGAAAGCTGAGGTAACATAGAGCAGGTAAGAAGAAAGGGTCTAAAGACTCAAAAATAGGTTGTATTTGGAGATTGGTTATAATTAGGATCCATTGGTACAACTTAGGTCCTATCATGTAAATTCATGGATGAGTAATGCCATCAGCCCAAAGGACTAAGAAACAAGAAAGAGTAAGTTTAGGGGAAGACAGTGAGTTCAGTTTTAGGATGTTGTGTCTTAGATGATTATAGGGTGTCACTGCAGAGAGTTCTGGTACATTGCAAAGTCTCATATTCTGGAATTCAGGAGAAGGTATTGGCTGATAATGCTGAATTAGAAGTCTTTAACTAGAGGCAGGCTGCCATTCCTGCTGGGTAACACACTGTCATATATAATTTAACCTATTGGCATGCAGCTTAAGAAGCATTTCCAGAGTGAAGCCTTCCTTAACATACTTCTGGGCAAAGTAGCCAAGACCTTCTCTTTGTCTTATCGATTCATCATACTTGGTCATAATCCATGAGGTGAGACAGCCTTATTCATCCCTGTTTGCCAGAAACTAGTGCTGCAGGTATCGTGAGAGGAGGTGGCAATGCACCTGAACCAGACCTCAATATCTGGACTATGAGGTAGGCGGAAAACATTAAAACTTAAAACTTGGATTACCTTAGAGCCTGGTGAAGGAGTCTCCAAGGGCGACCCCTGCACAGGGTGTAATGGGACCGTTGTTTCAAATGAGTCTTCTCCTGTCACATCAAGTTGAGCCAAAGAGGAAAGGGTCAGATCAAGGCTGCTACGGGCACAGGGATGACCTCATTTCCCCCTGGAGTTTTTCAAAGCCTTGGAGACTAGGCTGTACACATTGCTGGGTATAGGCTTTATGAGTTTTGTTATTTTTGGCTTTTGGGTAGATTATACATCTGACCTTCTAGTAAAGGAAGAAGATCCACCACAGCTTGGCCAAGAATTGAGGTCTTCTCATCTTTCTGTTTCTTTTCCTTTGGTAAAAGTTCTGTCACAGTTACTAGAAAAGTGAAAGCAAAGAAAAACGAGAGAATTTCTAACCACTCCACCAGATGGCAAAGCTGCAGCAAGCGAGGTCTAAGTTAAAGATAAGGGATTCTGACGTGCTAGAGTGCAATGGTAAGAGTGCTCAAACGAGGCTTCAGATCAAACCCCACCACAGACAGCAACAGCAGCAACAGCAGCAGCAGCAGCAGCAATTATCCTGAAATTCAGGAGGGTGCATCACGGACTTCCGGTAGACAGTGAGACGTCATCAGCTCTGCCACTTCTGAACTTTCTGCCCTAAGTTATAAGGAATAGATCTAACCTCAGAATCATGTAGTACATATATGGAAAGGCAACTGATGTCTATAACCGTCTGGCAGAAAAAAGTTACTGCTCTATATCATCTGAAAGAACCTATCATATTTATCATAAAAAATTACCAACAGATGTGGCAGCACACATCTGTAATCTCAGCACTCAAAATTGCAAACTCAAGGTCAACCTGGACTACATGGTGAAAGTGTGTTACTTGCATATTTTTAGAAATTAATGTTCTTAGATAGGATCTCATGTCTCCCAGGCTGTCCTCAAACTCATTATTTAACCAAAGATAACCCTGAACTTCTGATCCTTCTTCACCTACTTCCTGAGTACTGGGATTACAAGCATGCACTCCTGTCCTGACTTTCTTCAGTGATGAACAGTGATGTGGAAGTGTAAGCCAAATAAATCTTTTCCTTTCCAAGTTGCTTTGGTCATGGTGTTTCATCACAGCAATAGAAGCCCTAACTAAGACAGGAGTGCAAACAGGGCAGGAATCTGGAGGTAGGAGCTGATGCAGAGGCCATAGAGGAACACTTCGTACTGGCTTTCTCCACGTGGCTTGCTCAGCCTGCTTTTTTCTAGAACCCAAGACCACCAGCCCAGGGGTGACGCCACCCACAATTGACTGAGCTCTCTGACATCAATCACTGATTTAAAAACAACCAACCAAACAAACAACCAAACAACCAGCATTTGGGAGGCAGAGGCAGGAGGATCTCTGAGTTGAAGGTCAGCCTGGTCTATAAAGCTAGTCCAGGACAGCCAAGGCTACACAGAAAAAAAACCTGTCTCAGAAAAACAAAACAAAAAACAAAACAAACAAAAACAAACAAACAAACAAACAAAAAAAGCATGTCACAGTTCTTGATGCCAGAAGCAAATGGAACAAAGGCCACCGCACTACTCCTCTACAGGAGAATGCGCTTCTCCTACCATAGCGGCTTGGCACTCAGGATCTCCCTGCAACGTGCTCAGAACCATGAGACTCACAGAATAAAAGTTTATGGGCAAGGTCATCTAACGTGGTTCCTCCGTCTGGGCTGAGCTCAAAGCTGCAAGTAAAGTTGTACTTTGCAGTTCCTTCCGGAGAGACCGTGATTTTTGAGGAGTCGCCGAGAACTATCTGATTGAATTCTGCACGGACAAAAGTAACTGATGTGTCTCCCTTGAAGCCTTTCTGTGGGCAGAAGCATCATGGTTCAGTTTTAAATAATAGCTTTTCTACATATCTGGCAACCTATCTGGACCTGGACTAAACATCGGTTTCTGTTTTTCTCTAACAAGCTACACTACAAATACAAATGAGACAAAGGGAAAATCGTTAAACAAATGCAGTTCTAGCTAAATGCAACATTTGACTGGTGTCATTTATGTTAAAATTTAAAACGATATCACTTCTTGTATTATCTGATTACAAAAATATAGTCACACATCTTTAAAAAGTGATAAAAATCACATAGGGAATTAAATTTCCTGTAGCCTTATTTCAATATACAGACATTACTAATATTTCATAATATATTTTTATGTTTTGTTATAAATATGTATACATGTATATATATTTTACATACACATTATTAAACAAATAGAGCTAATTAATTATATCCTTTTAAAGAACAGCTCTGTAAACTTCTGGACAGTGAATATTTTCCCATTTCATTATGCATCTAGTTTTAGTGGTTATTACAGGTCTATTATTTGAAATCCTAAAGTGAAATTAATCATAAGAATTAAGAGAGAGTTTTGATCCTTTTTAGAAGAAAGGGAAAAAAATTGTATGTCAGATGTTGTGACTCGTGATGAAATTTCACCATCTAGGAGGCTGAGACCGGAAAACTGCTGTGAATTTGATGCCAGCCTAAGCTTAGTGAAACTGTCTCAGAAGAAAGGAAGTAGGAGGAGGAAACACATAGTAAAACAGAAATTATTCGTTTCAACCCTATTCAATGTAGCATTCAAAAGGCCAGGTATTTTAGACACCGGACATTATGACTGGCTGTGTATAAACTAACAACACAGAACACTGGGGACAAGATTGTCATGCTCAGTGGGAAAAAAAATGATGCAAAACTTCAATCTTGACCCCTCCATGCCTCTAAATAAAGACTATGTGGGTTTCCAAGAGTCAGTTTACCAAATCATATCCATTTGTCACAGTAATGTGCACCGTTCTGCCTGAGGATGACCCCAGCTCCATGTCAGCACTTGGTCAAAGTCTCTCTGGTCTTCTGTGGCCTCTATAAAGATAACAAATGAGAGTCTGTTTCCTTGTGTTCCACATCATAACCAGGACCCCAGGAACTACAGATGCATTTTAGACCAGTGCCATTTACCCCGCCTTTGCCACCTCCGCTGCTGGAGGAGGTACTTTCAGGAGTTGTCCCAGGAGCATGGGTCCACTAACTGATCCTATGGTACTGGGATTTCCTTATCAAATGAATATTTGTAATGTCTTTTGTGTCAGCTCCTTTCTGGTAAATTTGTACGATATGAATTAGTTCATTTGTGTTCCTTGTGCTAGACTAACACATCACTTTAAGTCCGACTTCTCTTTATTCTAATCCACTCCATTTTTGTCGAAATCATTAACTAGCGAGGAAGAGTGACATGTAAATAGACCAAGAGATGAAAGCTTTGTGACAGCCCGACAGAGGATTGGAGAATGGGAAATAAGTTATGACTTGGTACATACCAAAGCCTTTACATATGTGCTACAGGAAAAAGGAAACTGGGGTTCATTGAGCAGGGATGTACTGAAGCTGGGACCTAACCGGACCTGAGAGAACATGTGTGGATATGCATGCCGAGAAAATCTCATGAGAGGTGAACTGAGACTAAAAGAATAGTTTAAAAATAAAGGCTGTTCCAGGGAGAAAGAAGTCAGCAAAAGGTTCAAAAAGCAAGCCAAGCACCTCAATATGCTTGGATCATAATACAAGAACAAATTTGGAGATGAAAGCAGAGAAATACAGTTCTGATGTATTATTAGGTCCAATCAGCTTCTCTCCTTATCCAGTCTGTGATCCTGCTTAGGGTGTCCCCTTTCCACCCCAGTACTTCGGAATTTTTGCATTCTTTACCTATTTATTCTCTTCCGTTTATCTTTCTAAGAGCAGATACCAACATTATTATTCACTCACTTTAAACATCTCCTAGTCCATGAAGATTCTCTCTCACTCGGGAACATTCACCGTGGCCGTGAATTCAGCCCACCCTCCTTCGTTTGTTTTGTTTATGAGGATGTGGGGTTTTTTTTGGTTCACCTTGTGGTGCTAGGCAGACAACACAGAGCATCTCGCACTCTGTGTAAACACGTCACTGAACTAGATCCACAGTCCCAGACAGAGAGATTTAGACTTTCTTACTGAATTAACTGTGACTCTGGACAAATGCCCAACTCTTGCTCTTGCCCTCAACAAGAGCTCATAAGCAGCTGCTCAGCTAGAGGAAGATGTAACTGGATCGGGTTCTGGATGAGGCGGGATCTTGGGTACAGGTGGGCTGGGCGGGAGGTTCAACCTGACCTTAGCTGAAGGAGAAGAGCCAGGAAGCCTGGAAGAAAAGATCTGCCGAGTGGGAGTAACAGTCCCTCCGAAAGGGACTGTCTTACCTGAGACAGAAGCAGATTATGTTTTCTGTAACTATAGCAACTAGCTAGTTCTCACGAGAACTTGTTCTTCCCCCTCCCCCAATCTTACGGGGAAGGAGGGTTGAAGCATGTACTCTGAAAACCACTCCCCTTGTGTGCTCTTTTTCCTTTGCAAGTTTGGGTAAAGTGCAGTTTTCCATCTTTCAGTTTTGTTTTCTCAACTCTTGAGTTCAATACTCACAAAAAATTTAGAACGCTAATGTAAAAGGAACTTTGATTAAAGAAGACTAGTTTACACTGCATATCAAAGAGAGAGACGAAGAGAGGAAGGAAGGAGAGAGGAAGGAAGGAGAGAGGAAGGAAAGAAGGAAGAGAGGTAGAAAGGAAGACCCTTTTACTAAACGTATGAGAGCACATTTTAGCAGGAGGCTCTTGCATCTCTTTCCAGCTACTTGGGAGGCTGAACAAAAGGATTGCCTGAGTGGGCATTTGAGACTAGCCTGGACAATATAAAAGCTCTTTTTCTTTCAAATGTAAATTAATAATTTAGGTCTTTTCTCAAAATACCTATACCTTAAATGCTGACTCTTGGATCTAGAGAGATCATTCAGGGGTTAAGAGACCTTGTGCTCTCCTAGAGGACCCAAGCTAGACTCTCAGTACCCACAGGCATATCTGCTTGTAACTCCAGCCCCAAATGATCCAGTGCCCTTTTTTGGCCTCTGTGAATGTCTGTGCTCGCACAAAGGTAAAAATACAAATAAATCTTTTAAAAAAGCTGATTCTCAACTGAATATGCATAGCAAGTTCTAGAGCAGCTGGGTTATGCAGCCAGATGTTTCTTGTGCATGCAAAGCATACCTGCACCTGGACACTGCTGTGGCCTACAGCACTGACTACACCTAATAATGCAGTCAGACGTATACACACAGGGTCTAAGCAATCGCTATCAAAATCACACCGACAGACAGGTCAGTGTGAACTGTTCCTGCAGAGGCCCAAGTCTGGTACCTGGCACCTGTGCTGGGTGGCTCAGAAATGACTATGACTCTAGTTCCAGGGGACCCCAGGTCAATTAATGCCTCTAGTCTTCACTGGCACCCACATCTATGTGCATATGCCCCCACAAAGACACACATACACATACATAATTTGAAACCTAATATAAACCTTAAAAAAAACACTGCTGACTCTGTCAGAAATTAACAAGAGGACTCATGCTTCTCTATTTCATATTATCCAATAAAAGGATTACTCTAAAAGGTATTAATTAAGGCACAAGATCAGACAATACAAGCCAAAGAAAACGGATTAAGGGTTGAGAAATACACACTTAACAGTTATGACCAACAGATTTTGAACAAGATTGCCAAGAGAATCCAAGGAGGTAATCTACCAAGTCTACTCAAATCTACCAAGTCTAGCTTGGTGAATCAATTTGCTTATTCAGGCTTACATGCAGGGACAAGAATGACCCAGGTGCTTGCTATGGAACTGGGAGGATCTGAGTTTGAGTCATCATAAGAGTTCATGTAAGGTTGGGCCCATGTGCTCTTTACAGCAAGACATGCCTGTAATCCCAGTGTTCTTTATAGCAAGATGGGAAGTGGAGACAGAAGAATCTCTGGAAACCAGGATAGGTGGCACACATAGCAGTTAAAAAGGGACCGTCTCAAAACAAGGTTGTCCTCTGACCTCTACAACTTGGCGATATTTCAATGACATATGAATGCATATGTATATGCACACACAAATTTGTGATATGTAAACATGATGAATTATTCAACCTTTGAAAAATAAAAGGAAATCCTACCTATCATTTACAACATGAGCCAGGTGTGGTGATACACACCTTCAAAATCAGCACTAAACAGGCAATGGCAGAGCTGAATATGAGGCGAGCCTGCTCTATACAGCAAGTTCCAGGTCAGCCAGGGCTCTGTTTTAATACTCTGTCTCAAAACAAACAAGCATAAAAACAAAGAAACAATACCATAATGCAAATGAATCATAAACCGAAGAAAACATTTGCTAAATTAAGCCAGCCCATTTATATTACAAGTATGTAAAATAAATAATAGTTGAACTCATATTAACTGAACAATGATGGTTGCTAGTGGCAAAGGTCATAAAAATAGGAAATGTTCATGGGCACAAATTCTCAATTTTAAGTTCTAGAGAGGTGGTGACTATAATTTACAATGTACCATTTCACACTTAAAACTTGAACTGTAGGTAAACCCTAAGCCTCCTCCCCCTCAGTATGTGACAGTTTCAACTTGATTGTGGAAGGTGTTACACAAGTTTAGTTCTACCAAAGACCATTCTGTGTGCCTTAAATAAAGCAAATTTAAACTCTGTCATTTAAATGCCATTAAGCCCGGGGGCTGAGTGTGGTAGCAGATGACGCCAAGCCTGGCACTTTAAAGGAAGATTACAAATTTAAATCGGCAACTATTAGGAAACAAACAAACCTGTCTTTAAAAAACAAAATGTACAACTGAGGAAAAAACAAAGACAAACAAACAAAAAACCAACGGGGTTGGAAAGAGATGGCCCAGTGGTCAAGAGCTTGATCTTCCAGAGAACCTGTGTTTGAGTCCCACATGGCAGCTCACAACCACCTCGAATTCCATTTTTAGAACATGTGATGCCTTCTTCTGAACTCCTCAGGCACCAGGCATGCAAGGTACACAGACATACATATAGGGAAAAGATTATACACTTAAAAATGAGTAAGTTAAAAAAAAATCCAAATTACAATTACTACTCTAGGTCAAAAGAACTGTGACTTTGAAAAAGTATTACATAATTTTATTGTTTCTATAGTCCAAAGACCAAACTTACTGTTTAAATTTTCATCTTAAGCTTAAAGCTCAGACTAAAGCTTTCTACCTTTCCACACTAATAAAGTTGGTCATGCAGAAGACCTGGGTTCAGGTAGCAGCACCCACAAGACAGTTCACAAGCATCTATAACCTCCATTTCAGGGTTTCAAACACCCTCTTCTGGCCTCTGCAGGAAACAGGCATGTAAGTGTATGGAGGCAGACAATCGTACACACAAAGTCTTTTTTTTTTTTTAACAATAGAAGGGAAAACAGACTTTTATAAGTCACTTTCCCTGTGACAAACATAGGATGATGCTTCCTCTTTTCCTCAACCCCTGGAATCAAGAAGGACTACAGAAGTAATGAGGTCGGGCTGACGTGCCTGAGCTATGGAGGAGGAGGTGGCCCTCCTCTGCTTCTAAGTTAGGCTCCTGATGGTCTCAGGAGCATCCTGGTTACCAAGATAATGTAAGATCTGGAGTCTCTGCAGCTTAGAGGACCCAGCCTTGCATAGGCTGCCACTGTCAGGATCTGCCTGGTGTTCAACAGGGCGCTCCTACTACACAGTTTGAATCATTCCTAACAGCTGGCAACAGCTGACAAAACAGGTCTCAAGAACACCAGTGAAATTTCCAAAATCTCTGAAGAGTTAACAGTTTGCTTGCATAACACTGTCGTATTTAAGTGAAGGTCATATGGCTTCTCAGTCATACTAGCTGAGGCTGCCTCATTCCATTTGTACCAGGAAACTCCGCCATCAATGTCAGTAACTGTGGCTTTCTAAGTACTAGTATTCCTGAACTGAAATCACATTCTGAAATGAAACCAGACCAGCACATTTTAAAAACCACCATCCTCATTTTCTCATTCTTTGAACTAGAGATAATGAACCTTCAAAAAAAAAAAAAAAATGGTAGCATTACACAGAATTAGATTACTGTGATTTTTATTCAATTTGAAATCCTGATTAAAATAATAGCAGTGAGACTGAAGCTTTATAAGTATTACAACATTGCTACATCACTGATATGGCTTTTACACTGATTGGATATAGAAAGAAAAAGGAACATTAGAATTAAGGCAGTAACAACATGTGCAAAGCAAGCACGACCCCTGACACAGTCCTCTATAAGAAGCTGCTCTGCTCAGATGGTGTCGGACACAGCTGCATGCAGGTCTCGTTGCTTGGAAGGAGAAGCTCTGAATAGCTTCATTCATTAAAGAAAAGAAAAACCCTTCTCACTGGCCCACAATGGCCAGAAGCAGCTTTCTGTAGTCTCCACTCGTATCACCTGCAATCATTGTGCTTAGGGTCTTCTGATACATCTGGGAGAACATCTGTTTTATCTGAACGAGGTCAATCTGTAAGAAATGACAGGACAGAAGAAAAAATCTGTTAAAAGAAAATGCATTTATTGTTTAATAATATGTAGTAATCAGAATGCGGGAAGGACAAACACCAAATGCCCAACATTCCAAAATTATTGTTCATACTAGTGCTGACGCCACCAGTGCTTTGGAAAACACTCAATAGATGTGATAGAGTGACATCTATTATTTCTCAAATACTAGTCATCTAAAACTATATGATAATTATCTGATAACAGGATAGCTTTATACAAAATTTATAATATAGTGAGTGTTGGTAAGGATGCCCCAAAATGGGAACACTTGTACATTCCTGGTGGGAATATAATATGGGTAGTTGTTATGGAAAACAGTATGGTGATTAAAAAAAAGGGGGGAGGGTATACAGAATTACAGTCTCATCCAGCAACTCCATTTCTTGCTGAATTCCCAAGTAAAGTAGCAGGGACTTGACGAGATTAGTGTATATCCTGCGCATAGCAGCATCATTCATAAAACACAGAGGCAGAAGCAAACCAAGTATGCAAAAACAAAGTCATACACAGATACAGAGGGTTGTTATTCAGCCCTAAAATGTAACTTTTGACACATGATGCAATCACAAGCTCTGTGAAGCCTAGACTGACTGAAGCCTAAGTCAACAATGCTGTATGACTCCAACCACACGGGGAACTCAGTGCCACCAACCCAGGACAAAGAGTCATGTGGCAACTGCTGGCTGTTGCAGGAGAGGGCAGAGGGTGACTTTCATGACTATGGATTTTCAGTTCTGCAAAATATAAAAAGTTCTATATGATGTAACAGCATACAACAATGTGACTGTATACTTAAAAATGGTTAAAATAGTAAATTTTATTATGTATATTTTATTACAATTTAAGAATACATGCTGTTTAGAGAATTTAAGTGTAAGACTAAGCACATATCAAGGTTTTAAAGATACCCAAATTTTAAGTGGTCATGCATGCCTTTAATCTTAGTGGTCAGGAGGTAAAGGCAGGAGGATCTCTGTAAGCTTGTCTACACAGTGAGTTTTAGGAAAGCCACAGCTATGTAGAGAGACCCTGTCTCAAACAAAGCCAATCAACCAAACAAAAAATCCAAATGTTTGCCTTTCTTAAGGAAAAAAAAAAAACCAAATCCTCCACCTTCTATATTATTATTTAATAATATACATTTTCAATTAAAAAATAAATAAGGCTGGGCGGTGGTGGTACACGCTTTTAATCCCAGCACTAAGGAGGCAGAGGCAGATCAGCCTGGTCTACACAGTGAGTTCCAGGACAGCCATGGCTGTTACCCAGAGAAACCCTGTCTCAAAACAAAACAAAACAAAAATAAAATAAACAAAAATATATCAACATATATGAAATAGAAACTGAATAATTTAAAGATTATTTTATAATTAACAAGGATGCTAATGTTGATATCCAAACAAATTAATCTACATAGGTATTTTTATTTTTTCTATGACAAAGTAAAGATTAAGCCAGGAACTGAAGCTTAGCTCAGGGACAGAGTAATTGCTTAGCATGCATAAGCATGAGCCTTGGTTTGATTTCCAGCACTGAAAAAAAAAAAAAAAAAAAAATCAACCAATTAATAAGCAAGCCAGACACAATGATGCATGTCTATAGTCCCAGGTACCGGGTAGCTGAGGTAATAATAAAGTAAAAATAAAAAATAAAATCCTGCAATCTCCCATAAACCCATATACTTCACAGGCCTTCTCTGGCAGGAAAGCTCTCATGTTGTTCTCACTGAGGGGTTCAAGTATGCTTTACTTCTGCAATCTCTGTACAGGGTTTCATGGGATCAAGAACAAAATCCCCCAGAAAATGTTGCTTTGACTCACCTCACTCCGAGTGACCACAATCCTCACCAGGGTGGAGTCATCTGTGCCAGCGCCTTTCATGGAATAGTAGAGCCGGTCAGCAAAGAAGGCAGGGCGGCTGAGGGCACACTGCACTGCAAGGCGGACAAGCTTTAGAGTGGAGCGCTGGCCTGAGCAGCCAGTCTACCCCTGTGGCTTCATGTACCACATAAGCCCGTTTTCTGTTTTTACACAGAAATCTGAAGTGTGTTGATAATGACTTTTTTCCTCAGCAGATAGCAATCTGTAATCAGCTAGGCAACTTTCAAGTCTAGAGAAGTCCCTCAAGCCAATAGATGTATTTCCTCTTCATAGCTGCACTGACGTAGATTCTTTACATTGTCCAGTATGAAAATCTCTAGCAAGTGTGCCCCAGATTATGTAATACCTTACTAAAAGAAATGATAAAAATCTGAATTCTTCACATGAAGAATTCTGGGCCAGCAGCACATGAGAATATTTGCAAAAGGCCGATAGCCTGCATTTGATCCCCCAAATCCACTTACAGGTGGAAGCCAAGAACTGCCTCCATGAAATGTCTTCTAGTCTCCACACGTGTGCCATGGCATGCATATGTACATAATATACATATCACATACACTCTCACACATGGTAAATAAAATTAAAAAAATATAAGAGTATCATTTAGGGCCTGAGGGATATGCCTCAGCAGTACTTATCTAGCATGCATAAGGGCCTAGGTTCAATTCCCAGCACCCCCCCCCCACAATCATTTGGCTGAGAAAAAGCTACAACTATAGTTTAAGAGAAAACAGATTTGAAAATAGCCATTTGGAACTCTGAGTCAATGGAAAATTACTTAGCAAAGAGAGTTTCTACAGATGGCAGAGGGTACACACTGTACATGATTACCACTGCGCACAGTTATTACAGTAACATTTACAGGCACTCCACGGCTAGTAACCAAGGTGTTAGCAATTCTCTCCTTACTCTTGTAATATCTCCGGACAGAATCTCCACACACTTAGGTGCGAGATCACCAGGAACACACTGAAGAGTCTCAGTGTGTTAAGTACTTTTATGGTGTGTTCTGAGGGTTCAGAACAATGCTCACTATGCTACATATGGAGATGCATCCATCTAATTTCAGCACTTAGGAGGTAGAGGCAGGTGGATCTTTGCGAATTCAAGGCCAACTAGATCTACACAGCAAAACCCCGTCTCAATAAATAAGTAAATTAATGAACTAAAAAAAGATGTTTTGTGGTAGTACTAGTAGTTCCTTAGGGCTTTCTCATTCATTAAAAGGAAGGACTATAATATACTGGGGACTTCTTGCAGCATTCAATGAAGATATACAAATAAAAGCCAAATCACCTCAAGCAAACAACCAATTGTTTTAGTCACGCCATCAACCATTCATAGGACCTTATATATAAGATATAGGATTCACTCAGTTTCTGCCTAGGCAGCTTCTAGGCAGACTATAGTAACTGTAATCATTCAACAAAAAGCAAAATAAGGCAGAGTGCCAGAGTGTCTTACAGATGGCCTTCAGACCACTTTCAACGTATCCAGAAAATTCTCGGCTTACGCTGCTGAGCAAATCTCGGTTAGCCATCTGCAAACAGAAAATTACAGAGTTAAGCATTTTCACATCTTAGGATAAACACCAAATCTTCAGAAGAGTTCATACCCTGGAATAGGCCTCCATGGTTGCTCTCAGTTGAGGGAAGCTCCTCGTGGCAAGAATCATGTTGAAGCAGGATTCATCTGTCCCTAGTCTCCCCTCACCAGCCTGATAGAGGCGCTGGGCGTCATCCTGAGCCATCTGGTGGTTTATACTCTGGTTCTCATCACGGTTTCCCTGCAAGAGAAAGGCAGAAACTAGAGGTGAAATCCTTTCCCCAATCTAGTCACTTTGGGCTACAGGGTAACTTATCAAATGTGAATTCATCAATTCTGCCATGTATGCCTTGATGCATCACATGTAGTTTTAGATTTTGGAATATACAGCCATGGTTTAATAATGTTGAAGTGAGGGATTTGAGTGCTAAATCACAGCTAAATTCTTTAACAAGGGAATATGAACTATAGCTTAAATGAAAAATGTGTAACTCTCTTTAGTTAGGATTTGAGATTAAAACACACTGTAGAGTCCCATTCCTATAAACCTGTAAAAGAGCAATCACTCTCATTATGTTAAGCTAGAGGGACACCAAAGACAAGATCTCTGCCCTTAAGGAATTTCACGCTAAGAAGGAACTATGTAAGATTTCAGATCCAAGTATACTATTAGTACACACATTTATTATGAGGGCTGGGAATATAGCTTAATGATAGACAGTGTGCCTTGCATGCATGAACCCCTAGATTCAATCCCAAGGACCAGAAACCAAACAAAACAAGAAAAAACAACAAAAAAACAACAACCTGAATTTATCATGAAGACTTGATAAAATGACATAGGAGGTTTTTGGAAGAGGGCAAGTCAGATGAGCACATCTGAGGAACAAAATGGAAAGATGCTTCTTAAAGCTAGAGAAGGCTCTTTTGAGGAGCATTTGGGGAAATTCCTTAAGAGCCCTTCCCCGTTTTGCACTGAACATCTACCTCTGTCTTCTCCTCTTTTTAAGACCCTAACTGACTCTTCTGCTTTGCAGTACAAGGCAGACTCAGCTCCCTCCAACATTTACTTCTTCTCATTTTTATGCTCCAGCCTTTGCATACTGTTCGACATCTATTATACATCTTGTATACTTCTTGTCACTCTTTCCTTGGCTCCTCAGACTCCTCTCCTCCACTTTGAGATCTCTTGAGATTCTGTCATGGTGTACACAGCGGGCAGCCAGTAACCCTGATGCTCAGTGTGTTGTCCTTTTGTATGTCTGTCAAATACATCAACCTCATCTTACTGTTTTTAATACTATTCCAAAGACCCTCCTGGAGTGTTTCTTGTCTGCTCTCTACATACCTGGGGAATAATGAGGAAGACGCCAACTACAGTTCTCTCCTGCACTCCCGCCTCTCCTCCTATGGCTCTGACACCCTTTAGCACTTCCACTGCAGGACCACACATTCACTGACAGGACCCTGTGACCCTGCCAAACTGATAGGAACTTTCACCTTCACCTTTGCCGCAGAGCCTCAGGCAGGTTCTGATTTCATGAAATCTAAATGAAGTTATTTTTTGATTTCTTATAAAAGTCAGATGTACAGAACTCACTTCTAGAACTATGAAGAGATCTGTCTACTGCATTCTGTGTTATTCCACAAAGACAACAATAATACAAGGAGCTAACCACTAATAATGTATACTCATTGGCAAGACATATAAACATATGTTCCCTCCACTAACATCCAGACATTTATACTGCACTCACCTGACACATGGACACGAGGAGACGTTCAAAATGTCCTGAGGTATCTGACCTAATGTCCTTCTCAAGGTCTCGTCCAAATTCTGACTGATAACATCTAACAATGTCTCGAATTTCTTGATTTGTTCTTGTGCACAAAATTTCTATCAATACACGTTCTTGAGTTCCTGCTCCCTATATGAAATGGAGAGAGGAGAAATATAGAAGCAAAGGAAGTTAATTAAGCTGTGTTTTAGATGACATAATTTTGTCTCATCTGTTACTGCAAATTCAGAACTAAGATTTGTGAGGCTTTATATATTAAAACAAAACTGAATCATAAAAAATAAGATAGAGTACCTGCATTGCTTTCCTCAAACTCCAGGCATCATAGTATGTAGAAGGCATGAACAGGGCAAGGATTAATTCTTCCATATTTCCACTCAACTCTGACTTGAGATCTTTAATTAAATCCTTTTTTAATGACACATAAAAAGTAAGTACAAAGGATTTCTGTATCTTATGTCACACAAATCATGTTTTAAAAATTGCGTTTATTTTATGTGTGTGGGTATTTTGCCCACATATGTTGGTTCACCACATGCTAGTTGAGGCCTACATATGTCTGTGCACCTCCAGTGCTAGTGGGGGCCAGAAGTGGGCACTATACTCCTGGAGCTGGAGTTACAAAGAGTAGTGAGCTACTATGTAGGTGCAGGAACAGAACCTGGGTCTTCGGAAGAGCAGCCAGTGTCCTTAACCATTGAGCTACCTCTTCAGCCCCTCACTTGAATCTTTTAAGGAAAATATGGAAAATTGAAATGGCACTGGTACTATGAGAGTCAAAATTTCAAATTTGAATGTGATTTATACAGCAATGAGTAAATCTATTATTAAATTCAGTGGTGAATTTATTGTGCCTACAAACACTTAAGCCTTTGCTGTAGTTCTTCTATTGTACCACATACAAAGCCAGAAGGTATGGCTAGAAAAAGAATAATTCAAAGTAACAAAATGAGGGCTGGTGAGATACTGAGTGGGTAAAAGATATTTGCCAATGAATTTAACCCCTGGAGCCCACTTGGTGGAAGGAGAGAACTGACTCCTGATCTCTATACATGTATGATGGCATGTGCACACCCATACACATACACACCCATCAGCATAAAAATAAATAAATGAATATAAAAATAGAAAATGATAAGCAGATACTTACTTAGTATAAGAAACTATTTTGGGCTCTATAAAGAAGTAGAAATCACTATCATCTTGATCTTATTGAGAAGATAAACATCTAAAAAGATGTAAAGCAAACTGTACTCCAGCATTGTGGTGGTCTGAACGAGAATGGTCCCACAGGCTCACATATTTGACTGCTTTGTCCTGTGTTAGAACTATTTGGGAAGGACTGATAGGTATGGCTTTGAAAGAAAAGCTCTGTCACTGGAGATGTAGGCTCTGAAGTTTCAAAAGTCTACATCAGGCCCAGTTTTGCTTTCTTTCTGCCTTCAACTTTCAGATAAGCTGTGAGCTCTCAGACCATGCCTAGCACCATGCCTGCCTACCAGCTGCCATGTTCCCTGCCATTATGGTCACAGACTAGCCCTCTGAAACTATAAGTCCCAATAAATTCTTTCTTTCATACGTAGGTCATAGTGTCTCTTCACAGCAAAAGGAAACTAACTATACAAGCACCAAATAAGTAACCCAGAAACAAAATCCAGGAGACATTTAAAGTGAACTAGGAAGGTCAAGAAAGCTTTTAGTTCACACCTTAAAGAATATAGGAAAATGAACAGGCAAAGGGGAAGGAGAAAGTTACTTAAGATAAGATGGACCACAAACCAAGAACAGAGAGAGAGGGGCTTCTCAACAGTGCAATCATCTATAATCCTTTTGTTTTTGAAGCAGAGTGTCACTGTGTGGGCCAGGTTGGCTCTGAGCTCCCTGTCTTAGCCACTTGTACTGAACACTTTGTATGAACCACTACACTCACACTTGCTCTTTACAAGAAGGAAGTCTGGGTTTTGTGTCACATAATTAATCTTAAAACTAAAGAAATATGCCAAGTGTGGTGGCGCACCCCCTTGATCCCAATACTTGGGAGGCAGAGACAGGTGGATAACTGAGTTCAAGGCTAGCTTGGTCTACAAAGTGAGTTCCTGGACAGTCAAGGATACCCAGAGAAAAGAAACCCTGTCTCGAAAAAACAAACAAACAAACAAACAAACAAACAAAAACAAAACCCAAAACAAACAAACAAAAAGGCTCAGTAAGCATCTGGTTAGTTTTTTTGCCAACTTGATACATGCCGAGAGTTATGTGAAAAGAGAAACCTCAATTGAAACAGTGCCTCTGTCACACTGTCCTATAAGGCAAGTTTGGTGGGCATTTTCTTGATTCCTCATCTAATGATGAATGTGGGTGGTGCCACCCCTGGGCAGGTGGTCCTGGGGTGTATAAGAGAGCAAACTGTCAAGCTGTGAGGAAAGCCAGGAAGCAGCATTCCGCCATGGTTTGTACTTCAGTTCCAGCCCTGCCTTCCCTGAGACCCACATGGTAGAAGGAGAGAACCCATCCCTGTAATACTTACACATGTGCAATGTGACATGTGCATGTCCATCCATCTATCCATAGCCAAACACACAGGAATTAAACACACACACACACACACACACACACTGGCAAGGAGGCTCAGTGCATACCCATAACACAAAATAAAATTTAGTAATAATAATAATAATAAAGAAAATTATATCTAAACTGGGCAGAGGAAAACAAGCTAAGCTGGACAGGTTGATAGACCACTCGCTCATTCTGAAGAAATGAAGAGGCTGCAGCAGAAGATACTAGGGAAGTTTAGGATGCTACGTAAATAAAAAAGAAATGCTAGCCTCCCCATTATATCTGAAGAACAATGGCAATTTTTTTCCCCATATATTTTGCTGCATTTGGTCACTGATTCAACAAATATTTATTAAGGAACCACTCATTGCTGGACCATAAAAAAGATGACCGTGGTTCTTGCAAGGGAAGCACACAGGTTTTGAGAGCTGGCAGTGACACCGGCAATAGATTTTTATTTTATTTTATTTATTTGTTTGTTTGTTTGTTTATTTATTTATTTATTTGAGTAAGGGTTTCTCTATGTAGCCTTGGCTCCTCTGGACTCACTTTATAGAACAGGTTGGCCTCAAACTCACAGAGATCTGCCTGTCTCTCTCTCCCTGGGATTAAAGGCATGTACCAGTGCCCCTGGCTTTTTAATAGTACAGATTTTTAGAAAGCTCTGTGGGACCAGAGTGGAAGGACCAACCAAATTCTGTCCCAAGTAATGAGAGACACACAGAAGCTGATATTTAAAGGCAGATCTTGAAGAAGTTGTATACCATGCAGAAAGAGAGTAGATATAATAACCCAGGCACACAGCATCTGCTCACACAGACCTATAAAAGACCAGTTACAGATAATTATACTATAAGACACTTTCAGAGGGAAGAACAGAGTAGAAGATGACCATTGGCTGAGAAGAAACAGGGACTATGTAAGCAGATCATGATGGGGGTCATAGCTACTGTTTCCTGAACAATATCACATACAAGATGCAGCATGAGGAGAGGTGAGGGACTTCTCTCAAGTAAAGAAGGTTTTGAAGAAATCCTAATCCTGGAGTCTGTGAAGTCCATTTATCTATCCTTTCTCCCACAGTATTAGTAAAAATATAGTGTCTAATATGACATGAATGCAGATCTTGTGGACCCTGCTGTTCTCACTAAAAGGCAAAAAACATACCTTGCCATACATGGTCTTAAAAGCTGCTTTAATTTGTTGCCTCTGGTCATTGGAACGGCTGGACACAACATCCACAATTGCTTGCTCGTCTGTGCCTGGAAGAGCCATGGACATTTACATAAGGTAGGAACCAAATAACACTGAGGTGCAAGCTGACACAGAAATTCATTTATGACACAACTTCACTTTCCTTATAGTTGTAAAAAAGACAATCCATTTTCCTTACCAAACCCCTTCATTGCTTTGCGGAGAATTTCTGCATCTCTCATAGCATCAAAGTTGGAAGCTGGTCGGATTGTTCCTTGGGTGCCCTGAGTCATAGCAGCAGGCTGATAACAGAAGGTGTAAATTCAAGGATTTTGCTTGGACAATAAGGCAACTTGAAGACTTCACCCAGTTATATGAGCAAGGATATGAGCATTTATTGCCAGGCCTCATTATGAACAGACGGATCTAGCCTTGCTTCCAAACATGCTTGTCTCCTCTTTAACAGATAGCCACACATCCAACTTCCATGAAGCACTAGTCAAACTTGTGAAATTAAAGTCACAACCTTCTTATGCCTTAGCTTCCTGTTTGACAGAAAAGGGAGGATAAGAGATTGACCCCCAAACAATGAGAGCTTAATGAGAGGGTGGAGGGGAGGGAAAGTGCGGTTGAGATGTAATATATGAGAGAAAAAAAATAGTATTAATGAAGCAGGCATGACTGCCCAAGTGAATTTCACACTAGCAATATAATGTGGACAATCTTTTTACATTTCCTAGATGGGACCTACTTATTTGCCAAGACATGAAATAAACATTTCACATAATAATAAGTACAAAATGGAAGTGAGTAGGCACAATATTCTTCACGTTATATCAAACAAGACAGAAAGGCTGGAGTTGAGCTTAGTGGTATCATACTAGCGAGTGTGAGGCCAGCGTTCCATCCCCAGTGCCATAAAAGGAAGAGAAGCAGGAGGAGGAGGAAACAAATCAGAATCAGTGGAGAATATGTTGCAAGCATAAATTTACATGGCAATAAAAATATGACTTGGTAAATATCATAGCAATAAGCAATTTTACACAATAATTATATTAAAATTAGAGGACAAAGGTATGCAGAGAGCCAAGATATTTATGTAGTTTGCAACATAAGTGTAGAAACTTATCAGGCCCCATCCTGAACTAGTACTGGAATAAGCCAACAGTAAGTGTCTTCAGACATGATGTGCTGGGGAAACTCGTTTCTGTTGGACTCCTGCCAAAACAGCCTGACTGGAATTGAAACATGAGGAAAGATCAGACATATCCAAACTGAGAAATACTTGTAGCACTCTTCAAAGTGTCAAGGTCATAAACCAAAGAAACTGAAGAACTTTGAAGTTAACGAGGACTCCAGGACGCAAGAGACACAACAATAATTCAGTGTTTTACCCTGGCTTTCATCCTGAGCCAGAAGGAGGACAATATTGGGACATTCAGTAAAAATTGAACAAGATTTGAAGGTTAGGAAATAGTCCACAATAATGCTGTTTTCTGATTTTTGATCATTACATTGTGCTTCTTTGGGAAGATAACATTTGGACAGTTTAGGAATTCTTTGTAGTATTACTGCAATTTTGTTTATGACTTCAAAATTAAAAGTTTAAAATACAGTGTTGCAAATCAACTCATTTGTTTGTCTGTGGTTCTAAGGATTAACTACGGTGACGCATATGCCAGGCAAGTGCATTTCTACTGAACTGTATCTCAGGAACCAAATGCTCTCATAAAATGCTCAGGTCAGGGCTTAAAATGGATGGGATGAAGACAACACTCATGACAGTTTTTTTTGTTGTTGTTGTTTGTTTTTTTTTTGTTGTTGTTGTTTTTTGTTTTAGGTATAATATGTTTTGGGTTTTAAAAAAAGATTAATTTCCTGTTATATACACTGGTATTTTAACTGCATGTATATCTGCATGAAGGTGACAAATCCCCTGTATCTGGAGTTACAGACACTTTTTGAGCTGTCATGTGGTTGCTGGGAATTGAACCCACATCTTCTAGAAGAGCAGCCAGTGCTCCCAACTGCTCAATCATCTCTCCAGCCCAATGTAATATGTTTTATTTAACTTCTTATCTCCAAATTATCATTTAAACATGTAATCAAATAATTCCAAATTATAAAATGATCCCTACCACTTAAGAGGTAAAGGCAGGAAGATCTCTTGTGAGTTCAAGGCCAGTCTGATGTTCTAGTCTATGAGTTCTAGTCTAGCTAGGGCTACATAGTGACATACTATCTCAAAAAACTAAAATTTAAATTCAAATTAAAGAAGAAGAAGAAAAAAAGCCTGGAGAGAAGGCTCAATGGTCAAGAGAATCGTCGCTCTTTCAGAGGTGCCAGGTTCAGTTTCCAGAATACACAGCCACCTGTAACTCCAGTTCTAGGGGTCTGATGCCCTCTTCTGTCCTGTGCAGGCACCGGGCATGTACATAGCACCCATACATACCTGCAGGCAAAACACTCACTTATGTCAAATAAAATCAATAAATCCAGAAAAAAAAGAAAATAACCCAACATTGGTTGGGGGACAAAAAATAAAAGAGAAGGGGACATGAGCAGCTTAGCATTAGACAGAACAAGAATCCTTTCTCTGCCAGTGCTGGGAACAGAGTCCAGGCCCTGAGCACGACAGGGAGCATGCTTCCATGAAGCAGCACTCTAGCCCCTAGGAAATGTTTTCATTGTTAGTAATTCATCTCATTTATATATATTATTATCCTAATATTTTGTTTTGCCAAAAAGGCTTAGCAGTTGCTCCCTACTAATGTCTAAGCCAGAAATGCAAGCAGAGATGAGACAAAATTTCCATAGTGGCTTCAAGGAAAAATAAAAATTATTCTACTTGTAACAAATACTGTAGTATAAAAGGCTTTTTTGTTTGTTTGTTTGTTTGTTTGGTTGGTTTGGTTTGATTTTTCCAGACAGGTTTTCTCTGTGTAGCCTTGGCTGTCCTAAACTCACTTTGGAGACCAGGCTGGCCTCGAACTCTCAGGGATCTTCCTGCCTCTGCCTCCCTGGAGTGCTGGGATTATGGATGTGTGCCACCACACCTGGCCTAAAAAGTTTTTTTTTTTTTTCAACATATTGCTCATGTATAAACCTCTACCAGGAACTAGAAAGAGTACCATGAGACTGGAAATGAGAACCTTCAAGGGTTAGGAGTTGAAATGACAATGGAACAAAGTAGATGGAACAGTTCGGGATAGGAAACAGTGGCGGGGCTAGTGACAGGATTGAAAAAAAAAGTCAAAAGTGTGTAAAGTGTGTGTGTTGTTATTCTGTAACAACAAAATCCCTTAATGAATCAAGAGACTTGAATAATGAGGCCTTAAAGGAGGGGGTTAGGAGAAGAAGACGATAACAGAATATATTTGGTATTGAAAACAGAAGAGAGGGTTATACGGGAGAAGGTAAGGGATCACCAAGAGAGGGACAGTGGAAGGAGTGGGAGGTAAGGCAGTGGAGGAAGGGAAGCAAAACGATACACACATATACATGTACATGTATATATATATGTCTGTGTGTTTATGCTGTTTATAAAGATTATAATAAAGTCTATCACTCACACGCTAATTTAAAAAATTAATAATTAAGAGGCTAGCAAGTGAACTGGCTGTAAAGGTGCTTGCTGCTAAGCTTGATAACCTGAGTTCATTTCTGGGACCCACATTGTAAAAGGAGAGAACCAATTTCTGCAAGATCTCCTCTGATCTCCACATATACCCTGGCAGCTGTGTTCACACATGTGCATGCACACATGAACACATACATGAACATACACAGGAACGCACACATGCATGCTTAAAGTACAATCAAAATTCTCTTTCATAATTAAAGTAATTACAGATTTATAAAAGAAGTAATTTTAAAAAGTGTTAAAAGCAATTTGCCATAGTTTTAGAGGACTGTATGGCTCTGCCAGTCAGAAGAAGTATGACCCAGTCTCACCCTAGTCTTTCTCTAGCTGTGTTGTCCTAGACAAATTTCTCAAACTTCTCTGCATCTCAAATTCCTTAAATCCCCAATGTGAACAAAACCCAACAAGACCACTGAGAAGTCCCTTTCCCAAGTTCTATAGTCCTTCTCCTACCCTGACTGAAGGCATGCTTGAAAATGTTAGGCCTTCATTAGTATATAACACAGAAATAATTTTTAAAAGTCAAGATAAAGGTAAGGATCCAAGATTAGCAATTTTGTTCTTATAACTTATGTAGGACATAAAAGAACAGAGAAATTAATAAAATAGTATGAAGAAGGGAAACTAGAGAGAGAGAGGTAGGGCGAGGATTTCAAATATGGGAAACCTCAGAGGGCTATTAAGAAATCAGTTCCACAGACTTAACTAGCTACCATGTTTATAAGTTCTGCCAAGCACTGAGGGGAAACAAAAATACAACCCTAGTAAGAGATAACACTAGAAACCTTTAATCCCCCAAGTGCTTAAGAGGCAGGGGATCAATTTAAGTTTAGCCATGCCTGTCTGGACTACAGAGTGAGTTCCAGGAACAAATGCTGGCATTTATAAAGGACCTAGGGATTAGTGAACACTGGCAGACCTTACTCACATCACTGATATAATCCAAAGAAACAGGAGAAAAAGCAGGATAGGAAGAAAAGGATTCTGTATTGATCTGAAAGAAGAGTGGAAAGTTATAAAGGGCAAAACAGAAAACAAACCCACTCTTCCTAAGTCTGAAATATGCCCTCCCCCCGACCCAAGTTCATAGCTATAATTACTACTAAGGGCAGAGAAGCTACAAAAGGTGCGGTGGGCATGTATGTATTCTATAGGATAGAGAAAGAGCATTACCACCTGTGAGAAGGATGGAGGCTGCTCTTACCAAATATATCAAATACTACTTAAAACAGATGGGCCAAAGACCACAGGGTCCATCAAAAGCAAAGTTTACATCTCCCTTAATGTGGTGGGTAATTTCCTCTGCCTCACAAAGGAGTGGCACCCTTCCTCCTATGAGTTCCATAAATTTAAAGGGTGGAAGTAAAAACTTAAGGAGACAGAAGCAAAAGTACCTGGCTAGGGTAAGGAGCCTGTCCTCCAGGGTACTGAGACGGCATCTGCCCCCCTGGAAAGCCACCTGTATGTTAAACAACAAAAGTAGGCCAGAGCAAACCATTATATTAAATACAGAAGCATGACAGCATCTATGCTATGCTATACTCACTGCGATAAGCAACATTTTAAGGTACAGAACAATGGTTTTCAGTATAACATTTTTTAGTTTTGTTCACATATTGTTTTTTGTTTACATTTGCGTTCCCAAATCTTTCCTTGTGCTTCTCACAGCAACCACTCTCTGTTTTCATTTCCTATACATTACTTCCTTTTGTTCTGCCTCCACCTCATGCCTCTAAACCTCATCCTCAGGCTTGGTAACTCACACCGTCAATCCCAGACACCTGGCTGCCTCTGAGAGCTTTTATGACTTCGATGCACTTTTCTTACCTGCAGAATAGGGATAATAATGATACCTCATGTGATTTTTTAAAAATAAACATCTTGGCTGGGTGTGGCCAAGTTCACACCTTTACTCTCAGCATTCTGGAGGAAGAGGCAGGTAGATCTCTGTGAGTTTGATATCAGACCATTCTAAGTGTTACAGGAAAGCCTGGGTTACAGAGTGAAACAGGCAAACAGACAAATGTCTTCTCAATCCCACAATATTCACTAAAATAATCTTTTATTATTCTTTTAAACATTTTTTAATGTAACTTAATTTTTTAACTTCATGTTCTGTGAATGAGTGTTTTGATTACATGTATGCCTATGTACCACATGGGTGTCTGTTGCAACATAGGCCAGAATAGGGTATCAGATCCCCTAAAACTGAGCTACCATGTGGGTACTAGGAATTGAACTTGGGTCCTCTTGGAGATCAGTCAGTGCTCCTAATCCACTAAGCCATCTCTTCAGCCCCAGGATAATCAGTTTTGTTTTTTGTTGTTGTTGTTTTGTTTTTATGGAGAACTTTTTAAAAAATTTATTTACCTTTATGTTATGTACATTGGTATTTTGCCCACATGTATGTCTAAGTGTCAGATCTTAGAGTTAGAGGGCTGTGAGCTGCCATGTGGATGCTGGGATTTGAACCCTGGTCCTCTGGAAGAGCAGTTAGTTCCCTTAACCTCTGAGCCATCTCCAGCCCCGCCATGATAACCTTTTAAATACTGATTTATTAAATGAAAAATCAGCTTGAGTCACATATATCTTTTAATAAGATCCTAACAAATATTATATATATATATATATATATATATATATATATATTTTTTTTTTTTTATACAGGGTTTCTCTGTGTAGCCTTGGCTGTCCTGGACTCACTTGGTAAACCAGGCTGACCTCAAACTTACAGAGATCCACTTGCCTCTGCCTCTCCACTGTTGGGATTAAAGTTGTGTGCCACTGCGCCCAGTCAAATATTATATCTTTAATAGACTTATGTAGAGGCCAGATGTGTAGGATCCCGTGGAACCACTGGGCCTATACAAGAACAGTTTATGCTGTCAACTACTGACCCATCTATTGAGCTCCTTCCCACCTTAAAAACAAAATGAAAAAACCCCTTGAACTAGACTCAATTCTGATTCCACCTGGAATAGCTGTCAGGACACAGTCCTGGGGGTGGTTCCTTTAAAAACTGGTTTTTGGCTTTAGGACAGAATAGTTAATAGAAAAAAAAAAATTATTCCTCATCTCCCATTTACTGATGGTGATCTCACATCAAATTGATACCTCATGATACCATATACTTAACATTATTTACAGAATTATATAAACATTCCCTGAAGACTATCTCACATATAATCTAAGTTTGCTTGACAATTGAAAAGCTTGCAAAATCATAACACAGTTTCTCTCTGCAGAGTTGGAACCTACCTGGTACAGGAACCTGGGCTGGTCCACCACCATAAGACTGTGCAGGGGGCTGTGGGTAGCCAGAAAAGCCTGCTCCACTAGGTGGGGCCCCAAAGCCTTGACCTGGAGAAATTAGGAAAAACATTTCACTAAGCCATACTGAAGAGCCATGATTGTTAACTCACATTTGTAATCTCAACACTTGGGAGGCTGAGCCTAGAGGATTGCCTAGTAAGCTCCAAGCCAGCCTGGGATACAGACTGAGACCTTATCTCAAAAAAAAAAAAAAAAAAAAAAAAAACCCAAAACAAACAAACAACAAAACCCAACTCTTACTATGCAGAAAAACTATAAGAAAAGTATCTATTGATACTAGTGGAAAATACATGCCAGTAATGCTGGAACAGTCATCCCATATGCATGTATTCAACTTGTCCTCAACTCACAGTGAACTGGAATTACGTTCCAGGATCAGTGAGATGGCTCAGTAGGTAAAAGCACTCACTGCCAAACCTGACTACCTGAATCAACCTCAGAACCCACATAGTAGAACTGATTGTGTCCTATGCAAATGTACCATGTATACACACTCTCTCACACACAGACATATACACAATAACAAACACATAAACATTTTCTGTTTGTTTTTCTTTTTTTCCTTCTTTCTTACTTTCTCTTTTTTGGTTTTTGAGACAGGGTTTCTCTGTGTAGCCTTGGCTGTCCTAAATTCACTTTGTAGACCAGGCTGGCCTCAAACTCACAGAGATAAGCCTACCTCCCCCTCCCTGTGCTGCTTTCACAGGTGTGTGCCACCATACCCAGCTCATAAAATTTTTTAAATTGAGTTTTGAAAGTTTCAGTACAAGCTGGGCCTGGTGGCACATCTTTAATCTGAGTAGTTGGGAGCCTGAGGCATGCAGATCTCTGAGTCTGAGATGAGCCTGGTCTTAGCAGTCACTCCTAAGACAGTCAGGCTACACAGAGAAACCTCACCTTGAAAAACTGAAGTTTTAACACATTTAGCTTCTTTAGTAACTTACAAAACAAATCACTATGGTGAGTTAAAACACATTTTTTAAAAAATTTAGATTTGCTCCTTTTGTTTTATGTGTGAGTGTTTTGCTTACATGTATGTATGTGTGCCACATACGTGCTCGGTGCTTCAGGAGTCAGAAGAGAGCAGTATATCCCTGGGAATGTAATTATGGATGTTGGTAAACCACCATCTGTGGATGCTGGCATGGAACCTAGGCCCTTTACAAGAGCAGCAAGTACTCTTAACTGCTCAGCCACCTCTCCAGCCCCTATGGTTTTTTTTCTTAAATCTTTGAATTAAGTGGTCCTAAAACCAAAAGGTAACATGTCATTCAAATTAAAGTTTATGTATTTTTTTAAAGATTTATTTATTTTATGTGTATGAGTATTTTGTGTGTATATCAATGCACCACATTCATGCAATGGCCTAAAGGCCAAAAGAGGCTTATCAGAGTCTTTGGAAATAGAGGAGTAGAGAAGTCTGATCTGTCATGTGGGTGCCAGGAACCTAAGTCAGGTTCTCTGGAAGAGCAGTTGCTGCTCTTATCCACTAAACCAGCTCTTCAGCCCAGTAGTTCTCAACCTGTGGGTCATGACCCCTTTGGCAAACCTCTGTTTCACAAAATATTTACATTACGATCCATAAAGTAGCAAAATTACAGTTATGAAGTAGCAACAAAAATAATTTTATGGTTGGAGTCACCACAACATAAGGAACCGTGTTAAAAGATTGCAGCACTAGGAAGGTTGAGAAGCACTGCTCCAGCCCCTCTCAATCAATTAAGATTACTGATAATCAAGTGGGCTATCAATTACTACAATTCCCAATCACAGGAAAGTATTTTAGTCTTCCATCTCTGCTAACTTCTGAGAATCTTTTAGCTATCCATGGCTAATTAAAAGTAACTGTGAACTCTCACAATACAAGAAATAACTAAGAAGGTAAGGGAGGGACAAAAAAAGAACACTTCAACTAATCTCAAGTCACTACAGCTCTCATGACTCGCATAACTTACCTCCAGGATAGGCTGGAGCTGCCCCTGGATTGAGGGTGCCAGAATAGCCCCCAGGGGCTGGATATCCTCCAGGTGTAGGATAGCCCCCAGCTCCCGGGTAGCCGCTACTTGGTGCTGGTGGGTAAGCACCTCCTCCCATTGGTGGAAAGCCACTAGGATAAGGATACTGACCAGCAGTGGGGAAAGATGACTCCTGACCTGCAGGCTGGAAAAATCAGAGACATGTGCAAGTGAACAGAGTCACAGAAACATGTGACCCAGATAAAAAGAACAAAGAGTGCTATTCGGTTATCTTTTTTCTCCCCACTTAAAAACAACAACTTATCCTGTTGTTTATTTCTGGTATCCTATATTAACTTTATCAATCCTATTCCACTTTGTTAGGATTTTTATCAGAACTCAATTAAATTTAATTCTATGTAAGGTGGGCAAGAGCAGTCCATGTCTCTATAGGAATCAAACCAACTGTTGAGTTCTCTCTCCCTCCCCTTTTCTCCTTCTTTCTCTGCATAGCTTCACTATATGGTCCAGGTTCCTCTCGAACTTCTACTCTCCTTGCCTCCACCCCTGAATGCTATAATAATAGGCATGTGACTATAACATGCCTATTAAAGATCCTCCCCTCCATCCTAGAGGGGAATCAACAGTGAACCAGAGCCTGGGAACCCAAAACACTACACATAACAAGACCTCCTTCTACTGCACCCTACTCTGCACTCTATGGCTGACCTCCTGGAGACTTGAAAGCAACAATACATTTTTATTTATTGTGTTACATCACAGAAATGTTAGGTAGGGTTGTCTATTTCAACAATCAGACTGACTGAAATGATTGCCACAGTCCAGCTTAATCCACAAGGACTTAGGAACACATTCCCAATTCTCTTTTAAATATATGAGAAAGCTATATATAGCCATGGACACTTGAGTTCACGACCCCTGCTCTAGGGCACAGACTACTTCAATATAATAACTGTGTGAAAGATAGGAGTGATTTTAGTATTTTGATAGCAATACTTACAGGGTATCCGGGAAAAGGCGGGTAGCCTGTGGGGGGGTAGCCTGGGTAGGACATTCTGCAACAACAACAACAAAACGTCCTTCGTAATTTCTTCTACATTTTAAGGCCTTTGAAGGTATACATATCCATATACACGGTATTATGGTGGGCATTAGCATGTGAATAATGGGGCAGAGAGATGGTTCAATGGATTGAGGGCACTTGCTTTGAAATCTGATAACCTGAGTTCAATTCCTGGAATCTACCTGGTAGAAGGGAAGAACTGGCTCCTGTATGTTGTCCTTTGACCTTTGCACACTTGGTTAAAACACACAAAAATAATGTGAATATTAAGGGTGTATGCAAAGCTTATAAAATGCTTCATTTTACCATCTGTACCATACAACCTGTATGGCCTGCAAATGCAGCCTGTGAACTCAATCTACAGCATCATGTAAAAAAGCCAGATGTGGTGGTACACCATTGTAATCCCAGAACTGGAGCAATGGAGACATGCACATCCTCAGAGTTCATTCAGAACTTGGGAGACTGAGACATGTACATCCTCAGGGCTCACCACCAACCAACCTGGCCTCAGACCTCTATGAGAAACTGTAATGACATCCAAGGCTGACCTATGGCATTACTACTAAAGAATAAATCAATGACTAAAGGTGAAAGCAATGTTCTACAATGTGCTGAACACAGACTAGCAAGAAAGTAGAACACTGCCAAATACAAGGAGAATGGTAGGATGTAACTGTGATGAATGATCATACAATAAAATAAGAGATTGAGTGAGGTGAAGGACCAGAGGGTAGGGGGAAGTCAGGTTACCACTTGACTTATGGGTAAAGCCATGTAAAGGTCAGGTATGGGTAACTTGCATGAAGCCCTGGGTTTTATGCCCAGCACCATGAGGAAAACAAAAGGCTAAAGTTAGGAGGCCTGGTGTGGAATTACATACTCACACTACCAGACCACATACCTCCCTTACCTGTGCAGAGTCACTACTTAAATGACCCAATATTGTAGTGTAGGATGTAACCCAATAGTGTCTACCCATCTGTTGGAATGACTCTCCTATTCTTCCTTCATTTCCACTTCCAAGGCATGTCCTCGCAGCAGGTCTCACTCAACACAACGCTGCCTTGCTAAGATTACTTTCCATTATAGTCTTGCTTATACTATCTCAGCTTTTCATTTGCCCGGACATCATCATTAGCTGCCCTTTCCATAAACTGCTTTTAAGACCCCAAATCCACAATAACTTACTGCTGAAATATCAAATAAAAACTTAGTGTCAGGGTTGCAGAGGTATGTGTACTTAGCCCACACTGTCCTAGCTCAGACCCTAGTAGAATCAGGGTAAAAAAAAAAAAAAAAATCACTGGTCAAACATTCCAGTCCCCTTAGTACTGGCTCAAATTTATAGTCAATAAATATTTCTCTCTTTAAAAAAAAAAATTGTTTCTACGTGTAAGTGTGTATATCACATGATTGCCATGAGCAAGAGTGCCAGATCCCCTAGTCCTAGAGATGATTAAGGGCAGTTGTGAGCTGCCATGTGGGTGCTGATCCCAGGACCTCTGGAAGGACAGCAAGCAGTCTAACTACTGAGCCTTCTCTTCAGCCCCAACACCTATCCCTAGTGCGAAATCTCTACGACTGCAATCATTCTTGTGCATCATCCCTTCTTTTAACTCACACTTACTGACCTGGCCCTTAAGCCTGTGATCATGCATGCTTTTTTGCTTTAGTTCATGTCTTTTCTCCTTTATTTAAAGAATACAGTGAACAAAAAGTGGGATTCTCAGTCTGTATACATGTAAACCACCTGAGAATTCAGCGAGGAATGCACGGATTCAGTAGTTCTGGGATGGAAATGCTGCCCTCCGCCCTTTTTTTTTTTTTTTTTTTTTTTTTTTTTTGAGGCAGGGTTTTACACTGTAGCCCAGGTAGGCTGGAACTTACTATAAAGACAAGACTGGCCTTGGATTTGAATTAACCTACTGCCTTAGCCTGCTGAGCTTACAAGTGTGTGCAATGGTAGGCTTGTGGAGATCAGAGGGCAAGCTGAGGGAGAAGGCTTTCTCCTTGCATTATGTGGGTTCTGGGGATCAAATTCCAGTTGACAGGTGTGGGAGCAAACACACTGTGTTGGCTATTTATCAACTTGACACAAGCTATAGTCATCTAAGGACCTCAACTGAGAAAAAGGCCCTCATCAGACTGGTCTATAGGCAAACCTGTAGGGCACTTTCTTGATTGATAATTGATGTGGAGGGCCCACAGCACACAGGGTCATTCCTGGGCGGGTGGTACTCTGTTGTTCAAGAAAGCAAACTGAGCAAGCTAGGTGGAACACGACAGCACAGCAAGCAGTGTTTCTCAGTAGTCTCTACTTCAGTTCCTGCTCTGACGTCCCTCATAATGGACTGCTGGACGTGCAAGATGACATAAACCATTCCCCTCCAAGTCACTTTTGATCATGTCTTTATCACAGCAGTAGAAACTGAACTAGGACATACCTTTAGTCCCCGAGCCATCTTACCAACCCAAGAGTCTTTATTTCTAACAAAATCTCCAGGTTAATATTGATTATACTTTGGTACCAGGGTATTTATGCATTTCTGGATCCATTTTCTAGTCTGATACATTTAAAATGTATGTTTTGGCATTTCTCCCCAATGTAGACATAGTGATTTCTTTTTCTTTTACCTCAAGATGTGCATACACAAAGGGCCTGATTCAGTGCCTCAGGATGAAGAGAGAACAAATCCAACTCAATTCAAGTCTTGTGAAAGGTCACTCTAGCCTAGGTAGCCTAGATGCTGATAAAATATTCAGAAAGCAGAAACTGCCTTTTGAGTGCCCAATATGAGAGGGTGTGATAATAACTGTGTTACTGCACTTATGATATTACTATAGGAAAGAAGCTATAGTTGAGAATATGCAATACCAAAGTTTATAAGTTATTAAGACAGACCAAGCCTGGGGGAATGGCTCAGTCTGTTGCCTGCGTGCCATAAATTACGAGAAGCTGAGTTCCAAGCTCCATGTAAGAAGCTCAAGCCTGTAACCCGAATGCTAGGGGAGGACGAGCTGGCCAGTCTAACCAACCAGCGAGAGTACTGGATTCAACAACAGGCACTGACTCCAAAAAGATGGTGGAGAACAAGAGAAGAACACCTGATGTCAGCTTCTGGCCTCCACGTGTGCACACACACTGTCATGCTCATATATACAGAAACAGGAACACACCTATGTGCCCTGCTACACAAAGAAAATTATTAAGAAAAATGATTCCATCTAGTCTCAGTTACTTGGAAGCCAAAGACCTGTGCATAAAAAGAGAAAAAGGGTAAATCTTTCCTTATTTTCTTTTCCTCTGTTCTTAATTGCCATCAGAAGTAAGGGCAAGTCTGCAGCTTCTAAAGGACAGTCAGAGTACCAAATGAAAGAAGTCAGGATCATAAGGGGAAAATCTGGAAGAAACTTGTGAAATAATGTTTAGGGTCACAAAAAGTTACAGGACCAAAGACTACACTAGCTATTTAAAGCTTTAAGATTTAAGAAACTCTCCTTCATTAGGAAAATATTTTCTTTTGTTTTTTTTTGTATGTGTGAAGTATGCATAAATATGTGCAAATGTGTTCAAATGTGTGCATACATGTGCATGTAATGTGTAGACCAGAGACTAATGTTGGGAGTCTTCTTGATCATTCTCCATTCTGTTTACTGAGGCAGGGACTCCCACTGAACCCAGAGCCATTGGATTCAGCTAGTCCCTCTAAGTCAGACTGCTCTGTCTCTGTCTCCCATAAGCAGGGATTATAGGAGGGCTGCCACATCACCTGGCTTTTCACTTGGGTTCTGGGGATCAAACTTCAGCCCTCACATTTGCAGGTAAGGTGTTTCATTTCCCATTAGTCACATCCCTAGTCCCCCAGGAAGAACTATCTGGACTTTAAAAAAAAAAAGTTAAAAGATTGATACTGTAACTCAGAAGGGAGGAAAGAACGGAGGAGGAAGAAAAGGCAGTGAGGGGGAAGAAGAGAGGAAAAAAGGAGGGAGAGGAAAGGAGGGAGAGTTAGAGTGATTGGAGCTCATGTGCACCACTGGAGAGAGAGAGAGCTGACAGAGGAGATGACTCGGTGTGTAAAGCACTTACTACGGAAGCTTGAAGATCTGAGTTCAGATTCCTAGAAGCTGGAAAAGTAGTTCAGTCTCTAATTCCAGCCCCCTTATGGTGAAGTGGGAGTTTGAGAGAGAAGAATCACAAAAGTTTCCAGGCTGGCCTGGTGGAGTACAGGACAGGAAACAAGTGACCCACACCCAAAATTTTCCTCTGACCTCCATATATATGCCACACATTGTGGCATATTCACCCTGACCCACAAACTTGTGGGTCATACATACACACATGTATGTACACACACAGATAAAAGAATGAATCACTCCAATGACAAGTTCTATTTCTACATTTTTAGTTTCCACGTTAAATCTTACCTTTAAGGGCCTAGAGGACTTATACCAAGATTTTCAAAACAAAACAAACAAACAAACAAAAAAGAACAAAGACTATCTAGGTATTAGCATATAAAAACAACTTCAGTGTATTTGGAAGAATATTAAGTACTAGAGTGAACTTCCATTTCCATGTCATTGAAATACCTTCACAAATGCATATTTATGTACTAAGCTATCCATTATAGTGTCATCTGTAATATAAAATGTTGTTAAAAAATAATGTAAACATCAGAGACATGTGAAACACATTATGAATATTCCTAAAATAAAGTGGAAGCATAAACTATATGCCTCCTAAAAATGCGGTAGCTTAAAAAAAAAATCTGTATAAAAAAACATCTACCACACATGTTAAGTGAAAAAAGCATGGTGGAAAATTGCATAGGTAACCGTACAGGTAAAGAAATTCACCCATTTTCTTCTATATGTAGACAATCTCCCTGAAAGGACACAGGGAGGCAGAAAAGGGTGGCAGCCTCCTTGACAGAGTGCTGGGAGTCGACGTAAATAACGACAAAGCAGCTTGCTTTTCATTGCCTTTTTAGCCCCTGTAAACACTGTTCATGTGACCATTTCAAAAGATAGACTTTAGAAGTTTTTGTGAAAAACTAAACAAACTACAGGGTGACTCAACAAAATACTCAACTCTTAAGTAGCAGGACTCTATTGAGTGAACCGAAGCTTTTGTTTTTCCCCTTAACACTCTATATTACAAACAACGTTTAGAAAACTTGGAAAATTCATTCTTGGTTCTCCAGTCCACCTCCACCCTGTGAGTCAGCTAGTAAAAGGGTGGGTCTCTCTGTGTGAGTCTCTCAACCGGCAAGAGGCCTAGTAACACAAGAAGCTTTGGGCTGGGTGGGGGTGGGAAGTAGCGACAAACAGGGAGAAGAAACAGGAAGTGTGACTTAGGTAGTCAAGAACATTAACAGTTTTCCAAAAAACACCTCTAGGTTCCTGAAGGGACATTTAAAGCAGTAACAGGGAAAGAAGGGCAGGTAGCCCTCTACTCAATCATGAGTACTAGAAGGTGACTTAAGTTTGCAGGGCAAACTATTTATTCCACCTGCTTCTAATGTTTTCCTTGCCTAAGTGATGGCTCATTCTATGAGTACTGTAATTGGGACAGATTACCTCGGATGGCTCGCTATCACCTGGCAGTAATTAGGGACTGTAATGGGCAGTAAGATATCACGTGTCTTTCACTTACCCCCCCTTCGTAGCCATCCCCCTTTGCACCTCGATTTCCTTGGGCTGTTACCGTGACGTCTGGTGCGGGTCAAGGACTAAGAATGAAATCTAGAATGTTACTTCCTAGAATAGTTCCCAAGAATTGTAAGCCCGAGCTTACATATCAGGCTTGTGAATTCTGTTCTAGGTGTTATTTAGCATAGCACACATCCCCCAAGTTCTCCAGACCCGGCTTTCTGTGCTGTTCTTACTCGGTCTCCTAGGAAGCGCTTCACCGGGGCCACCCTCCGGCCTCAAGCCCTTCATCTGCGGCCCACCTGACCGAGAGCGGTGTGTGCTGCTCCCTGGCATCCCCACTCTGCCAAGCCTAAAAGAGGACCAACCTACAGGCCTTCTCGGCCCTCCCGCATGAGGGGCAACCCTGCCCAAGCCACTCCAGCGCCGGAAACCACCCAGAGGCCCACCCTGTTGGAGCACGCGCACGCGAGGCTACAGCGTTCCGGCTCGAGGGCCTGTTCGGACACTGGAAACCAGCTGACTGACCGGCGGGAGACTAGCAAGGGGAGGGGGTGCGAGTTCTCACCTGAACCGGGGAGCAGCGTCACACCCCAGCCCGCTTGCCCGCAATATGGAGCCAGGGAGAGCCGGAGGGCGTGGCGCCTGGGCGGTGCGAGGATGCTGACTGCCCGGACCGCCCCCAAGTTCGGGCGGGACCCGCTCCCCTCAAGTGGCTCAGCTGGTTTTACCAAGTATCCTGATCTCCGCGAGTGTACTCCCCGTGGAGCTACGATACCGAGGAAGCTGCAGTTTTTTGGGCTCGCCGGCGCGAGTGGGCGGAGCGGAGTGTCTCCGAGGGACGGTGAGACCCAGGCCCTCAGGGTATCCTGAGATCCGAGGGCGAGTTTGCCTCCTGTTATAGGAAATTCTGGGTAGACGGAACTAAGCAGAAGAGTTGGTTCAAGGTTCTACTAGTTCATTAGTGCGTTAAACTCATCCTAGAACTAAATATTTGAGGCAGTTGAATGAACCTATCAATCTATATCACTGGGTTTGCTGGTCAGACAAGGTTGGCTGACCAGTGAGCTCCCGGGATTCACGTTGTCTGCATCCTCCATATGACCGAGCTCTCTCTCCTTCATGACTTTCACTTTCACAACAAAAACATATTTGGGTATGCAGGCCTGAGCACAATTTGTAGCAATTGGTTCCGTACTACCGTGTGGTTTCCAGGATGAAATTCAGGTCATAAGGCTTTGGGTTAACACTCAGGTCAGGCGTGGAGGCAAGTGCCTTCACATCTCGGCATAACCCAATTCCACCACACAAAGTCCTTTTTAAAAATGTGTATTTGTTTAAGATGTATGCATTTGTGTGGACACATGTGGAGGTCAGAGAATAGCTTGGGATAGACAGTTCTCCCTTTCCACATGTAGATTCTGGGACTGCAGCTATGTTTTTCAGGCTTGGCTGTAAGGCCCATTAACCACTGGGTCAAGGCACTTTTCATTTTCATAATATTTGAAATATAAAATTTAAATTAAGACACTTTTTTAAAAATTTGTTACATCCCTGAGGGGAAAGGTATGTTGGCAGTGAGGAAACAAGGAATACCACAAAGTCACACCACACAGCAAGCCTCACACGAGATTTATGGAAAGACATGAGGGAGGGTGGCTGTCTCTGTTTGGGCAAGCAGTAGCAGAGAACTGACAGGCTTAATGCAGGGTTTCTTCGAGGGAGGGGGCTACCGGTGGCAGACATTTCCAGGAGGGCCTGATTTAGGGGTAAGCTCAGGGATTGGTGGGATTCTGTGGTCTAATTTTTTGATTTTTCTGTAGGGTGGGGCCTGGCCACTTTCCTGCTAGAATAGTCTGGGCGTGGGGCTTGGTATCTGGAGATCTAAGGGGCTTCAAACAAGGGTAGTCTGTGCCTACCCTAAAGCTGCCTAAGTCTGTGAATAGCTAACATTTGTGCTTCTGGTTTAACATCTAAGAAAACATATGAATCCATGAAGATTTATATATTTTCTTCTAATCATTTAAGGTCTTTAGATCTCTGGGCCATTTTAAGTAGTGTTTGAGGCTAGGTCTTTATATAGCTCAAGCTGGACTCAAACTTGCTGTGCTGCCACAGATAAGTTTGACTGGATCCTTCTGCCTCAACCTCCTGAGTACTGGTGCTTTTTGTCTTTAGACAGTCTTGCTGTGTAGCCAGAACAGCCTCCCAATTCCTGAACCTCAGCCATACCAGCACTTGAACTGGAGTTACAGGCATGTCCCACAACAATTTTATATCATATGAATTTGTCTCCAACTTTATTCTTTTGAATGTGGCTATCCAATTGTTCCAGCGACATTTCTTGAAAAGTCTATTCTTCAGCCTGTTCTACAGAGTGAGTTCCAGGACAGCCATACAGAAAACCTGTAGGTAGGTAGGTAGGTAGGTAGGTAGGTAGGAAGGAAGGAAGGAAGGAAGGAAGGAAGGAAGGAAGGAAGGAAGGAAGGAAGATCTCTTTGATCCTTGTTAAGAATCAGGTGACTCATAAATAGTAAGGATTTGTTTTTCAAACTTTTGCTATGGTCTGAATATATGTATTCCCTTCAAAATTATTTTTTGAAGTCTTTGTCTCCAAGATGATGGTATTAAGACAGTGAGGTCATTCGGAGATAGCTAAGCCATCAGAGCACTACCCTAGTGTATGGGATTACTGTCCTGGATTAAGAGACAGAATGGAGTTTGGTTGTACTTCTACCAGGTGAGAACAAAGTAAGAAAGACGCTGCCTTCTATAAACCAGGAAATGGCCTTTACCAGACATCAAACCTTCATGGATTTTAAGCATCTAGAACTTTGAGAAATAAATGTCCTTTTTTTTTTTTTTCCTCCTCCTTTTTCATGGAGGTTTCAGGCCTACAATCCCTGCTACTTGTGAGGCTGAGGCAGATGTTAATAAATTCAAGGCCAGCCCAGGCAACTTAATGTCACCCTGTCTCAAATTAATGAATGAATGAATGCATGAATGAGTAAATGAATGAATGACAAAATGTAGCTCAATGGTAAAGCACTTAACTAGCATGAACAAGGCCCTGGGTTCAATGCCCAATTTCTAGGGGAAAATCCAGAAATCAGTCTGGTCATACAGAGCTCTCATTGGTTTAGAATTTTTACTTGGACTGTGAATAAGGTTTAGCACACAATAGGGGTTCAAAGCTGGCAAAAATTCAACATCAATAGGGTAATTTGATTAAGCTTCCATTTTCCAGGAATTCAGTTAGGATTTGGTTCAATTATTGAAAAATCATCAGCTTTTTCTTCTAATTGCTTCTTATCTAGTTGGTAGGAGGAACTTCCAAGAAACATGATGTAGTAGGCACTGCTGTATACTGGTTGCTTATTTGGGTTAGAATAGACCTGTTCCGGTTTGAGAGATGTGAAAGGATTAGCTCCACAAGCAATGATGTGTGTATCCAAGTCCACCAAAATCTGCAAAGAGGCTTCCAATTCTTGTTGGCTGGCAAGAGAGAAGGAAAATCCCTCTACTGAGTATGAGAGAACAGAAACAGCTCATGTGTAAGACAATTCATGATCAACCCCCAAAATTATCTAAAGCTGTACTAAGCAAGAACTATTTTTTCCTCCCAAATGTCTCAACAAATCCCTTATGTAGCAAAGGACTGTTCCCAGAATTTTCTTTAGAGGAAAGAAGAACATCTTTATAAGATAGATGGGCAAATGGGTTCATCTACGTATAGGAAAAAGTGAATCCAAAAAGGATCACAAACAGAAATAGGTAAAAACCTGTAAACAGTAATCAATGTCGGGATCTCAAAGTCACGAAGTAGCAGCAGGGTAGGTAGCCAAGCTTCCATCAAGACTGGGGAGGAATGGAAACCTAAAGAACAAGAATGGAAATAGGAAGGGATGGAAGAGAGGCTGAGTACATCCTGAGAGCAGGACACTTTGATTTTATCTACTCAACCCTCATGCTGTTTGTTCATGCCCAGTTCTCACCATCATGAGCTACCTAGTTCTTCAATAAAAAAAACTGTAAACCAATGATCAACCAAGCTCATCTTTAGACTGTATTTAATGAGGCCCAAAAAGAAATGAATAAGGACCGAATGAAGAGTAAAATAAGTAAATTATCCTGGCTAGTTTTGCATCAACCTGACACAAGCTAGAGTCATCAGAAAAGGAGGAAACCTCAATTAAGAAAATGCCTCCAGACCTCCCCTATCAGTGGACTTGGGGAGGGGCATGCATGAAGAAGGGGTAGGGAGGGTGGGACCGGGAGGGTAGGAGGGAGGGGCTTATGGGGGGATACAAAGTGAATAAAGTGTAAAAAAATAATAATAATAATAATAAAAGAAAATGCCTCCATAAGATCCAGCAAGGGCATTTCTTTTTCTTTCTTTCTCTCTCTCTCTCTTTTCTTTTGGTTATTGTTTTTCGAGACAGGGTTTCTCTGTGTAGCTCTGGCTGTCCTGGACTTGCTTTGTAGACTTTGTAGACTAGGCTGGCCTAGAACTCAAAAGAGATCCAGCTGCCTCTGCCTCCCTGGGTGCTGGGATTACAGGCATGCACCACTGAGGCCAGCTGGCATTTTTCTTAATTAGTTATTGTGGTGGTTTGAATAGGTATGGCTCCCATTGACCCAAGTGTTCACTTGGTGCATACATACTAGTAGTATTGGAGTAGGTGTGGCCTTGTTGGAGGAAATGTATCACTGGGAACAGACTTTGAGGCCTCCTGTGCTTGAGCTACACCCAGTGTGATACACAGTACCCTTCTCCTGACTGTGGATCAAGATGTTGAACTCTCAGTTCCTTTTCCAGTACCATGTCTGCCTGTATGCTGCCATGCCACCATGATGATAATGGACTAAACCCCTAAAACTTAAACTTAAGCCAGCCCCAATTAAATGTCTTCCTTTACAAGAGTTGCTGTGGTCATGGTGCCTCTTCACAGCAGTAAAACCCTAGCTAAAACAGTGATTGATGGGGGGAGGGCCCAGTCCATTGTGGCTGGTGCCATTCCTGGGCTGGGTTCTATGATAAAGTGGGCTGATCAAGCTGTGTGAGGCAAGCCAGTAAGCAGCACAAATCCATGACTTCTATATCAGCTCCTGCTTTTCCAGGTTCATGCCCTGCTTGAGTTCCTGCTCTGACTTCCTTCAGTGATGGACTGCAATGTGGAAGTATAAGCTGAATGAACCCTTTCCTCCCCAACTTTCTTTCGGTCATGGTGTTTCATCCCAGCAATAGAAACCCTAACTAGAACATAATGCAGGATGGAAAATTATCAGCTCCTCTGAATGAATAAATAGCTCTTACCTGGATGGAATGCAGCCACCAAATCTGGACGGGCTAGATTCCCAGTCTCTATCTGCTCTTCCCAGAAGTCATGATACAGGGCCCTGTGGCCACTAAGCTGAATTGTTCCAGGCTCCAGGGGTAAAGTCGGTGAACTCTGTAAAAGGTTGGTACCCACATCCACACCCACCATGATCACATGGAAGCCAAGGTGTTCAGGAAACATGTAGCCAAGCTCATCATAATCTCCAGAATGAATGAGAAATGTCTCCACGTGGGAAGCACCAACCACATGCAATGTGCTTCCCCCAGTCTTTGTAACATCTATTGCCAAAGTCCGAAGCCCTAGGCCCAGGGTCAAGGGCCGTGACAGAACATCTGTCATCAACCTCTTCAAAGAGCCATGCAGGACATCTGGGTCTGGCTGTGGCCTTTGTAGACTGGCCCAAAGCATGGTCATAGCATGGCTACTGAGAACAGCATTCAGTGTAGACTCTAGCTGTAAACCCCTCATTGAAAATCAAGTATCCCAATCCTGTATATCTTCAGGCAGTGATGGCCAAGGTCCTGAGGGGAGGACAAAATCACCTATAGGAGAGGAGGAGTTAAGTGAACAGGGCTGGGCTGGAAAGAAGAGAGCACACTGTTCTTGGAAAGGATCTGAGTTTGGTTCCCAGCAGCCAAATTGGGGAGCTCACAATCGCTTATAATTCCAGCTCTAGGAGATCCATATCCTCTTCCAGCCTCTAGGAAACTGCACTCATGTGCACAAACCCACAGTCAGGAAGCCATGATTTAAGAAAGAAAGAGCAAATCCTTCCTTGGACAGAAATTCTCCCCTCAATAATTCCTCCATATTTAGTCTGCCATCCTGTAAACACAAGTATACCCATTCCTTGCCACAGTTACTCACTTTCCTCTTAAAACAACATGCTTTTACTTTTTACCAACTAATACCAGCAACTGCGATTCTGGAACAATTTCCTAACACCCTTACTCTACCTGTAACTAAAAGCCATTCCATGACACGATCCACAGCCACAAGACGGAGCTCTTGACAAACTTTCCTATGTGCTGGCCAATCTGACCTCTGGCATTCTGTATCACAGTAATAGACATTTCTGCACCTGAGAAAATGAACCAAAGAAGCACGTTCCTGTATCACAAAGGTTACTGGGTGTGTCCAGGGAAAGGAACTGGACACCTGCCCCTACAAAGAAGGGCTAGTGAATAGGTGAGGATGGTGTGGAAAAGAGCCAAGTGACACCCAGATACAGGCGCCACATGGCAGATGAACCAGTTGTTCTCAGACAGAGTGCTGCCCCCATTTCCACCTATCTAAAACAACTTGATTTTTTTTGTTTGTTTTTTAATTTCTTTCAGAAACAAAACAAAACAAAACAAAAAATCCCAGACATTTGCTGATGCTTTCTCTTAACAAGTGTGACTCAAGTCAACCTTAGAACAAATGTGATCTTACCTTCTGTGGACTCAGGAAGAAAGTAGGAAGAGTGTTATTTCTTCTCCCACAATACCAAAAATAAACAATTAAAACTGGGCCACACAAAATGAGCATTAATTCTGAAAACAAACCAAAAAATAAGCAAAACAAAACCAACCAACCAAAACTCCTTAGAATTGTTGTTCTTGGAATAAGGACTTAGTATACGGTTATTTCTGAACATTCCCTGGCACCCAACAAGTCACCTCTTACAGCGCCGGAGAACCTTGTAATTGGAAAGGCCATGAGGGAGTGCTTTACAGTAAGCACAGAATCGGAATGTGTCCTCCATCCGCTGGAACATTTCTTGTTGACATTGAAATCCAAAGCTTGATACTGGGGTTCCCCCATCTATCACCAACCTGTAGAGACAGTACAGAAGAAGGTGCAACAGGGACGAGTATCCCCCAAAACTCCTGTGCCTCCTTTGTCTCATATAGATTTTTATGTAATCTCAAACACTTCCGTTTTTCTTAAGAAAATTATATTTCTTCTACAGAAACTGACTGACAAAGGTCAGAATGAGAAAATTCCCAAATTATACTCTTCCACCTTCTGATATGAGTGGTACCAAAGATGACTATGGCTTCTCCTCAGTGCTGGTCACTCACTTGTATTCTTCATAGCTTTTCATGTTCAGCTTTTGAAGGATCAACTGTGAAAGACCTGGTACATTACTGTCCAAGGAAATGAAGCCAAGTGCATCAATACTAGGGCCAGGTTTTGAGAGGGTTGGAGGCAGTGGAGACACTCCTGTTGGTGGGATTTCAACCATGGGAGTCACTGGTGGCGGTTTCTTGTGCTTTCGCTGCTGTGAACGTGGAGCCATGTCCAGTGAACCTGGGGACCAGATGCTAAACAGAAATGGAATTTGACAAAATGAATTCATGTTTTCAGATACCTGGTCTTTTACTTCACATTCAAGTATCTGAGGCTTGGCTATAAGATTTATTAGTTACCGATTACTTACTGATATAAACAGTTATGAAAATTAGAGGGGACCACTTAAAACCTAGAGGCCCATTTCTACAATACTAGTATTCAGGAAACTGAAGAAAACATAAAAAGTTCCAGGGCAAGACCCCATCTCAAAAATGAAAACAAAAGTGAGAATAATCACATACAATTAATTGTATGATAAATAGTTCTATATACAGGTAAATAAATGTACAAATTAAGAAGTTACAAAATCCTTCAAGAGGCAGTGGATAGGAACTGGTGTAATCAAAGTAGCCTGTAATAGGAGTTTTTGATTTCTTTAAAAACTGTTATGCTATGTAAACATGTTTTTGTTTAGATCCCAGGTGTCGGGTATAGGGTTGCTTCAGATTTTCCACAGCAGCAGACTATTTGTCTCATGTAGGCTCTGAGAGGGGCGTAATCTTTGCCAGCTGTGGATAGTTTAATTCTGAGAGGGAATAAATGCCAAAGCCCAGAGTGGGGCGAGGACTCTGAAGTAGTAGAAGGCCGCTTCCCTTCTGCTGCTCCTGGTTGCTTTTGTTGCCATTTGGTGAGAAGTTGGAGATGTCCTGACTACAAAGATTGGTCTTACCCCAAGGAACCCAAAGACCCTAACCAGCAGGAAGTAACCTAAGAGACCTATGTCCCTTTTCCCCACTAACCTTCTTTTTCTCCTACCTGGTGTTGGGGTGTTGGAAAGGATTAGGGTGAAGGGAAGCAGAGGTATAAGAACCCCAATAAAACAGATAAAAATACTCTCCAACAAGTAGCCCCTAGACTTAGCTATGTTTGACCTTTTTTAGGAGGCGGGAGAAGACAGGCGATATAGACTAGGATGGACCCTAATCATTATGTTGCTGAGGATGACTTCGAATTCCTGATTCTCTGGCTCTATTTCTCAAGTGTGACCACATCCATGAATGCTAGGCAAGTACTCTACCAAGTGAACTACATCCCCAGCCTAACTTTTTAATAAAAAGAATATATTAAATTTGTTTTTTGTTTTTGGATTTGACACAGGTTCCTATGTAGCCTAGGTGTGTGCTACCATATCTATCTCAGTATACAGATTGTTAAATTAACTTGAAGAAAAAGCAACACAAGTTTTGGGTATCCAAAATTACCAGCAGCTGGAAAATTGACTAATCTTAGTTGTGAAGATAAAACATAAATTTTAACTTTTGGCAGCCTGTTCTGCTGGCTAGCCTCTGCCCCCTTCTGAACTAGTGCTATGACTCTAGTCACCAAAATCATCCACTAGGACCTTATCAGCTATGATGAGCTGTCCTATGACATATGCCTGGAGGGTGAAGACAGTATGGTCAGTAAAACAAAAGGTGGAAATGCCTCTGCTGAAGACCCAAAATAAAGGTATTTAAAGCACAGTAATCACTGGTGTTGATAATCATGAACCATCTTCATCAAAAAGTCTTCAAGAAGTATATCAAAGATTATATGAAGTAATTTAAAGGCAATCTTCAAATGAGAACGGAGAGTAGAAATTGTAAAATCTTTTTTACGTGGATGGAGAATAAATTAGGCATATCTAGGTTAATTTTACACTGCGAACATATGAATCAAAATGGCAGGGTTTCAGCCCTAAGATAACAGATGGTATGACTCTAGATAGGATTTTCTTCAATGATAGTTTAGAAATGGAAAAAGTTAACTAACTTGGATCTATTACCTGCAATGATATCTGGCTGATGCTTGTCCTCCAAACAATATTTAAGATAAATGGGACTGATATGGGACTGATTGACACTGCAATGTGTTTGTGGAATTCAAGTAACAATCTAATTGGAACTCTGTGATACCCAAGTTGTTTTCTTGTCTTTTTTATTTTACCTGTGCCTAGACACAAGGAATCATATTGGAAAAAACAAAAACATCCACTCACCTAATGTATACTTATTGATAAACAAGTAAAATTACTTGTAATATGAAAGACAAATATGAAAAAGTATGTATTTCTGTTGGGCATGTAGGCATATGCTCATGATATCAGTAATGGCTAAGGAAGGAGTACCTCAAGTTTGAAACCAGTTTGGGCTTAACAATGTAATCTTGTCAACTGAAAACAGGAAGAAACTTATGTACTTCATCTATGGGGTATCAGATACAAAATATAAGGTATTATGAAGTCTTCTAGAAAGCACTGATGGGAGAAAGCAGAAGACATTCTCCACAGTAAATAAGTTATGGGTGAATTCATGAGCAGAAAACAGGTGGAACTGATCTTGACAGATGGGAATACTCTGAATGTATGTAGACAGGGAAAAAAATTATGGAATACAAAGAAGAGGGGACTATAGAAACACTGACAGAAATAATCTGAGAACTAATCAGAAAATGACTTAAGGGCTGAAGTTATGGCTCTGTGGTTAAGAACACTGGATGCTCTTACAGAGGATTCCTAGCAGTTTACAAATATTACTAACTCCAGTTTCAGGGGATCCAACCCTCTTCTGACCTCCATGAGCACCAGGCATACATGTGGTACACATATATAGATGGAGGCAAAACATTCATACATATAAATCAATCTAAATAGAAAGATAAAGAACAGTATATATAGATGGATAGATACCATCAACAGTGTGAAGCCCCCAAAATTAGAGAAAATATAAATTATATACTCATAAGCAGATTAATATGTAGAGTATAAATTAAACAAACAAAAACCTCTTATTGACAGCCATGGTGGTATGTGCCTCTAGTGCTAGCACTTGGAGGCAGAGGAGGCTGATACCTGTGAATTCCATGTCAGCCTGGTCTACGTTGCCAGCGCAGGGCTACACAGGGAGAACTTTTCTCAAAACACTGAACCACCCAACTTCTATGAACAACAAACAACCCCATTAAACATAGACAATGTATTTCCTAACTTGAGATTGAAGCCCTATAGCAGAACACAATACATATTTTGGTTACAAGAGATACAGAACTGACTAGACAACTTTCTCTCTGCTGGCTAGCTATCATCCCAGAGATGCTATGCACTCTGCTGCGGTAGAAAAGATACCAATGGCCTTACCTGGTGTTGTACTCTGAATGCTAAAATACTAACCTGCCAGGCAAGATGTATTCACTAAGCATAAAATAGTGGCATGACCATTAAGGAGGTAACCAACTACTTTCTGATTATATTTGAGGCTAGCTCCACAAAAAGGAATTCTTTCCTGGTACTGTAAACCTGTCAAAAGCCTGAGTGGGGAATTCAAAGGCCCTACAGGGAACATAGTACTGTTGTTTTACTAAATATCCACGTTGTCAAACTGCTTTTGAAATGTTTACATTCATACCCACAGATCTGTACTGCTCTCAATCCTGGTCAGAGAAACTTCTTGCAATGCACAGTAGTTAATGCAGAAACTCATAATTGGTCAAAGTGCTAAGACTAGGTGACTTTGAGTGCTCAGGCCTAAATGGGACAACTATCTTCTATATCACACTCTACCCCACTAAGACTGAGGGAACACTGGCTGGGGGGAGGGGACTTGGAGGATGCGAAGAAATGCCATAAAATGCTGTCTTCTGGACATAATATGGTATTGTCGTCATAAAATCACAGACTTGGTTACCTGTACAAAATCCACAGAAGATCAAGCCAGTCAAAATTCTAGCATATGCAAGAAGAATTCAGGAGGTCTGACCCCTATATGAAGAGCCATGTTCCCTGGAAGGTTGCTCATGTTCTAGTGGATGGCTCAAAACCTATATACATACAGGCATCACTAATTGGACTCAATGGGCTATTTTAAAAAGAAGTAAATTAGCTGGGTGGTGGTAGCACACGCCTTTAATTTCAGCACTCAGGATGAAAAAGGCAGGTGGACCTCTGAGTTTGAGGCCAGTCTGGTCTACAAAGTGAATTCCAGGACAGCCAAGGCTACCAGAGAAACCCTGTTTCAAAAACACAAAAACAAACAAAAAAGTAAATTTGGGAGTGGGCCATGTTGTATGTGGAGGGTCCAGGAGAAGCTGAGGGGAAGAATGAGAGTTGTATCTGATCAAACTATATTATATACATGCCTGAAATTCTCAAAAATTAAAAAAAAGTACTAAAAAAAGGCACAGGATATTTAAGTATTCATCTTTTCATAGAATATATGCAATAGAAAATAAGTAGAAGAAAACATGTCCACTGGTCATTAACAAATTTCCAATCAGAACTATAATGAAACATACTTTCAGCCCCCACCCCCCAAAAAAAGACAAAATAAAAAGAGGCGATGTATGGCTCTTACCCATTATCTCAATACTTGAGGGGCAAGAAGATTGCCACAAATTCTAGACCTGCCTACACTACACAGTGATTTTGAGGCTAGCTAGGAATGCAGTGTCTTAAAAGAAAAAAAAAAAAAAAAAAAAAAAAGGAAATAACACAGAGTTAATACATGACAAAGTAATTTCATTCTAGGGTATGCACCTCCCAACAACTGAAAATGTTTACCTAATGAATATTTTCTTACGAATGTTCATAACAACACTGTCAAGAATAGTTAACAAGTAGACTAAACTAACGGTCCAATAATGGATGAATGATGAACACACTAGGATTTATATGAAGGAACCAAAAAAAAAGGAGGGGTACACTCAAAAGACAGTAGACTGACAACTTATTAGGGACTGGATAGAGAGTAAGTGAGGAATAAATGCCTCAGTCAATTTCTTTTTTTTTAAGGAAAGAAAATGTTTTAGGTCTAGATAGAGGTTGTAGAACACTGTAAATATACTCAATTTTTTTAATTTGTTAAGATAGGATTCAAAGTATCCCAAGCTGATTTCAAACTTCCTATGAAAATGAACTTCAAATGTTGATTCTTCTGCCTCTACCTCCTGAGTGTTCTGATTTATGCACCACCATGCTGGGCTTCGGAGGGATGAGAATGAAACCTAGGGCTTCATACACACCAGGCAAGAACCATATACCAACTAAGCTATACCCACAGAGCACTACATGTCATTTAACTGGTCACTGTAAAATTTTATATGTGGATTTCTTCTCAACCTGAAAAACTTAAGAAATAATGATATCTGTAGACGTGGAAAGGCTAAAGTTATTAATATCCACATTTACTGTCTCCAGGGACAAGCAAAGGATAGAGGATAAAACACTGGCAGCCGTTGGTTCTACTGCCAAGAATGTAACAAAGTTCATGTTAGGGATCATGTTTTGTTATAAAAATGGCCTGACAGTTGATCCTTCTCAATCATATTTTTTAAAGGGAAGCTTCCAGAATTATCATGCAGCTGCAAAATGTACACAGGTGACAAAAAAAAAATCAATAAAATTATTTCCAGAATCATCCAGTTCATACCCATGTATTAAATGCTGCTCTTATAAATTCATGGTCTGAAGCTAATGGAAGAATCAACTTCTTTTTTTCTCTTGTACTTTCTTTCTCTTCACCCTTATGTTTCCACTCTCCTTTCAAGTATCTCTCCTCAACCTGAGAAATGTCGATAAAACAAAGACAGAGCTCATCTATATTCTTTACACGAATATCAGCGAGGACATTGAACCTAGTGAAAACATACTGTCTTTAGCTTTATGAGTTATGTCCCTTTACCAAAGAGTAGATGGGAGCACTCTTTCTTTTCATATTTCTGAACCCCATTTCCAAAAAAAAAAAAAGACTGGATTATGCCTCTAATTTATCCTTCCTTCCATGATGCTAGGGATCAAACCTAGGACTATACCAAGAAAGTAGTCTGCCATTGAGCAAACTCCCAGGGTTACAGTAGCTGGCCCTGAAATGTGTAGCTGAAGGTGGGTCATATAAACTTCTGATTCTTTGATATCCACTTGCTAGTGTTGTAATTACAGGCATGCTCTACCACACCCAATTTGTGAAGTGCTGAGGACCAAACCCAGTGCTTGGTAAATGTTAGGCTAATACTGTGAGCTATATCCAGCTCTCTGCCATCCATTTTTAATCATCATACATGCTCCTATGTTTAGTGTTTCTAGAATCACTGTATTCTTAAAAAAAAAAAAAAAAAGCATTTAAATGCTCTAACAATTTGCCAGGTGACAGATATAAAGACTTACATCCAAGGGTTTATAATGAGGATCTTCCTGAAACTAAACCGTAACTTTTTGCCACAGGAAAGCAATTAAGTCCAGACAGTTAATACTTCCTTTCATTTTTAATGCCGTCCTCCGGGCTGGAAAGATGGCTCAGAGGTTAAGAAACAGTGGCTTTTTTTCCAAAGGTCCTGAGTTCAATTCTCAGCAACCACATGGTGGCTCATAACCATCTATAGTGAGATTTGATGCGCAGACATAATGATGTATAAAGAATAAATAAAATCTTTAAAAAAAAAAAAAAAAAGAATGCCTTCCTCCAAAAGCAGATTCACTCAGAAATGTGTATACATAGGAGGGTCAGATATGACTAGACAGAAATCAAAAGCAGCACAACACCTGGAGGGTTACGGTGAATCCCTAATACCAAACTGCTCTATATCCAGAGCACACTGATTACCTATGTTCTAAATGTACTGGCTTTCTGACAGGAAGGTGAAAATGTAGGAATGAGAAGTCTGGTCTTTACATATTTATGTGTGTGTCTATATGTGTAACTAATCATTTCTGAATCTGTGTATCGCAGACCCAGATGTCTCCTAGTTCTAGTTTTCCCAGAGTCCCAGGACCCTCCAAGTTCAAGGGATATAAACTGAGAAAAGCAAAAATGAGGAAATGGGGAGGAGACAGAAGACATGACCCAGAGGATATGGAAGGGTGAAACCAGAGCGAGCTTTGGTATGCACTCAGAACTCCCCAGAGTTCAGCCTACTTTATTTACAAAAGAGATTACCTAACTTTTTCTTCTAGCCATGTCTGAATGACTTACAGAAAACAGCTATGACTACAGCAGCTGGCTCTTAGAAAAAAAATCTTATCCTTCATCCCTAACATCTACCCCAAAACATTAACCTATTCCTAAACAGCACGCTCTCCCCTTTCTCCTTCCTCGTTAACAAAGCCCTTATTTCATGTAAGATATAGCCATATTCTCCACACCAGGAGATGCCACCAAAGTTTCTCAAGTCCATCAGTAAATACAAAACATCTTTTGGATGGTGGGGAAAATAGAACTGGTCACTGGGCTCCTTGAAAAGGGTAGGGGAAGGCTTCCATGGGGATGAACACTTGTTCTAACACTCAGGAAGCGGAGACAAGATGATTATGAATTGGAGGCCTATCTGGATGCTACCTCAAAAACCAAAGAACAAACCCCCCAAATGTAGGGAGAAGTAGGAAAAGTACACTTAGAATAGTGCTATTCTGACCACACTAGCTGCTTAATCAGTGATTAACACTCCCTCAAGTGATAAATACTTTACAGAATTATAAAATGAACTACGCAGACAGATTGATGGGAAAGTAACTTACCCTGCTAAGCCCTAGGCTTCCTTCCTTCTCTCTTTCCTCCAAGTGAAGTGAATGGTTGATCTCTTCAGATCTAGGCTGGGTCTCACTTGCAGCTGTTCTTTCATATCACCACTTCTGGCAACTGCTGAAATGCTGGGTCTCAGTGACTTACGTGTGCCCTGCCAACCAGACAGACAGGGCTGAATTCTCCCTAACGAGGCAAGTCAGGACCTGGACACCTGCTTGAGTTCTCTGACCCTTATTCTCTGCCAAGAGGCCTCAAGACTGCTGTCAACACTCCCCTACTCACCAAAGCCAGGCAAGCTGAGGAAAGTTGAAACCTACTATTTTCTGGATGTCTCTCAAGGCAGCACTTCTGCTCTCACTTTACAGCTTCATTAGGATGGGGAAACCCCTTGGGATTAATTAGGGAATCACTACTTGGTTGGAAGGATGGGTACCAGACCAAAGGAAAAGAACCTTTGGAAAATGTGGGTGTTAGTCTAGACCTATGATGAGTTTCCCCAAGCCTGATGTCCTCTTTTAACCTAATACATAGCTCAAACAGAATTCAACAATGTCCAAACTAGGCTCAAGTAGAAATATAATTACCCAAAAAAGGCAGAAAAAAGATGGCATTTAATGGTACAAGGAACTCAACTATAGAAAAAAACAAACAAACAAACAAAGAGAACTACTTTGTAAAATCACTTTACTGGAAGATCATTAGGTATTCTCTAAATTAAGAGTGTCATCAAAGGACATTCTACATGACAGCATCAAAAGAGAAAGAAATGCTTCTGAAATATCCAAGTAAGACCAACATTTATTTCAGTTACTGAGTAAAATACATATTCTTTACAGAAACAAAAAACAGAGAAGAATTAACTCAGCTATCTTTTCATTCCTTCTAGTAAAGGATGCTGACCCAGGAAGTTCAATCACACTTCCTAGCTCCTTTTCACTTATTAACTATTGAGCTGAAGAACCTAATAGCAGATATTTGGATAATGGTCCTATATGATTAAAAGATCCGCTCCCCCTCTTATTTTTTGGTTACATCTGACCTCAGCTGTCACTTACCTGCCTCTGGAAAACAGAACATCTGGCAATAGGGTCCTAGAATGTAGTTTATCAATTTACAAAAGTTTTAACACCAAGAAAGAATTCCAAACTGTAAAAAACATGAACTACAAATAATAGTCAATAAAACACTGCACAACACTACATAAAGTAGCCTTAAATAAAGAGAATCAATTATACTATTCAAAAACACTGATGAAATAGATGTGATCATTGTGAGTAAAGACTTCAGGTCAACTTTAAACTAAACTGACCTCAAACTTAAATGATGGCCCTCAATGAGGCTAAGAGTTCTGTTACTGATGACTAAACTCAAGAAGGTATAAGAAGGTATAATAACTCAGAGGTGTCATCTTTGAATATAAAGGACAGTGACGGGAAAATTGGTAAGGGATATTTCTATTTTAGTGTCACTACTTCCACTGGTAGATAAAGTAATAATTTAGAGATCTGAATTTTTCCCAATTTGCATCATAAGTTGCAATGAAAATAATTAAGTATTTAACCATTTTTGGTAAAACTATCCATGAAGATGTTAGACCACGCATGCTAGTTCATACGTGTAAAAATCCTAGCCCTAGGGAGGCTGAGGGAGGATGATAGATGAGTTGAAGGATAATCTGAGCTACACAGGTTCTTTTCAGAAAAAAAGGAGGAAGAGGACAGGGCTCGGGCTAGAAAGAGGTTCCTACTTATTAATCTGAAAGACGTCGGCTGAGGCTGGACGATAGTCTATGATTTTCACGTACATTTCTTTAAGTTCTTTTATTTTCTCCTTCTTAATTTTTATCACTGACCTGTAATTCCACATATTTAATAATGATGCTTTATGCTTATCTGTGACTCCCACAAATACTATCTAACCCTAGCAGTGAATCAAAGAACTAAGAACTTATTAATATTTAATATACTAGTTAAGTTCCTACCTTAACAATGTGTAATTTTTATGAAACAAATTAGGAAAACTCTTTAAAGTATACAGTACATAGTAATTTTAGAGGCAGCTACTGGATTGATTTACAAATTAATATTAGACACTATAACAAACAATTTAGGTCCTTTTTTATCTGAAATCTGGCAAAAATATACATTTGATATAAACTGATGCTTTCTGTCTCATTGCTACTGTTAAAGCTATTTGTCATATTATATTACAAATTTTAAGTAATTTCTCAATTTGCACAATGTTATACTCACTTCAACAATGACAGAGCAACCCAACATTAGTATTTTTGATTATTGTTAAAATACCCAATTTATCAGTATCACTCTAACAAAGTTCAAGACTAGAACATTTCTTCTAAGCAAGAGTTGGCAAAAACAGTAACTTTCATTTTATTTATTGTGCTAGGGGTTGAGCCAAGGGCTTTTGCATATGACTGGCAAACTCTATCCACTAAACTATATCCCTAGCCACAAGGGACTTTATTTATTTTGGAAAATTATTGTTAGGAATCCTAAGTCCTCCAATACTCAATTACCCACATTAAAAAAAAAAAAAAAAAAGTATAGCCAAAGGTTAAGGGGGAAAAAAGTAAAATGTATAAAGATAAGAATATATGCCAGGCGTGGTCAGTGGTGGTGCATGCCTGTCATCCCAGCACTCAGGGAGGCAGAGGCAGTCCAATCTCTGTTAGTTCAAGGTCAGCCTGGTGTACAAAGCGAGTCTAGGACAGCCAAGGCTACACAGAGAAACCATATCTTGAAAAAACAAAAAACAAAAGGTAATTTAACTCATGAAATCATAATTAATTATCTATAGGATAATCTCTATGGATATTCTAGCTCTATTAACATAATTTTACAATTTGCTTAAAAAGGTTAAATCAGACTAGATCTTCCAAATAAAACCCAACACAGAGATAGGAGCAGCAGCCCATGCATGGAATTTATTGTGTGCTACTGTTTATAAAATACTTGAATAGTCCTGCACATGCATAATATTTCCAACTTAGACAGGAGACCGTACAGAGTGCACTTTCTAGCAAACAAAACAACAGATGGTTCCACTGCCTGGAGCTTTGAGCTGTATTCCAGGGCATGAGGGAAGCAGCCACCAAAGTAAAGGGAAATACCAAACTACAGTGGCAATCAGTACAAGTCAGTAACTGTGTAAAATTAGCACATGGTTCCATTTAGTTTAACCAAGCAGTTCTGTAACTATCAAAAGTAAAATTTCAACATGCAGTCTTGACTTTTATGCTTCCACTAACATTGCTTCTAGGCTGCATTACTTAGTCAGAAACATTTCCAGACATTTTAAATTTCCTTTGCATTTAAACATAAAAATGATAGAAAGCCAGCAGCAAATCACCCTCATGGTTGTTTTAAGCAACTGGAGTACTCACAATAAACTAAAATTTCTCATAACATCTATATAACCTATACATATTGTACCTGTACATCATAGGTCTATATATTAAATATTTGCAAAATGAAAACATGCATACACAAAATACGTCAAGTTTTACAGACATGATTTGAATTAAAATTTACTTTGACAATGTACAAACTTCTTTTAAAGTACCTTAAATGAGTAATTCTGTAAGTCTTCATAATTTTAAAATTTATTTAGTTTTTTTTTTTTCCCTTAAATCTCTGGGGCATAAATCTCAAAAGATATGGGCAAAAAAGATTCTAAATTGGTGTTTGGATTTGTGTTCAAGTAAGAGTCTTCTTAGAAATAGTTTATGGATTCATAATTGAAAAATACCAAGACTCTATTACAGAATTAGCCACATTTAAGAACTATAGACCTGAGGTCAGCTTTTTGTATAAACACCAACTGAGTTTCTCAGATTTTTGCCTACAATTGAAAATCGAGCTAGTAACCTCAGAAATGTATTTTAAGACCATGCTAATTCATCCTTTTAAAGACATTTCATGGGGCAGGGGAAGTCCACATTAACTCTAAAGGCTGCATTTAAAGTTATGGTTGGAAAAAAATCTAATTCTACTGAGGAAAAAAAGGAAATCTCATTTGTAAACGTAAATGTGTGAACCACTAGCATAAATGGAGGTGTAGATATCCTCCACTGGAAATTGCCCCAAGCCCCTTCCTCACTGCTCTCCACTGTGGCAGCAATTACCCAATCTTATTAGACAGCACATGTCCCAAGGCGCTCAAGCCTCCATCCAGGAAGGGAACACAATGGTTTCTTCAGAGACATTGTGATATTTATCATCAGCTCGGCCAACCCTTCCAGCTCCTTGGGTGATCTGTCCATTTGAGGACCGAGACCTGAGAGTCCCTGGGAAGTCGCTGGTCACTGGGCACTATGGTTGCCAGTCCCGTGGTTCTCAGTGGTATGTGCGGTGTTCAGGGAATTGAAACCATCTTGCTGTACAGCATCTTTCCGGGGTGGCATTCTCTCATTGATCCTATCCAAACCCTTTGCCTCTTCAAAACTGCAGATTCTATGTGGTGGGGAGAATCCTCGTATTGCTTAACAAAATGCAAATTTGATAAGTCAGTAATTGTAAAAACAATTCTGAGTTTTCAAAAACAATGAATTTTACAAAAAAATTACTGTAAATAGCAACACTTAAATTTTACTTAACTGAATTCTATCCCCATTTTAGTTCTACTTAAATATGAAACATTTTTAAATTTAAATAAAAAGATGAGAGCTTTACAGATGACAAAGTTAGCATAGTTTTGTTTGCTTCACTTAAAGTAAAGCAAAACAAAAACACTATCTTTCCCTGCCCACAAAAAAACAACCTATAGGCAATGGTCTCAAGGTATCTGTCTGCTTCTATTAAACCAGTTATCTCCTCTTACAAAACTGAGATCATAAGGTGACCATGAGGTAGCACAGAGGGGGATGAGTGAGGAAGCTAAATAAGAACAATCCTCAACACACAAACTTGGGAGGAGAAAGAAGTGAAGCAAAACTTAGCAGGTTAAAAACTACCTTGGAGGAATTATCATCCCAGCAATACCATTATAAAATAAAAAAGGTAGCAAATGACTCCCAAGTTAGAACTGTGTTTGGATGAGAAACAAAAAGTATTCATAGTTTCACATTTTATGACGTTTCCTTTCATTCTCTGGCCAATTACCACAAACTATATAAAATAAATGGCAATCCTTCTTGAGTATTAAGGGGTGTCTAGTTTAACTGTTTTGAGACAGGGCCTCACTACATAGCTCAGGCTGACCTTGGAATAATTATGGAGCTTAGCCTGGCCTCAAATTCATGATCCTCCTGATTCAACATCCCTAGTGCTCGGGTAGACATTCACCACCAAGCCAGGTGTACACCAATTTTTATGAATTCTCATTTATTTTGTCAGGAAGGATGCAAATTCCACTAATATAATGTTAATTAAAAAAAGATATCTATACAATTACTTACAGTTTAGCTGCTTAATATACTTAATCTCTAGGACTGCATATAAACTTGGAAAAAAAAACAAATGGCTATGGCCACTGAACAGACAGAAGTGTTTAATATCAAGCTAAGTCTTGATACATATGAATATAATCTTAACCATAAAACTACAGCCCAAACTGCAGGAAACAACAACAACAACAACAACAAATCATTAAACTAAACTGGGTAAAACACAAACTCTTGTGTTTATTTAGTGGGAATTTTACTTAGGAGAAAAAATAAGTAGCATAAAACATGGAAAATATGGACTAGGTCTCTACTAGCAGGGTTTAATAATGTCCATTAAAACAGGCAATATAATGTTAAAAGAAATCAGCAACAATAAACTCTGATTACAGTAGAAAAGAGAAAAGACACTATAGGCATCAGCTCTTGTGTTTAAATAAAAGAGGAATGTGACTGTTAAACTAGATGAGTCAGCCAGTATGATTCATCTGTGCAAGCTAGGAATAAGACACACCCACAGGACAGTCTCTGATGCCCACCCACAGACCACAGATCTCTGCCCGGTGCAAGGACTCTGATCGTACCTTTTTCAGCCTCAATAGCCTCAACTGTGGCTGTACAGAAGTGAGCAGAGGCATGCAAAATGAATGAGAGAGATGAGAAGGGTCATATTGTACAGCAGAAAAGGCAATGATCACTTAATATATCACAGTACCCCAAATCATCATTTACAATTCAACACAAACTGTACCCATATCAGCGAACCCCATCCAATCCCCCAATTCCTAACACAGCACAGCTTACACACAGCACTATGACATCAGAACACAGGACATACAGACCTACTGTAAAGACAGACACCTCAGCACCCATACAAATACACTCCAGTATTAACTACACATCTCGAAAAATCTTCACTGTTTTGACAGTGCTGGAATTTTCCATTGTTTGTTTTATCAGCAAACTATTATTACAGGAAAATCATGATAATAGCACTGCAGCAGAAAAGCAAACAAGAGAATCTTTTCTTTCACTTCTAATATTAATAACATTCATTACCACTTAGCTTCCTAAGACACAAAACAAGAAGGGGTCAGTAACAGTTTTCTGTCCCTTCAGATTTTCAATACAAAGCATAAGAAGCAAAATCTGGTACAACTATGATGAAATTTAGGGTCCCTAAATCTGTTGAATTAATCTAATTCTCAAGTTCTGTTCTTTAGGGAGAGCCTAAAAGGATCAATTTTCTATGTTTTGAGGGAAGCTGGCCTTGAACTCCAGATCAAGTGGTGATCATCTTGCACTAGCATTAGTAGCTGAGAAACTATGAGTGTATAAACACTACACCCTAGTCCCTACTCTAATATTGACTGTCCAACTATCTAAACAGCTGTAACATTGTTAAAATTCTATTTATATTCAGTTTATCATGATGATTTGCTTAGAAGCAAGATGCCTACATTTCTAGGTTAAGAAACAAAGTCTACTGGGCATCTTTTCAAACCCATGCACTAATCAGACAAGCGTTAAGGGATGGCACTAATGTCTTTCAGGCAATGAATTCTAATTATTGTATAATACAGGAACAATATATGGGTCATATAAGTAAAAATTTCTTGGTATAACTTGTACTGGCTCATTTAAAGAATTGAAGATTTAGTCATGCATTTTGTAGTTAAAGATGCCTTTTTGGGCAATGCAAAGTTGGTAGAGCATTTGCAGTTCTTGCAGAGATTTCAAGCTCGATTCTCAGCACCCACATGACATCTAACAATTGTCTATAATACCAGTCCCAGGAGATCTGACACCCTCTTCTGATCTCAGAGGATATCATGCATGCACATGGTACTGTACATATAGGTAGGCCAAATACCCATACAAATAAGATAACAAAATAATATTCAACAAAATGTAATGGTTACATGTTTGTTCATTTTGGGGTTTAAACTATGAAAAGTGCTGACAAAAGGAGACCAAGATCTAAAAATGCAAAGATTAATAGTACTTGCCTGACAATGTTACCCTTTCTACACCCAAAGTGTGTAATGCTCAGAATGTTACAAGAATGCCATATTCCTTTTGCTTTGCTTCTTCTACAATAAAGGTAATTACAATACTTATTTCTGAAATGTCTTTTTAAGAAAAAGTATGATTTAGAATTTATTTCACCCAAAAGTTATAGATGGAAGAGCCTTAGAAACTAAATTAGAAAATCTTGGTGATGTTAACCAGAACGTAAAATATTGGGGATCCAAAAGAAGTAAGATTATTATTGAATAAAGATTTAATTTTAATTGTTAAACCAAATTATTCCTCAGACATACACATTATATGCCCACTATACAACTTATTCTTGGAAAAAAAATGTAGCAGTGTTTATCTGAAAAGAATTCTACGGGACAAAAGATCATCTAACTGGGCAGGGTGGCCATGCCTTTAATCCCAGTACTCAGGCAAGTAGAACTCTGTGAGTTTTAGGCCAGCCAGGGCTACACAGTGACACCTTGTCTCACACAAAGAAAGAGAAGATATACAAACGGAATGAAAAAAAGATCCGTCTATATTTATCAGTCTTTAAACATTCATCATCAGCCCCTTCAGAATGTGAACATTTTCTTTATAAAGTTGAAGGAAGAAAAAACTCTTATCAGAATATGGTTTAAGACTCTGCGATAGAAGGGATTATATACGAAGCATTCTCCACTTGTATATGGTAATAAATTAAGACTAAAATTGATCTCATTAAGAGGATTAGCATCTAGTTAATTATACCAAAAGTTTAAAATTCTACTGATAAACTTTCTAAGCTATGAAACTTGACAGTAAGCTATATATAATACTCTGTCAAGTTGAAAGGCTTAGAACATGGAGGAGACTAGATAAACTCATCCCAGAAAGTTTCTCATGCCCTCAATGATTAGCTGAACACTAGTCAAATATTGAGGTCTGATAAGAGCAATTCACATTGAACATCTGAAACTTAAATAGTAAACTAGAAAGAAACATCTGGTAACTGTAGAATGTAATCTGAAAGCTACTATGGTGATTTTTCTTTATTAATTTTCAATTACATAGAACACAGTGCTAGTAAGTGTCAGTACAGTGCTGCCTTTAACTCTTATAGTCTTCAATACAACAAAGAACAAATGATCAACAGAAACTTGGCACTACTAAAATAGTAATGCATGTTTTCCCATATAGGTTGTGATGTGAATAGAATTGTAGGGCTAATTCCCAATCAAATTACCACGAGGGAAAAAAAAAATACAAAACTCCAAAGTCAAAGTCCAGTATAATTGTAGTTCTTAAAAAAAAACACAGCTCCCTCCACCTAAAAAAAAAATAACATAAATTAGCTTCAAAGATACTAAAAAGAAGCTGGTGTGGTGGTACTCCTGCCTTTAATCACAGCACTTAGGAGGCAGAGGCTGGTGAATCTGTATGAACTTGAGGGCAGCCTGGTCTACGACCTCCAGGCTAGGCAAGGCTACATCATAAAACCTTGTCTCAAAATACAAAGCAAAATAAAAATTTTTTTTAAATTATTGAAAAGTTAATTTCTATATTCTGAAAATATGCTTAAAGTCTCAGAATTAAATTTATTTTTGTAGTACCTCTTAGTCATAAACATTAACAGAGTTTATAGAAGCTTAAAACATTATGCTAGGGAAATAACTTCAACCGTAACATCAAGAGCTGTCCCTAGCAGAACTAGGGAGCTGTCCAGTTTCCCAAATTAGACCCCTTAAGCTCAGCTCCTTCCAGTAACTCACTCTATGCTGGGAACAGACAGTCCCTTCAGCAAAGCTGCTGTCTTTCAAACCTTCCCTGCAGCTGAGGGTGGTTTCCAAGTTGAAGGAATGAGCTTCAGGCTGCATGCAAATTAAGAATAAATAGAAGTACCAAGCTGTCAACAAAGCATGTAATTAGCAGGTGCTAACTGTGAAATCTGAAAGCACAGTTTGCCATGGATACAATATAAAACTAACAATATATCCAAGGATAACTGAGAGAGGACTGTGAAATACATTTGTTTAAATATGCTATCTTTTAATTTTGTTTTTGTTCTAAACAAAGGGTAAACTTTTCATTACTAGAATGATTCTTTACTAGTAACAATTTGTATAATTTGTATTGAATATTTAAGGTTTATTAATGTTTCAACTTACATTCATGAAGTTCTCTTTGGCTTTTAAAAATATTTGTAAATAAAAAAATGGAGGGCAAAAAATAAAGAAAATTGTAAGATATCTTTTAAATCCAAAAATAAGGAATGGATAGATGGAATATAGCTTAGAGAGTCAGTGATGTTCAAGGCTTTATATTCTCTGATCTCCAGCACCATGACCAAAAAATAAATAAATAAATAAATAGATAGATAGATAAATAAATAAAACAAAATCCAACTAAACAAAAAACCCTCATTCACCATGGGAATCTGAAATTACATGTTTCTATTCGATCTCAAAGCCACTACTGTACTTAGCTGGACTTATCGGTTGCACCAGTGGTAATAGCACACAATAGAGTAACATAAAATAGAACATATATAGGATAAAAATTATTTGTCTACCAAAAAATTATTTTAATTAAAAAGCATTTGTTTTGGAAGTGGGTAAAATGATATTATGAAGGAATTTCAAAATTTTTCAAATATTTAAACTGCTTTTTTTTTCACTTAAAAAATTTACTAATTACAACACCAAAAGGAAACTATATTATAAAGAACAGAGCTATCACTGCCTGTTTTAATAAAACAATGAGCTGTCAAAGTGGCTCTATGTATAGTTTTTTTCCACATCACAAACTGTTTTCTATCCATAAGGGAAAGAAATTGAGACTGTGCTACTGTGTATGTGCTTCAATAGTCACACCACTTTCTTCTATTTAATTTGTGATGGGCTTTCAAAGTTTACCCAGTACTTACACAGATACTTAAAAAACGATCAAGTTAGCTTTTTAAAAAACATAAAATATTCAACGAGCCAGATTACAGGAATGCTTTACGTATAATTTTTTTATTTTCATGCAAAATAAAGTCACACTTTATAACACCCTTTCAATTTTGACTTACATGATTTAAATTCAACCCTTTATAACAATAACTTAATATCTAACGTTACATTCATATTCAGAATGCACCAAGTGCAGCAAGAAATGCAGCAAACCCAAAATCAAGGTGCTACAGAGCTGCTTCTACATCAAAAGACAGACAAGCGTCTGATAGAGTAATTTAATTGAACATATATTTACAGACATACAGCTACTCTAAAGAAAGACAGACAGATTTAGGAAAGCAGCTATATCTGCAGAGGAAAGAAACAGCATGTTACAGACAGTCAATTATACATAGAACATTTGACAAACACCACAGAAAACAAACTAACCATTTACCAGGGTACAAAACTTGGCATAAATCTTTTGGCAAATGAAGTGCATAAAGGAAATTTTTGGGCCTAGCAGAATTTTAACCCAAAATTTAAATATTTGAAAATATAAGCATAATCTAATACAATTATATAAATTTTAAAAGAAACTTGGAATTACATTTCCATTTTAGTAATATGTATATCCCTGATTCACATTCTTAACTGAGGCTTTTAAAAGAAGAGGGTGCATTAGACAAATAAATATTTCATAATTATGACATGGGTTGCTCCCATACCACTTTAAGAAAAGATGAGGAACTGACCATTATTTTAAGAGACAAAATGTTCTCTCAACATTACTTCCTGGTCAGGTACTAATCAGATACTGCCTACCACACAATACCCTCCTTATGTCAGCTGCTAAGACAGGAACTAAAAAGCAGAAGGAGTTCCCTGCATGCATTATGTGTATTGTTAGCAAAAGAGTGAGGTGTGCCCCAGTCCATCTGAGGCACAGCAAGTTGCATAACATCATTACCACTTTGCAAGGTCTGCCGTCCTCCAGCCAACACTCCACTAGGCAACATCCCTGTGGGAGTCAGGCCCTTGAGTGTCAGCACGCTTTCACTCTCCTCCCTACAGCAGAAAAATGTAACAAGTATCAGAAGGGTTAGTAGCTCAGATATACAACATTTGCCTAGCAGGGCACTTGATCCTCAAAACTGCAAAAAGCAAACTGAACAAAATAAAAATCTATCAATAAGTACATCCTTTAAAAGAGGAGCTAGGGCCCAGATATAGGCCATGTATATAATTTATTATATTCATTGCTATTACCATATTTCCCTTAATTCCAAGGTACTTAATTTCCCATATTTTAAATGTTTCATTTTGGGGGATAGACACATTACAATTGAAGTTTTCCTAAAACCTCCTCTTCCTGGATGAGTTTTAAGCAAGCCCTGAAAGATAAACTGTACTCTAGCAAAACAAACATTCTATGTGGATAAGAAAAGTCACCAGGAATCTTATCCTGGTCTGATTTTTTGTTTGTTTCTTTTGTTTTTTGCAAAAGGGTTTCTCTGTGTAGACCAGGCTGGCCTGGAACGCACATCGATCTGCCTGTCTCTGCCTCCCTGAGTGCTGGAATTAAAGGCATGCACCACCATACCCAGCTTTTTTAAGGTGTATATTCAGTGCTTTCATTGCAAGAACAAGATAAACCTCTGCAGCAGGTTTCTGTTCTTAGTATGTCTTAAGTCCTGGGTTTGATTCCGGCAGCACAATATAAAACAAAAGCAAGCAAACAAAACTTCACCAGCTTTAAGGAACTTCTACTCCTTCAACAGTACATAAACTTAGAACTAGTTTTAATATAGAAAGAAAAACAGTTGCTTTTGGGTATCAACCAGAACAATGCTCATAAGTTACAGTGAAACAATTTCTATAAACAAGCAGGAAAATGTATCAGTACCTGAGAACAGAGAAGACTCTTGCCATCTTGCCAATTGCTCGGATTTTGTTTCTTATGATTTCTTTCCGGGCTGCAGCTGAACCTACTTTGAATGGAATAAACAGGAAAAAAAAAAAAAGGCTCAAGTTTAGGGCACTCAAGCATTATTCTATTATTCCACTAGCCTATTCTAGATTCATCTAAATCAATGCCAGGTCTCCTGCTACTAGATCACATGGAGGAGACTAGATAAACTCATGCCAGAAAGTTTCTCACACCCTCAATGATTAGCTGAACACTAGTCAAATACTGAGGTCTGATAAGAACAATGCAAACTTTAATTATCTCACAGTACTGACTAATCAGGAAAGGAGTAAAGAGGGGACTTGGATTATAAACCAGAAGTCAATAAACTAGAAACAAGCCTATAGTTTTAATCTTCATGGGAGCCTATGGCATGCAGATTAAAACAAATGGAAGACTTCTGTTTAACTATCATAAAAGCTTTTAACATGCACACTAGAAATATCTCATATATTATAAAAGAGTAAGCTTATTTGCTCTAAATTAATCTACAAATAATGTACAAAGGGTAACGATAATTACAAAGGTGATCCCAAGTAGGGACTATAAGCGGTATTTGAGCAACAGTAACTACCTCTCAACTTCATGAACTAGCTGTCCTCTAAAGTCATGCAAGTATATATAAGCTCTAATAACCAAAGGCAAATATGAAATAAACAGTAAGAGACTCCTGTGAAAAGCTGGCTAAAGAATGCACCAAAAGAACTAGCTCCTCAGCTGGACAAAGACTCAAAAGGATCACTCTTCCTTATGCTGGTCTCCAGCAAGAACAACAATCTCAGTCCTGTTACACATATATAGCAACTAGAGTTCCTCTGGACCACAGTGTGTTTCTTTACACCTGTGCTTCACCATGATGAAAACACACATATGGAAGCACCATTGCTGAGGAGAAGGTGAAGGAAAGGCTGAGATGCTAAAGCAAACTAGGCCGTAGGTATGCAGAGATCTGAACAATCAAGTTTTGCAGGTGAAAGCACTTCATTTAAAATTCAAGCCCACTACAAATACATATAACTAAAAACTAAAATGATGACTACAACTAACTAAATGAAAAACAAAAAAAAAAAAAAAAAAGTCCAGTGTCAACGATGTATTTAGAGGGCAGGGCTCCAATTAACTTATTTGTTATTCTAAGTAATAAATATGAAGAGCACTGAAGCTCCAACCTCAAAACTATGTGGCCATTACAGCATCAAAAGGTGTTCTTCAGATTAACTAAAAAGGTTAAGTACCAAAGAATATCAGAATCTGAAGACACACTGGAGGTATTTCCTGATTTTGCAGACAAAAAACAAAACAAGCAAAAAAACCCCGAGTTCATTAAATGACTTTTCCAAAGATACAAAGTCTGATTTCCTTCTAACAAATTAATACAGATTTTATTTTTAAATTGCTAGAAATTTTAAAATAATATGATTTGCATAAGCAGTAGTAGGTTGAGAAGGATTGCTATAACAATACACAATTGTATTTTCAACCTTAATTTATATATTTGTAAAACCAAATGATATAAAAACTATACTGAATTTAAATAAAAAATTTAAGAAACATAAACACACTGTACAAATCAGAATTTAAAATCAGTCTACAAACACATCATGCATCATATTAAAGTAAATGTCCAATTTAAAAGTACTTTGGGGAATAAGACAGACAATCAAACACCCCTAATCATGCAGGGAAAAGTACAAAACATTACAAATAAGGAAAGAATGAAAATTGAAAACAAGAGGAATGAAAAGAGGGAAAACTATTTCCATGCACAGAAAGACAGATGTCTTGGAATATGACTTCTAAAACATCAAATACTAACTCAGGTAAGAGTCAGGCTAAATTTGTACAAGGCCCCAAAAGACCCTCAAAACATTAGTCAATGAATGTGCCAACTTACATGGACATGAGGTAACTTATGAAGTCATATTTCAAAACAATGTTACTCTGTCTGGTCTGTACCTTTTTTATTGCCATATATGAGTCGTTCTTCAGATGGAGAGTCCAGAAAAAAGGAAGTGAATGATGGAGAAAAGGTGGTTGAGACAAATAAAAAGATAGAGATTTAACTTGGCAGTGGTACTGAAGAATGAATGTAGAAAGAGAGAAAAAAATGAAGGTCCTTACATTTGAAAATTTGAAAAACGTAGTACTGTAGAATTTGGTGAATAAAAGACAGATGCTGCAGGGTAGAGCTTTAATGCAAAGATTTCTTAAAAGATATGTGTTCAGAGAGAAATTATGAATAGAATGATTATAATTTTTGATGAAAGTAGACATAATTAGGAACAAAAAACACATACGAAAACACGTAAGACCAATAAAAGACTGTGCTAACAATCACACATTTATAGTCATAATCCTAAGGAAATATGCCACCCATAAAAGTATGTAAAGTGAAAAGCAATGACACAAAGTACACAAAGGAAAACTCATGTGGTTCTTCAAGGACACCAACATATGCAAAGTCTGTATCATATACAGAAAATGTAGGTAACTTTCCTCAGTGGAAAGTATCACCCACTCCCAATAAGGAAAAAGCTGAGACTCCCACACTCCACAACAAGATGACATGATTTCTTAAATCTGAATTGTAGAATGTTTGCATATATTCAAAACAAACAATGTGCTGTTTGTTCCCAATCCAATCTGGGAGACTGAGGAACATCTTTTTGCAAAAATAGCAACAGATTGCCTCAAAGTAAGTAAGTAGGTAGTAGCTTTAAAAGTAGGCAGTAGAGGTAGTTTGAGTTTTTCAGATCTTGCATTCTAATGCTAAGATACATGACTGCATAATAGGAACTACAGAGTTTAATTTAATAATACTGTAACATAGAGTCTGCATTTCTTTTACCAAACAGAAGACAAAAGATAAATATCTGAAAGAACTGTATGCATCCTAAAATTATAGAAAATAGTGTTCAAAAATTCTTCCATCATTAACACCTCTAAAAAGGACGCTATACATTTTTATATGCAATATTTATGAAAATTTAACTTGGAAAAAAAAAGAAACAAACCATACAAGAGAGAACCAAGGAGCCATCAATAAGAGTCTTAATCCACTTTAACAAATCTCAAAAGTGAAAATATAAAAACTACTGTTTCCTGCTACTGGAAAATCTCTAATCTTGTTTTCTCCCTTTCTCTGAAGAAAAACTGAACCTTCATTTTACCTCCATAGCAAACCCCATTCTATCAAGTTTTCTTTCTAAATTCAGTTTCTTCCCAGATCCATAGGATGGCTTCACTATGGTGCAGAAAAAGAGAAAGAGAGAAACCATGCCATCATGACAAAAGGAAAGGAGACAAAAGGGACAGAGAAGGGTTGAGTAAAAGGAAGGGATCAAACAAGGAAGCATGGGGGTGGTGGGCTTCCAGCAGTTCTATTCTGAAGCTTATGCTGAATTTTAGTGTCTATCCTAACACCCTCCACCTTCCTCCATTTTTTCAGTGCTTTCTCTCCCAAATTACTCCCATTCCCTAAGAAAATTCCTTGACTCATATTTTTTTATCGATTTTAGAATTTCTGATATTAATAGATGGGTTAATGAAAGCGTAAAAAAATAGGAAGAATAAATGCACCTGTGATGCTGAAAATGAAGGGAGATCTATTTCTAAAATGCAAAACAAAACTTAAGTGTATTTTTCCACAGAAATACTGTCATAAATGGTGCAAAAAATTATTAAAAGTTACTTGAGAATAAAATGTCATCTTTTCTGTTCTCTCAATTTATAAATGAGAAGATCCTAAGAAGTTGGGTGCTTTCCCAAGACTAAATAGCTATGAATGAAAGTGAAAGGTTCTACTAAACCATTATCTTTTTCATCAAGTGATACTGCCCCTTTAATGATGAAATTTAATTTATCATTTATCCCTGGAATGTAAGAATAATACAACAAATAAACTGAAATAAATAATTTGTATGGTATTGATGGGAAAAACACAACCAGTTGGGCATAGTGGCACACGCCCTTAATCCCAGCGCTCTGGTAGGCAGAGGTAGGCAGATATCTGTGAGTTCCAGGCCAGCCTGGTCTACAAAGTGAGTCCAGGACAGCCAAGGTTACACAGAGAAACCCTGTCTCGTAAAAACAAACAGAAAAACCACAGGTAACTACAACGTCTTTAAAAGAAATATATATTCTAATACTTCTATGTTTTAGGCAGGTGATAAAGTATGGGTTCTTTTCCTAGCTTGTTTTGAACAATTAATAAAACCTCGTTTATTCCTTGTGAAATCTTTAAAACCGATCATATTTATCTTCATATAAACTACAAGTAACTAAACCAAGTACTGTTAGCCTTAACTATAAAACGTTTTTCCTTTTTATTACAAGAAAAGAACGTACTACCACACCTACTTAATACGCTATTGGCAATACTGATAAAACATTGAAAGAATAAAATGGCAAGTTAGAAATACTACCAGCCTAATGCAAATGACTATTTTCAGAAGTTATGTATATACTAAAAAAATTAAATTACCACATGAAAAAAATTCTACTTATCTTACTGGATATAAAACAAACTTATAAAAATAACAAATTCTGAATACAGAAAAAGAAGATGTTAAGAATAACAACTGAGTTGTGGTGAAAATGAAAAGAAAATACTGGCTTCAATTTAACTTTGTAAGAGTTTAAAAAAAATCTAATTCTAACTGGATAATTATAAATTCAGTGGAGTAAATTTCAGTAAATGGACTAATTATATAGAGTAAGAGATCTTTACTTTGAAAGCTTAATATTTTTAAAGATACTAGATTCAAATATAGCTAACATAAACCAACTGAAATACCCACTGAATATTTCTCAGAATGTGACAAACTGTCAGAAAACTTTAACTGAAAAACATACATGGCATGTGCCAAGAGTTATTTCAGTCACCATGTCAATATTATCTCAGTATGGGTGACATGAATAGTTCTTATCATCCTCAAATTAATAAGGGAAATATAAGTCCAAACAGTTAAATAGTCTAACACCTCAGAGCCATTTATAAAAAAGAATCTGAACGTAGATCTTTTCTTAGAACACTGAGAGTGAAATTGGTAGAATAACAAATTTTAAGGAAAATAAAAAGCTATATATGATGAAATATTGTAAAATAGAAACTCATGAGAAAAGTGTTTATTATCCAAATCAAAAAAATTGACATAAATTTGCTTTTAAGTTATTTTTTTTTTCCAGAGCTGAGGACTGAACCCAGACCCTTGCGCTTGACCACTGAGCTAAATCCCCAACCCCTGCTTTTAAGTTATTAATAAAGGCACAGTAAATAAAAGCATTAGCTCTGCCTGCCACCAGTACATGGCAATAGCTACTTCTGTTTTGTTTTGTGGTTTTGTTTTGAAGACAGTTTCTCTGAGGCCCTGGTTGTCCTGGAACTCAGTAGACCAGGCTAGCCTCAAACTCATGAGACCCGTGTACCTCTGTCCCAAGTGCTGGGATCAAAGGTGTGTGCCACCACCACCTGCACACCCTGCAGCACCTGTATTTTCAACAAATGGGTTTAGAATCTAACTTGAGTCAGACCATGGTTATAACACATACCTGATACCCCAGCACTGAGGAGACAGGTAGGTATGCCATAGTTTCAGTCCATCCTGGGTTACAGATTGAGACCTGCCTCAAAATAATAGGGAGGAGGGCTGGAGCTATACCTAAGTTGGGAGAGGGCTTGCCTAACTTGCAAAAAGCCTTAGGTTCAATTCCCACGGCATGGCTACATTATCAATAATCCAGCCCAGCAAGGAAAAAAAAGAAGGCTGAAGCAAGACGATCAGTATTTCAATCTCAGCCTGGGCTACATAGCAAGATTCTGTCTCAAGAACACAATAGAAAGATCTGATATGATGGCTCATGCCTATAATCCCAGTGACTAGGATATAGAGGTTTGGAGTTCGGGATCATCAGCTACAGGATGAGTTTTGAAGCCAGACTAAAGTATGTAAGACCCAGTCTGGGGGAAAAAAAAAAGAAAAAAGAGTGGTGGTGATGGGGAGTGTATGTGGGAAAGAGAAAAAAAGGCACTCTATCTCCCTATTAAATCTTACTAATACATAGATTATAATTGGTAAAGAATCTGAATGCTGACTACCATGCAAGTGTAATACACTACAGAAATTATACACAAAAAATAAGGACTGTAAGTTTTCGGCATTTAAGTAATTTTATCTTTTTATTTTACTCTGTTAAAATTTAAGAATCTTTAATTTTTTTAAGTAAAAATTTCAAAACATAAAACGAAACAGTTTTTTAATGGTATTTCTTTATAAACGTACATTAGGTTCACAAGTTTGTTGGCTTATACAAGAGCTAACCTTTTTTCTATGAAAAAGAAAAACTTCCAAAATCTTTAGCAAATTGGCAAGTGATCTTTTGGAGCATAACCACACTAGGATGAGAACAACCTAAATTGATAAAAAAGTGAATACAATACTGGGAACTTCAAAGATGTTTTTGATGTACTAGGAACACAGTACTAAATGCCCTCTTCAAAGAGTAACCTCCATATTTATTCATCAAGAACCACATCCTTTCAACAACTCTCCATTTTCTTGTTTCTGTTTTCTTCCAAACTTCCCCTTTCCTAAACTCTCACACCACTACAAAAAAAAAAAAAAGCACACAAAAGTTATTTTCAAAACTTAAAATATATGTGTGTATGCGAGTGAATTCTCACTTATCAAATACCACAGCCACAGAAAAACAATGGCTTTTTTTTTTTTTACATAGCATAGGTATGTAGGTAAAGAGCTATCATTTAACAATAAAAATAATAAGATGAGCATTCATACCATCAAACTGGTCTTCACCTTCTGTCATCAGTTCATCATCAGAGCAGATACTCAGAACATTTACCAACATTTCTGTCACTATTCAAAAAAAAAAAAAGTGATGTTAGATGCCTACATATAACTGCCCACATACATACAAAGCAATAATTTAATAGGACATCTTGTGATAGCAGGAATGACAGAATTTTAAAAACTAAAAAAACTTTAAAATGAAAGCAATTTAACAGATAAGAACTCTGAGAAACTGGAATTCAGAGACATCAAAGATCTGCTAAAAAAATATGAATTACAATAAATAACAGCTGAAATTATTAACTATATTATAAATTATAAACCATCTTAAGAAGTGACAAAAACTATAAAATGGTCTCATAGGTAAATGAGGCCCAAAAATAAATATTCACAGTTAAGGTCAATTTTTTTACGTGGATGTCAAAATAATTTAGCAGACACAGAAAACACTTAGGAAAAAAAGGTAAATCTTTATAGATTAGGTAGTTCTTAAAGAGTTCAAGGAAATTTCATCAAAATCATAAACTTCTGATTGGCAAGTGCCAATGTTGTACTCATAACACTGAAGCATGTTGGGGACACCTATGTGCTGCAGCCACGGCACTTGTGTGGAGATTGGAGGGAACTTTGGGGACCTGGTTCTCTTCCTCCCACTGTGGGTTTGGGGAATAAAGCTCCATGGTTAGGCTTTCATGGCAAGTACTTCTACCTGGCTGGAGACATCTTGCTGACAGAGTGCTAAGCTTTTGAGATTTACTTTCTTATAATTTAGAGAAGATCCACAGAAAAAAACAAAAATGTTCGTAAATTTTTAATATTTCTACACCTTATAAGAGACTGTTGTTTTTTGTTGGAGACAGGGAACGCTTAGAAGCCAAAGAAGTTGGTTCCGCCCTGGAGCTCCAGCTGCCAAGTGATTGTGAGCCACCTGACAGAGGTGCTGGGACCTGAAGTGAGGTCCTATGGAAAAACAGTTCATGCTCTTAATTTTTATGAGTCATCTCTCCAGTCCCAGAGGACAGAGTCCTGTTATGTAACCCAAGCTGGTCTCAAACTAGTAATCCTCCTGCCTTAACCCCCTTCTTCCCACTGCTAGGCTTATAAGAATGTTCTATCACCGATGCACAGATGTAGCCCATTACAGCTCAGGCTCCAAGTGGGTTCCCTAGCAAGGGGAACAGGGACTGTCTCTGACATGAACTCAGTGGCTGGCTCTTTGATCACCTCCCCCTGAGGAGGGGGTAGTGAGCAGCCTTACCAGGCCACAGAGGAAGACAATGCAGCCAGTCCTGATGAGACCTGATAGGCTAGGGTCAGATGGAAGGGGAGGAGGACCTCCCTTATCAGTAGACTTGGGAAGGATATGGAAGGAAAAAGAGGGAGGGCAGAATTGGGAGGGGACGAGGGGGCTACAGCTGGGACACAAAATGAATAAATTAAAATAAATTAATTAAAAAAGATATATGCAAAGGACCTACAAAAAAAAAAAAAAAACTCTGTCATACCCAGCTCAACTTTTCCAAATCTTTTAAAACTATATAATGCATTAGGATAGCAAAAGAACTACTGATGTCTGGCAAGACGGCTCAGTGGGTAAGGATGCTTGCTGCCAAGCCTGGTGACCAAAGTTCTATGCCAGAGAACAAGATGGAAGAAGAAAAATGACTCTCACAAGTTATCCTTTGGCCTTCACATGTGTGCCATCACAGAAGTATGCTGACATATACATGCACACACTGTAAGTAAATGTAATTTTAAAAAAATTAATAAAAAATAACTAAAGATCATCTGAGAGCAATCAAAAGTAGGAATATCAATGGAAGTCCACTGTTCTTCATTTGTAGTAAACAAACAGAAGTCAGTTTAAATTTTCTGATCTCTCAACAAGAAGTAGACAATTACTAAATTTACTTATGAGCTGTGATCTCTTTGTTTAAACATAGCAAAAACATTAGAGACTATGAAATAGTACAGGGACTTGTAAGATAACTAAATAGGAATCTATGATATAACCATTTTTCTCTTTCATTTATCCTCCTGATCCCCATACTCCACCCCCACGATCTAATATTAAAGTAGCTGAGCTGCAGTCTAGCCTAGAGACAACACAGTGAGATAAATTCTTATATTCCCTTTAGCTTGATGATGCTATGCTTGAACTATTTCTCATATCCCAAAGATAGAAGGTTCTAAGTGTAACGCATCCCTTCTACCTAAGCCCCTAACTAGTTCTCTTCTCAAATGCTAAGATGGGTAATTCTATCTCCATATAAACTTAACATCAGACCTACTGAGTAAATGAAGAGTAAAGGCAATCTGCTCAAATTCTAACAATACAGTGTAATTATTAATTCTGAATTTTAGAACAAAAATTGTCCTGACAGAGGTGACATATTTTATGACATGGAAGGGGTTATGAAAAAATAGAGGGGATATAGAACAAATTTTTTTATAATTATACCTGTATTCTCACATTGTCAATTTGCCACAAATGAAATCTGATACACTTTTTAAAAAGAAAGAAGAATGAACACTAACGTGGAAAAAAAGGCAACAAAATCCTAAGAATTCTATACAATTAGGAAAAAAATTCTTAAATAGCATTTATTCTCTCTTTAAAAGCCTAATGGTTACTTCTCAAAGGTAAAGGTTCTAATGGTTATTTCTCAACATTTGTCAGAAAGCATTACTAAAAATATGTGTGTATTTTTTGATATAGGAGAATATTAGGTTAGATAGAACCTGGATTTCTCTACTCCTTTTAGAATACAGATGCAGTACAAAACAACTAATGCTGCCAAAATGATGGCAACAAAATTCTCCCATAAACTGGTGTGAAATCTTCACAAATGGTGTTAGAATATAGAAGCGTCCGTTCCAAAGCAAAGCTAACCCTCTATAAAAGATTTAGGCTTAAAACAAAATGAAAGAAAACCCAACAGCTGAAGACAACATCAAGCTATTTATAAATCCTCTACCAGTCCTCCAGACATCCTCACATGGGGGCTGTAAACATTGAACCAAAATATCTTTGAGGCTGTCATATCCACATCCACAGACACAAGTAGAGCTGTAAGCACAGTGAAACCAGGTTTCAGTTTCCTCTAGCAAGTACGTGTCTATGACAGTAAACTGGAGCAAGTGTAAAAGAAGTAATTATTTTGTAAAACACAACAACAAAACATACCTTTTTCTCCAACAAATGGTAAAGACCATGTGAAGACATCCATAAAATTGGGCAGCCAGTAAGGATGTGGAGAACAATTAAACTGTCGAATATTCATTACATTATTTTCATATTTTAGTACAGCAGCTGCAAAGTACGTTAAACACCAATATAAGCAAACTACTTTGAGCCTGAAGAGCATCAAATCCGTAAAATACAGCATCTTTTTAAGAGGGAGGGAGAATTTGGGCTAGTAGAACTAGTAGAATTTGGGCTTGGTAGTAGGAGATAGGAATGAATTCTTTTTCAATAACACACATTATTATTCTTTTAGACAGGAGTTCAATGCATAGTCCTGGTTGGCCTATAACTTACTATGAAGACCAGGTCATGCTCAAACTCACAGACATCTGCTTGCCTCTGCCTACTGAGATTAAAAGTGTGCGTGTGCCACCATGGCCCAATTTAAAATATAAAATGTTTACTCATTATTAATAACATTTTCCGATTCTTTCCAGAATGCTTACTTTCCTTTATAATCCAACAACAAACATGCACTTTTACTAAATGCAATATTGTGAAAATCAACTTTTAAGGAAAATTACAGAATGGCAATAGGCAATTTTTTTTTTTTCAATCTCACATAGTTGAGGAATTAAAGAAGATCCTTTAAACTCCAGGCAACCTAATAAGAACAGCTAAATTCAATAAAGCAATCAAATAAAAAACCCACCAATTTAGAGATTTGAGTATACAAATATGTTCCTTTTACTTAGTATATGAAAACAGATGAAACTATTTCAAAGAAATATTTTACATCATTTAGGAAAAAAAAAATATCTAAAAATAACCAGAAGAGAAAGAGTATAGCTAAATAATCTAAAGATACATATTCATCTCAATTTTAGATCTTTCTAATGTCCCAATACAACTATATGACCATTATCTCCTTAGGTTAAATGGAACCAAAATGTCCTCCCTGTCTATTTCAGAAGTTTAGGATCAGAGAATGTGTTCCATATAAAACAAAGAAAGTGTAAACTATTTTATAAATATACTGTGATTTTTTTTTTCAACTCAGAAATATGGATTTACTCTGGCTTATCATTTCTGAGATTTCAGATCATGACTGATTTGCCTAGTGCTTTGGATCTCAGAAGGAACACTAGCATATCATGGTGGGAAGTATGGCTATAGAGGCCTATTCATTTTATGATCAGATGAATTATCCTATTCTCCCTTTTATTTTGATGAAAAGCACTGAAATGGAAATGCTAAATCCAACATTTGAAATTCCAGTTAGCATAGAACCAAAGCAACCCTGCTCTGTTTTACCATTTACTACTAACTCATGGGTATGCTTCTGCCCCCTCATACAACTCACATGTAAAAACATCTTAAGGGTAGGCTCAAAAATTACAGGCTGATACCAACCTTTCAGAATTTTTATTTAAAGGAGAAAAGAGAAAAATAAGAAATCTAGAAAACTGCCTTATGGGTGGGAATGAAAGATCACAAATAAGCCCACTATCAATCATTAATACCACACTCAAATCATTAACATCATTTATACACAAATCAAAACTACTGAGACATTTGGTTCTGACAGAGAAGATTCAGTGGTTTGAGTTTCAGTTTTAAAAATTAAAACCTGATTTCCTTAGACTCCGACATCAAAATGAAAAGGATAAGCAGTAAGGCAGCAATCAACTGAACAATGACTACTCGCCACTTTTTACATTAAGAGAAAACACAGCTAAAGAGTTAGGATACTGGCAGACAGATGTAACAATCAATTCTGTTCTTGATAAACTAAGAAATGCTACTTTTCAAAAATGAAGCCATATTTATTAGGTAGCTATAATATCCTTATAGCATATTCTGTATCAAAATTGTCTAGTATGCTGCTTATTCCCAGATAAAGATTTTAATCTTCTGTCATCTACCATCATCAAAAACTCTTTTCCTCTTTTAGCAATGACCTCATTATCTTTCTAAATGTACTTTTAAACGCCTTTAACTTTCTTTTTTTTTTTCTCTTGGCACATCTAATCTAGTCTGACCCTAAAGCTATGATAATCAACTGAATTCTAGACATGTCGAGACAGAATAGAAGCTGGCCTCTCAATTTCTTCCTCTCATGATGTGAAATACGTAAAAGCTCATGTCATCTTCCATGTCCCTGAAACATATTTAACTAGATTACGACCCTGAAGCATTCTCAATCAATAAGTTATGTTCAGAATAAAATGAAATCCAATCTTTACAGTCAGATCAAATTAGGAGCAAATAAGGGGAAATGGATGCCTAGAATAGGAGGTAAAGAAGAGGGTATAAAAAAATGGTTAAAAGCCAATAAAAGAAGGGTTCTCTCTAAAAGTAGAACAAAGGGGATTTAAAAAAATAAAAATAAAAAAGCTCAAGTCTTGGAGAAATAATTCAAGACTACTGAAAGGAAAAAAATTTATATATATATATATATATATATATATATATATATGAAAACCTGTACTTGTGAATGTAGAACATGATAAAGTAAGTAAGTTAACACTGGAAATAGACAAAATGGTGATAGAAGCAACTTTACACAGACATGAAAACATTCTCTCAGATATAAGGAAAGATTTAAGAGAGGGAGTTTAAGAAAAATCATACGTAGTTATACTTAACTCAAAATCATCTGTAGTTATGCTTAACTTAGAGCACTTTTTAAAATGGCTTTATAAGCAACAAGTTGTAATGCAGGCTGCACACAACTTGACTGCACATTTTGGATTTTATTTCTTTTTCTCTCCCCTCCCTTATATCTTGGCTTTTTTTTTTTTTTTAATGAGATCTAGACCATTTCAAATAATCCTCCTTATTATTTTAAAGTAAATTAAAAGGCTAAGTTGTCTATACAGTTTTTTTTTTTTAATCAACAACATCTTACCTTTATTATTGTAGACATCTAAGTAATTAGGTGCCGAAAAAATTGTTATTAATGAAGGAAACCCTGTAGTTTGACTTTTTCTGTACATTCTATAGCTGCAAAACAAATAGCTTAATATGCATCGTAAAGCATCAATCATGATTACTAAGTTTGATTTGTAATCAAGTGTAATTTTGGTCAGGGAAACAGAATTCTTACCCTGCATCTTGAGCTTCATGAGCTCTAATTATCGATAACAAATTATTGTTTTGCAAAAATTCACACACTGCTGGATAGCTGTAGGAGAAAAAGAATAAATTAAGTAAAAATTCATATAAAGCATCAACTGTTAAAATGTGATTAATCTTGTTTGTCCTTACTTATAAAAATAAGAACATCCTCGAACTGTATTATGACTAAAATGTTCTTGTGATTTTTCATTTCCAAAGTCTTCAGAAGGATCAGACCATAGCAAGTCACACATTGGTCCAAAAGCAGGTGGCTCTTTAAATCTATCTAACTGTGAAATAAAAGACACAAAGAAATAATTCATCAGCTGAAGACAGAATGCATGTAAGAAAGTGATACCAACTTTGAATACAGTCTATACTACATTGTTCTAAATGATCAGGAGGTATTTCCTTGAAGTCAGTCTATTAATGAGTATATTAATTTTTATCATTATCTATTCTTACCAGTGAAAATAAATTTGATGCTCTTAAAAACTTCTAAGGAAAATACCATAAATTGGAAACAAGTTCAGAAGTCAGTTATACTCACTCTCCTAATATCATCCAGTGTGTGTATTTCTGGTGAAAGTCCACCATGAACACAAAGAAATTGTTGGTTTAGAAGTGCAGCAAGGGGCAAGCTGTCAAAAGCTTCCATACAAGCTTCATAGACTCTTTCTGAATATTTAATTTTACCTAGAAAAAAAAATAATCAGTATTTGAAAATTCTTATTTTAAATGTGTTTTCATACTAATTTAGGTGTGAATATATGTGTGCTCACATGAACATATAGCATATATGTGAAGATCAAAGAAGAACTTACAAGATTCAATTTTCTCCTTCAACAACATTGGTTTGGACTATCAAACTCAGATTATAAGGCATGGTGGCAAGTGTCTTTATCTGCTAAAGCATCTCATAGGCCAAGTTACAATATTGGATTGTTATTTCTCATTCTCTTCATAATATTTTATAGCTTTTTAAAGTGAAGTGAGTTTTGAACAGCCAGTTTCAATTATTAAAGGGAAATGTTCTAAGCGACTTCTAAAGCCATAGCAAGGAAACTATAACAGAGAAAACACCCACGTGATAGTCATAAGTAGAGACTGGGTGAAAAAGCAAAAACAACAAAAAATAAAACAAAACAAAAAACCCACAGCAAAAGTGAATTTATGGACACAAGGAAACTTCCGTATCATGAATATGGTGATGGCCACTACTATACAATTGTTAAAATTCACAGAAATACAACATTACAAAGAATGAAGTTTACTGTACATAGAACCTTTAAAAAGCCTCTCCATTGTAAGATTCAACAGAAATATGCAAGATGAATATTTGCTCTCTCTCTCTCTAAATTTATTTTGGATATGTAGTAGACAGTCATAAAATATCAAAAATAAGTAAATGAAATCTCTAAAAACCAGTTCAACTTTGAACTTCAATAGGCCTAATAAAGAAAAATTAAAACTGTACTTTGAGATTAAATTCTTAACAATTTAACACTAATTCTTAAAATTTAACACTAATTTAATCCTAAAACTATTATTATACCCAAACCACTATATTGTCACAATAAAATTCAAAATTCACCCACTGAAAAAACTATAGTAACAGGTTCCTCTTATTTAAAATGAAGGCTTAAAATGAGCAGTGAAGCAGGAAGACAATACTGAAAAACTTGAAAGACAAAACTCTATCAACTCAAACTGTCATTTACTTTTTAAAAAATACTCACATTCCTCAATTCAATACTTTTATTAAATTCCTGTTTTAAGTGACATCTGGAAATTTTATATCATCTAATTAAAAAAGGCTAAGTTCTTTTTAATTTTTTAATTATTTCAATATTTATTTCTGACTTCAAGATAGAGATCTCTATCCTACCCACAGGGTGTCTTGGTTGAATACTATGGAGGTCCTACAGTCTCTTTCTGGATCTAAATGTGGAGAAATATGCACGTGCATGGAGGTAGGAAGGATGATTACACCATAATCTTTGGTTAACAAACATTAAAAAAAAAAAAAAATTCTGGGGCTAGAGACATGCTCAGCAATTAAGAGCACTTCTTGCTCTTCCAAAAGACTATACTTGAGTTTCAGCACCCACATCAGGTGGCTCACAACAGCCTGAAACTATTCCAGTTTGTGAAGCCTCTGGTCTTTACAGGCACTAACACTCACCAGCTCCCACATAGACACATACCCATAAACATAGCTATAAATAAATCTAAAAAAGAATTAAAAAAAAAAAAGATTCCTATACATCTAGCAACCAGGGTATCTTAACTGATAAGACAGTTGACAGACCAATTGTTTAGTAATGTGGTTTAATAAAAATTTTAATTTGATACCTTAGATCAAACATGTATTTTCCATATATCATCTTATGTGTGATTGCCTCCATTTTTGAAGTTAGATAGCTGGATCTGTAATAATCTATATATTTTTCTTCTTCTTTGCCTTTATGTCTCCTATTCATTCTTTCTCCTTTTTTATAGACAGTGTATCAGTATGTAGCCCTGGAACTCACTATATAGACTGAGGCTGAGATCTACCTACCTCTGCCTCCTAAGGACTAGGATTAAAGCCCAGTCAGTTCTAAAATTACAATCAGTTCTCTGTACCATGAGTTCTTCATCTGTGGACTAAGTCAACCTCTGATCAAAATTATTCAGAAAAAAAAATGTCTTCATAATAAACAGTCAGATTTATTTGTTCCCTTGTCAGCATTTTTTTAAACAATACAGCATTTATACCATATTAGGTATTAAAAATATTCTAGAAAGAATTTAAGGTATATGAAGGATATACACAAGCTATAAGCAAATACTACAAATTTTTATTACACTTACGCATCTACAGATTTTTGTACTTGCAAGAGGTTCCTCTAACACCATGGAATTATATTCATATTTTTAAAATTTAATTCAAAGACTTAATATGATTGCAGATATTAATTAAATAAGCCCAAGTTTAAAGTGTGAAAAAAGCCTATATTCCTCTATATCAAATAGTTGCTTATAGATTATTATTGCTTTATTTGAAAGAAAAAAGGGATAAACATTATAAGTTAAGGATTTCAATTCAGGTCTGGAGAGACAACTCAGCGGTTAAGTGTACTTGTTCTTCCAAAGGACCTAAGTTCAGTTTTTCCCAAATCAAGTGACTCACATCCACCTGAAACTCCAGCTCCAAAGGATCCGAGGTCTCTGGCCTCTACTTGTACCTATACACATGTACGCATACATTCCCACACAGAAACACATACATAATTCAAAATAAAAATAAGTTTAAAAGAAAAAAATAATCTGAATTAATTAACAGTATGTTTGAAATGGTCTATATTTTCCAGGATGCCTCAAAATTGAGACATAAAAATCTGCAATGGAGGACTGGAGAGACGGCTCAGAGATTAAAGCACTGGCTGTTCTTGCAGATGACCAGAATTCAGTTCCCAGTACCCACATGGCAACTCAAAACTATACGTAATTTAGGTTCCATGGGATCTTCTGACCACCAGGCACATATGTGGTGCAAAACACTCATACACATAAAGTAAAAATAAATAAATCTTAAAAAAAAAACAAAACTGTCATGGAATAACAATACCATTACTCACTTTGGTCTTTGTTTTCCCTACTAGGAAAAATAATGTTGAGATTAAAACTATATATAGCTTTGTAAATACATAAAATTATGACACTACTTTTTAAAAAACCCAAACTGTTCCTAGGTACACTATAAAACTTAATAGAAAACATACTTGAAAGTTCTTAGCAATTTTTTCGAAAAAATGTACATGTGTGGTCAGGGAATATTTTTTTTTGTGTTGCACTGTGAAGTCTTCATAGCTCTTACTACCCATATCATCCCAAAAGAACACCAAGGAACTGGAAATATTTCTCCTGAAAGTACTCACATTCCTGCTTAAAGGTAAAATATTCAGTAAGGTGTCTGCATTCATGGTTGCCTCTCAGAAGGAATAATGTGCTTGGGTATAGAATCTTCAAGACCCATAAATACAAGACACACTGCAAAAAAATAAAAATAAAAATAAAAAAAAAAAAAGGTTCCAGTGATTTTTCTATATTTTATTTAACTAAGTTTCTCTTTGCTTTTCTTTTAATTATATTACCCTTAAAAATTCTGTTACTATTTATTCTTGCTCTTTGTTCCTTAAAAAATATGTTTCATGAAATTGGACTTTGTTTTATTACTGCTTCGAAAAGCAATTAATACTTGTTGAATTAGTAAATCAATCTACTTAACTACTTTAGATCTACTTAATTTAGATTGTTTAATATAGCTTAACAAAATGGCTTCTTTCCTTAAGTATATAGTAAAGTAATAATGCAAAAAAAAATAATAATAGCAGTTAACATCTATAGAACATTTACAATGTGCTGAGCACCAGAGTGCCTGACAATTTTTCTCAAGCAGAAGTTTTTTATTCCTTAAACACTATGAAGTATGAAATAGCATCCCCACTTTATTTTAGCCAAAAGACAAAAAAAGCAATTATCATATTACCTCTATTTCTAAAAGAGTAACCTAAGTAATTTGCTCAAAATCACAAGGCTCCTACAGAATAAAGACAGGTTTTGATCCTTTCATCTTAAGCATTATGCCACATTGCTTAACGCAAAAGGGCTAAGTTTTATGTCTGCTTTGTTGTTTGCAAATGATTCCTTACACAAAACAAGTGTTTACTAATCCAGTGGTTCAAAAGCTGGGGGTCATGTCTCCTTTGGGAGATGAATGACCCTTTTATAGGAGTTGCCAAAGACCATCAGAAAACACAGATATTTACATTTATATTTACAGAAAACAGATCATTTACATGATTCATAACAGTAACAAAATTACAGTTATGAAGTAGCAACAAAAATATGGAGGTTACCACAACATGAAGAACGGTATTAAAGGTTGCAGCATTAGGGGTATAAAAGGTTGCAGCATTAGGAAGATTGAAACCACTGATCTAATCCAATTCAAAGAAAATAGAATTTTTATAATATAAAAACAATAAAACAAACAGCATTTTTGCATATATGCACTGCTCCAGAATTAACATTAAAAGACTATATTTTATGTACTATTTTAAGAAAAAAAAAAGGGGGGGGGCTATTTCATGTAGAAATAAATGGTTCATTATATAACACAAAAAGAAAAGTTATTTTAACCAAGTACATTGATGTTCATAACTATTCAGACATTTATTTTACTTTATTTTTAATTTTTCAAGACAAGGTTTCTGTGTAGCCTTGGCTGTCCTGGACTTGCTTTGTAGACCAGGCTGAACTCAAACACACAGAGATCTGCCTGCCTCTGCCTTGGAGTGCTGGGACTACAGGCATGCACCACTATACCTGGCTCTTGATTTTATTTTTTTTAAAAAGGTAATAAAATCAATGAAATATCTACTAAAACTAAACTTTGTTTTTGACCTTTTATCTTCTTTTTGTAACAGTAAATCTATTATTAACTAAGCTACAAAATGAAATGAGTACATATACACCAACATGCTCAGTAACAATTAAGTTTTACTTTACTGACTGTCAATTATAGTAAATTCTTTGTTAGGCAGAACCATTTTCTAATTTTTCTTAAAACCTTGAGGTAATTTGGTAAAAATTAAAGGGTTTGATAATGAAACTATGAGTAGGAAAATCAACAAACGAGGATAAATAAAATTTCTAAGGTAAGGAATGGACACAGTCCCAAAGTTCTTATTGAGAAATTACAATATACTGAAAACTCCTCAGCAGTGGATACACGAAACACTAAGTAGAATGGAAGTTTGCCAGGTAAGAAAGCCTCAATACCTATTAGGGCAGGTGATTAAAAGCAGAAGCTTAGAGTCAGATTGCTTGACTGTGTGTCACTTACTAACTATATAACTGGCTAAATTACTTTAACTTCAAGCCTTAGGTTCCTCGTCTATTGAATGGATGGATAAATAACAGTACTTACCTCATAACAATGTTGTGAGACTAAATTAACCAGTATCTGTTAATGCTTAAACCTGGTTGGAATATATTAAACATGTAACATACATTATATACTGACAGAGCTTTGACTAAGCAAGTCTTCCTATAAATCTGTCCCACAGGGCAAATACAAAAAATGCAGGACTACAATGTCCCAATAAAAGATATCATTTGTAATTAAAAAAAAAAAAAAACAAAATAAAACAAAACTTGGGAACTTTAAGTGTTCAACAAGAAGTTATGGCTTGTTTATTCAATGGAAGACAGTACAGCTATTAAAATGATTCTGTAGGTTTTTATTTACTAATTTGTAAAGACATCACAGTGCACAGATATGTGAAGGCAAGATAGAGAAATCGTTTTAATATGGTCCCTTTTTTCATTTAAAGAAAGAAAAGACAGATATGTTAGAAAATACAGGTTGTACTGTATTTTCCATACTTCATACAACTAAAAAGAAAAAGGAACAAAAAGAATCAATGAATTAAGTGACAAACAATAGGTCGTTTTAATGCCTCTTAAGTTTACAAAAATTACATTTCAAATATTCTTGGGTCTTAGGAGCATCATGATGAGATAGATCTAGGGATTAAACAATGAAAGAATCACAAAATACTTCATTTAAAGAGAATATCTTTCTCATGGTTTAATGCCCTTAATGGCAAGGGAGGTAAAGAAAGAAATGACCATCACTAGCTCATAAGCCATGAGATAACAAGACAATAAAGATCTCAGTCTCCTCATCATTTCCACTGGGGAAAAAACAATTATAACTATAAGAAATGATACCGAAGAAGACTAATTAGATGGTCTGGAAAAGGAATAAACAATAGCTTTTCTTACAAACTTCAGAATATACAGAGGTATTAAAAAGAACCCAAAACAAGTATTTTTCGGAACTTACTGTACTAGGAATTAATAGAAATAATCTATATTAACAATAACATATCAAATGACAGTATATGATTATTACCTCTATACTAAAATAACCTCTGTCCACATAATCACCAAGAAAAAGGTATCGTGTATTAGCAGGTGATCCTCCTACTTCAAAAAGTTTCATCAGATCAAAAAATTGGCCATGGATGTCACCACACACTGAAACAAGAAGATTATTAGATATGAAAAAAAGCCTCTAGATTAACAAATATTACTTAAACTCTAACTGTTGTAACATGAGATAGTATAAATGTTATCAAGAAATATCTGAAGAGTGGCCTGCGAAGAGTCGTAACATAGGGATGATATCCAACCAAGTGCTCATATGCTAAAGACCTAAAAATAAGATGTAACAGAAGTAACAAGATGAATTTTTCATCTACATGTATAAATCTCTTTTAGAAGCTAGGGAAGCACCTCATAGGATGACAAGATTATAATGCTGGCAATAAACTCCCTTTTCAACTCAGTACTTTTCAATGACCTTCAAATGACCTTAGGTATCTAACATGGTATCAAATATTTACCACTAGCAATTAAAAGCTAAGTTAAGTGTTGAATTAAACTGAAGTATGGCCAATACAACTGATGAAACCTTTATAAAAGCATATTAGACTAGCTTCATGTATATTTACTAAAAACAAAAACTTAAAATACAACTAAAATTTGTAAAATTAAGACAATGTCCACACACTATTAATCAGTATATTATGTGACTAGAGAGTAAACAGCTTTCTCTCCAATCAACTAAATACTGGTTTAATAATATCCAAAACATAAGTTTACCTGTTATTGGAGCTTCTACTTCTATCATGGTTTTCTCCCGCCGAAGTATGGCAGCACCCTCATTGATAATTCTTAGTGCAATTTCTTCATCTACCCGACCTTCTTTTACCAGGTGGTTCTTCAGAACATCAACCCTGGGTATCCCATCCATATCAAATACTTCTTCAGATGTCAATCGGTGAGTTGGGGGGAAAGGGACAGCTGTATTTTTTTAATGAACACAAAATAAGTAACAACATATTAACACAGAAACTAATAATTGAATTTAGATAAATAAAACTGAATAAAAATTTTAAAACAGATTAGAAAAACACCAGGTTCCCCCCCCTTCTTTTCCATTTAATGTAAACAAGTGTTAATTTAGAAAAAATTTTTCTAAAATTAATTTTGTTAAGTGCTTGTGTGCATACATACACACACACACACACACACACACACACATATACACACACGTAAAGAAAAATATATATACTTTGTTTTTTGAAGGGTCTCATTCCTGGCTCTCCTGGAATTCACTATGTAGACCAGGCTAACCATGAACTCAATAGAAATCCACTTGCTTCTGCTTCTTGAGTGCTGAAATTACAGGTATTCCTCCAAACCTTCTACTAAACCTGTTAAGCTACATAGGTCTAAAGCCTAGCAAATCTGAGGTGAGCCTACGCTACTGAGATCTTGCCTCAAAAATAAACAAGTAAATATAAGTGAAGTAAACTAGCTAGCTAAACTGTGTGAGACCAGTGGTAGAGTGATTGCCTCCTAAGTGCTAGGCCTTCCTTAGATTCAATCCCTAGTCCTAGGGGGAAAGTAACAAGCTACATATAATAACATGTTCTTTGTTGAAAATGGTTAGAGAATTGAATTTTTGAAAAATATTTCAAGATAACTAAAGCTTTTTTCTTTACTATAAAGCATTTCAGTCAGAACACTCTAATTATAATGCATGTTCAAATATGCATTATATATAATGTATGCCAGGTAGCAGTGGTGCAGAGTTGGGCAGATCTCTGTGTTCAAGACCAAGACCAGCCTGGGATGTACATATCTATCTATCTGTCTGTCTGCCTATCGACCGATCTATCTTTGCATGCACTTGTGAGGCAAGCACTCTACCACTGGGCTATATATTCCAGGTCTCACACAGTTTAGCTAGCTAGTTTACTTCGTTTATATTACTTGTTTGTTTATTTGCCTATTTGTTTATTGTTGAGGCAATAGTTTGTTTTTTTGTTTTATATACATGTATCTACATATGCCTGAATAGAAATAACATGCATATATAAGGTAATCTTCCATCTTATTTCTAAAACAATTCTTACACTGTGTGTCTACATCAGCATTTCTTAACTGCTGCGCCATCTCTCCAGACCTGGGGTCTGGAAGCATTCACAGGGGTACCTAAGACCATCAGAAAACATCAGATATTTACATTATGATTCATAGCAGTAGCAAAATGATGAAGTAGCAACAAAAATGACTTTATGTTGGGGGTGACCACAGCATAAGGAACTGTATTAAAGGATCATAGCGATAGGAATGTTGAAAACCACAGGTCTACACAATGTGTGAGTACATATGCTACAAGCAGAGGTAAGAGGACTGTTTTGTGGGGTTGCTTTTTTACTTCTATACCTGGGTTCCAGGATCAAACTGAGCTGCCCTGAGCTATCCTGCCAGGCCATCTTCCATATTCTTAACACAAACATAAAAAACAATGTTTTTCTGATCAGCTTTAATGTGATCTTTTAGAAATGTAGATCAAAACAATTTATTGCCCATATACACACTTAAAATTTAGTAATATTGCTTTTTTTAACCTATTCAATATTCACAAAACTTCTTTCACCCTGTCTTTATATACATCTTTAATACAACTTTACTCAAGAGTTTCCTATTACCCAAGAGTCTTAATGTTGAAGTACTTAACTTTCTCCATTCCTGCTCTACATATTTATGATTTCCACAAAGAACCACCAACTGTACAATTAAACAATATTTACAAATTGAATGGAACATAAGACAATCTTTTTCTTTTGGTTTTCTTCCCCCTCCCCCTTTCTCTGAGCTGGGTCTTCATCCATCAGGTAGGTAGCCTGGCTGGCCTATAATTCTGTATATAAAACAGATTGGGCACAAGACTAAGGTGATCCTTCTGACTCTGCCTCCTAAGTTCTGAAATTAATTATAGGTATGTGCCACAATGCCTGCCTCACCAGACCTGTCTATTTTTGACGGTATAAAGGCATACTTTTGAAGTCATATACATAAGAAAACTTACTATATGAACCCAGCAAGTGTATTCTGTTCATTTAAATTTAAATTTATTAAATAGTATAAAGCAAGAGAAAAATTTACACTTAAAAGTTGTGGGACTAGAAAGACAGCTCAATTGGTAAAGTGCATGACCTGAGTTTGACCACTAGCACCCACATAAAAAAGTCTGGTATGGTAGCAGTCCCTTGTAATCTCAGTGCTAGCGGTGGATCCCTGGAGCTGCTGGCTAGCCAGCAAAGCCTACTCTGTGATATCAGATCCCACTGAAAGCAAGGGAGAGAATGTTCAATGGGTAAAAGCTGTCATCTGTAAGCCTGGTGACCAGAGTTTGATCCCAGAGACTCACATGATAGAAAGACAAAAGTTGTTCTGTAACCACCCACCAACACACTCACAATGGCATGTGTATGCATGCATGTACACACAAAATAAACACATGCGATAAAAAAAACTAACAGCTAGGCTACAGCTCAAAAGGAGGAATACACTTAAGGTGGTCTGGTTTCTACCCACACATCCATGTGCACCTGTATGCATACATACTTAAACACATACACTGCATAAATAAAATGTAAAAAATAATTAGTAGCCTTAGCTAAGCTGACTGTAATTCTAGAAACTGGGAGGCTAAAGCAGGAGGGTTGTCATGAATTCAAGACCAGTCTGATCATACATAGTTTCAGGCTAGAAAGGGCTATATAGCAAAAACCCTGTCTTAAAAACAAAGCAGAACAAAACAAAGCAAAACATGCCTTTAATCACAGCACTCAGAATGCAGAGGCAGGCAGACCTCTGTGAGCTCGTCACTAGCCTGGTCTACACAGGAAGCTCCAGGCCAGCCAAGGATACATACTGAGAACCCTGTCTCAAAAAGATTAAAAAGCAGGGGCTAGACAGATGGCACCATTCCTGCCATTCTAGTTAGGAGCACTGGCTGCTCTTCTGAAGGACCCAGATTCAAATCCAGACCCACATAGCAGTTCACAACTGTCTGTAATTTCAGTTCCAGGGGATCTGGTACCCTCACACAGACATACATAGAAGCAGAACAGCGTAAATAAATTATTTATTATTTATACAGCATTCTGCCTGCACGTGTGCCTGGGAACCAGAGAGGGCACCAGATCTCATTATAGATGGTTGTGAGCCACCATGCGTTTGCTGGGAATTGAACTCAGGATCTTTGGAAGAACAGCCAGGGTTCTTTACCTCTGAGCAACCTCTCCAGCCCACATAAATAAAATTTTTTAAAAACTTAAATATTTCTGGGCATAGTGGTGCACACCTGTAATCCCAGCACTCTGGGGGACAGAAGCAAGAGGATCTCTATGAGTTTGAGGCCAACCTGGTCTACAAAGTGATTCCAGGACAGCCAAGGCTACACAGAAAAACCCCATCTTGAAAAAATTGAACATATAAAAAAAGCACACAACAAAATATTAAAAATATTTTAAAAATTAAACCAAAGACAGATTGATCAGGGATGGAAAAGGACCAGAAATCTTACTGTATCTGTCAATAAGCACAGAATCTTGGGAATTAATATTGCTTTTCATTCCAAGCAAGACCTGCAAAATCTTAGTTCTCCTAAAGGAAAATACTGTTTTTCAAAGTGGGTCTGTGACTCAGACTTCTTTTTCTTCCACTACAATTTTCGACATTGTCACCACACTGAAGATCAAAAACAAAATCTTCCTTTGAGATGTCTTCTTGCCATCTACTAGAGATAACTGTTATCTCAGTCATCCTAAACACATATGCCTTCTCAACTCTAAATTCCTTCATTGTCAACATTCAAATGTATGACCTACCTGTAACTGAAGAACAAAGAGGTCTGAACACTCCATGATTATTGCTCCACCTCTAAAATCCTGAACCACAATCTCTAAATAACCAAATCCTTTCATGTTCTGGTTTCATTCCCTTTTCTTCATTTGCAGCTTGAGTCTATTAAGAACCTAGGTGTCAGCTGGGTGTGGTCGCGCACACCTGTAATCTCAGTACTCCAGGAGGCAGAGGCAGGTTAAACTTTGTGAGTTTGAGGCCAGCCTGGTCTAAAAAGGGAGTCCAGGACAGTCAAGGCCACACAGAGAAAGCCTGTCTCAAAAAACAAGAAAGAGAAAGAGAAAGAAAAAGAGAAAAAAAGAAAAAGAGGGGAAAGGGGAAGGGGAAGGGGAAGGGGAGGGGAG